ACTTACAAGCCCTTAAACCAACAATGCAGTTTTTAATAAAAAAATTAAAATAGCAAATAATTAAAGAGCAGCAGTAAAATAAAATAACAGTAGGGAGGTTATATACAGGGGGTACCGGTACAGAGTCAATGTGCGGGGGCACCGGTTAGTCGAGGTAATTGAGGTAATATATACATGTGGGTAGAGTTAAAGTGACTATGCATAAATAATGAACATTAGCAGCAGTGTAAAAGAGGGGGTTGGGGTGGGGTGGGGGTGCAATGCAAATAGTCTGGGTAGCCATGATAGCTGTTCAGGAGTCTTATGGCTTGGGGGTAGAAGCTGTTAAGAAGCCTTTTGGACCTAGACTTGGCGCTCCAGTACCACTTGCCGTGCGGTAGCAGAGAGAACAGTCTATGACTAGGGTGGCTGGAGTCTTTGATAATTTTTAGGGCCTTCCTCTGACACTGCCTGGTATAGAGGTCTTGGATGGCAGGAAGCTTGGCCCCAGTGATGTACTGGGCCGTACGCACTACCCTCTAGTGCCTTGCGGTTGGAGGCTGAGCAGTTGCCATACCAGGCAGTGATGCAACCAGTCAGGATGCTCTCGATGTTGCAGCTGTAGAACATTTTGAGGATCTGAGGACCCATGCCAAATCTTTTCAGTCTCCTGAGGGGGAATAGGATTTGTTGTGCCCTCTTCACGACTGTCTTGGTGTGTTTGGACCATGTTAGTTTGTTGGTGATGTGGACACCAAGGAACTTGAAGCTCTTAACCTGTTCCACTACAGCCCTGTCGATGTGAATTGGGGCGTGCTCAGTCCTCTTTATTTCCCTGTAGTCCACAATCATCTACTTTGTCTTGATCACGTTGAGGGAGAAGTTGTTATCCTGGCACCACACGGCCAGGTCTCTGACCTCCTCCCTATAGGCTGTCTCATCATTGTCGGTGATCAGGCCTACCACTGTTGTGTCATCTGCAAACTTAATGATGGTGTTGGAGTCGTGCCTGGCCATGCAGTCATGGGTGAACAGAGAGTACAGGAGGGGACTGAGCACGCACCCCTGAGGGGCCCCCGTGTTGAGGATCAGCGTGGCAGATGTGTTGTTACCCTACCCTTACCACCTGGGGGCGGCCCGTCAGGAAGTCCAGGATCCAGTTGCAGAGGGAGGTGTTTAGTCCTAGGGTCCTTAGCTTAGTGATGAGCTTTGAGGGCACTATGGTGTTGAACGCTGAGCTGTAGTCAATGAATAGCATTCTCACGTAGGTGTTCCTCTTTTCCAGGTGGGAAAGGGCAGTGTGTAGTGCAATAGAGATTGCATCATACAGGCCTCCTGTAGCTCAGTTGGTAGAGCATGGCGCTTGCAACGCCAGGGTTGTGGGTTCGATTCCCACGGGGGGCCAGTATGAAAAATGTATGCACTCACTTCTGTAAGTCGCTCTGGATAAGAGCGTATGCTAAATAACTACAAAATATATATATATATATAATAATAATAACTAGAATCATCTGTGGATCTGTTGGGGCGGTATGCAAATTGGAGTGGGTCTAGGGTTTCTGGGATGATGGTGTTGATGTGAGCCATGACCAGTCTTTCAAAGCACTTCATGGCTACAGATGTGAGTGCTACGGGTCGGTAGTCATTTAGGCAGGTTATCTTAGTGTTCTTGGGCACAGGGACTATGGTGGTCTGCTTGAAACATGTTGGTATTACAGATTTAGTCAGGGACATGTTGAAAATGTCAGTGAAGACACTTGCCAGTTGGTCAGCGCATGCTCGGAGTACACGTCCTGGTAATCCGTCTGGCCCTGCGGCCTTGTGAATGTTGACCTGCTTAAAAGTCTTACTCACATCGGCTACAGAGAACGTGATCACATAGTCATCCGGAACAGCTGATGCTCTCATGCATGCTTCAGTGTTGCTTGCCTCGAAGCGAGCATAGAAGTGATTTAGCTCGTCTGGTAGACTTGTGTCACTGGGCAGCTCGCAGCTGTGCTTCCCTTTGTAGTATGTAATAGTTTTCAAGCCCTGCCACATCCGACGAGCGTCAGACCCGGTGTAGTACGATTCAATCTTAGTCCTGTATTGACTCTTTGCCTGTTTGATGGTTCGTCGGAGGGCATAGCGGGATTTCTTATAAGCATCCGGGTTAGAGTCCCACTCCTTGAAAGCGGCAGCTCTACCCTTTAGCTCAGTGCGGATGTTGCCTGTAATCCATGGCTTCTGGTTGGGGTATGTACGTACGGTCACTGTGGGGACAACGTCATCGATGCACTTATTGATGAAGCCAGTGCTTTCGGAAGAATCCCGGAACATATTCCAGTCTGTGCTAGCAAAACAGTCCTGTAGCTTAGCATCTGCGTCATCTGACCACTTCCTTATTAACCAAGTCACTGGTGCTTCCTGCTTTAGTTTTTGCTTATAAGCAGGAATCAGGAGGGTAGAGTTATGGTCAGATTTGCCAAATGGAGGGCGAGGGAGAGCTTTGTATGTGTCTGTGTGTGGAGTAAAGGTGGTCTAGAGTTATTTTCCCCCTGGTTGCACATTTAACATGCTGGTAGAAATGAGGTAGAACGGATTTAAGTTTAATGTGTATATTGTCTATATTGATCTATACTTGCCTGTTGTATGTGCTTGTTTTTGTATTGTGCAGGGCTCATTTGTGAAAGAGAATTTAGTCTCAATATGACTTCCCTGTTGAAATAAAGAAAATCATTTTTACTCTGGAAGAGGGAAGTTATTTTAGAGACTCAGTAGCTTGACTTGTGTTTCTGAGCGTTATGGTAGCTCTGATGTCGGAGAGTTGTCTCATTTTCCCACAGATAACATTTTATTGGCTTTTGAGAGGCATGCCGCTGAGGATGACTGTGATAATAAAAGGGGTTCAACCTCTAGTCAGACCTGGCCTGATAAACCTGGGACACATGGGGGCAGAAAGTGCTGAACCTACCTTCTCTGATAATGTACTCCAGGGAGGCTGTGTGTGTCAGTGAGCTGTCTCTTTGTGGGTTGGCATAGGATTTATCCATATTTTCAAGCAGGTTTCAAGCAGTGGAGTAAATTTGCAGCATTCTGTATTTATGATACTATGTGGTGGTCCCTTCCTCTTTTAAGAGTTCTGCTATTCAACTTGCCCTGCATAATTCAGAAAAAAAGGCTGCTGGCTCCCTTTTTAAATGAGGAAGCTCTATTGTCTCGGAATACCTGTCTGCCTGTGTGGCTCCCTAGCTCCCACCCAGGGATAATAAAACACCTTGAGCTCCTCCACTGTATAAATAATGACCCATGGCACTGAAACGAGGCACAATTGAATCGATTTAGCTGCAGTCTGTCCTTTCTTTGACTGTCCTCAATGGTCTGTATAGTACAGGCCATTTTATGAGGAGGGGAGCCCTGTGGTTCCAGAGAAATGTAACTGCGATGAATGCTTGGGCAGGTCTCAATTGGCCTGCCCAGTACTGAATAGAGGGGAATCAGACAGACTGGCTGTGACATGTGACGTTATGGCTCACTGTAAAAGTCTCACAGCTGTTGATAAGCTAGTTGCACTTGTGCCATTTGTGAAAACGTGACGAATAGAAAGACTGTATGATAATATGCTAGATAATGGAAGGACAAAACCATTGATGCCAAGGAAAAAAACCTGCTCCTCGTCTATTGTTATCTCATGACTTGCCTTTTCAATACTGTTATTCTTGAGTCACATACATTATCAAGATGTTGTAAATTGATTTACACAGACTTGCTATGCCCTTATATTGGTTGGCACTGTCTTTGGCCAGCTCTGGGGACACAGGTTTGCTAGTGGAGCATTTTTGGGCAGGGCTGTTTTATGGCTACTTCAGGGATGGTTCAGGACTGCTTGGGGCTGGTTCAAGGCTGGTGCAAGTTTGGTTTGGGCTTGGTTCAGCGGGGGTAATCTGGCACTCAGTCTGAACTATATTTGCAGCCTCTAACGAGAGTCCCTGCTGCGAGGCCCAGTTATTATCACCGCTGTTCCTCCATGCGTGGAACAATTGAGTGAGTCTGGATGTGTGTCTCTGCTGTGTGCCCAGGGAAGAGAAGAGGAAGGTAGGGAGGAGAGAGAAGGGTGGGCATAAAAAGAGCTGAAAACTAAAAGTGCTTCACAGTATTGCTCTAAAATGAACTGAAACAATTCCTGCATACAACATCAGGTTGTCCTCCGCTGCACTCTTCTAAATGCAAAATATGCAGACAAACATTCTTTCACGCAATTTCCAATTGAATGTACATCAAATGAAGTATTCTGACTCTTTTTAATGTACTTTTTAATTATTAGCACACACTGAGGCAGTATCACACATCAAGTTGTACTTTCCCCTCCTCACACCTTGAAAACACACACAGTAGAAGCATACACATTACATTCAGCCCACCAGGTAGGCTACTATTTCTTCTCTGTGTTAGGTACCTGCGTTGGAGTCCGTCTGCACAGGGTTCGCTGATCTCTGTTCCTTAGCAACAGGTGAGCCATATGGTTGTTTCTGGCACAGAGTCAGAGTCTTTGTGTTTGGCGTGAGCAGCTGACTAGACATTTTTAAATTTTTGTTCTGTGGGCATTTGTAGGGCGATTAGGGTTGCACCTGTGGCTGGTACAGATGTACTGTATGTCAGTGATCTTCCGGTCACCTCCCAGGGAGTGATGACACATCTTCCATAGACATCTAGCTCCGTCTCAGATAGAGAAGTAAAGAGCCAGCCCCCTCACTGACCTCCCACTTCCCACTTACAGTTCAAAGGTTAGTGAAGTAGCTACACCTCCATTCTACCCTACAGACCCTTAAAGAACATCCTCAACACTTTAAAAGCTAACAGGGGAAGAATGCATCTTTTCTCTTTAAACTGAAAATAATCTGAAAATCCCTATTCCTGAGAAGCGCTGTGGCAGCACGTTGTTAAATCACTGTTTTGAAAGCAGAGGGTGGGAGTGTGTGTGCCAGGAGGATGTGCTTTAATCCAGCAGCACGGTAGAATGTCAGCTCCACTCATCCACACAGATGCTCCCTGCTCTGTGGTCTGGAGAGGAGACTGTGGCAGGCCAGAGGAGAGCAGCAGAAAGGGAGCAGCCTGGCTGGCTGTCACTGGGAGAGTGGGGCCAACCTACCATGCTCTCTGGGAGCCGTGTGGGGAGGGGTTTCACTAAGACATGCCCCCGCACTGTTCCACTGCAGGCCTGTTCTGTCCGCCCCCGGAAACCTAAAACTACAATCCGGGATAATCTCCTTGATGTCTGACTAATACAGTGGAAATCAAAAATGAGCCTTATATACTACCTCCTGTGGTGTGCTTTCCTTGGCGTGTTCTTAAAACGAATGACCCCACCTGCTAGTTCACTGATACTTACATCACGATCACCATTCTCTCAGTAGATTAACATTTGCTCAGGCTGAATAAAAACATGTTTGTGTGCCATGTGCTTTATAGAAAGCTTTGAAGGTTACTACAGACAATGAGCTTGTTGAGTAAGTGGGTAGATGGATGCTGTGTTCTCTCTATTGTTTTCTATTCTGTACTAAGAAGGATTTGCAGTATGTGTCATACAAGAAATGGTGTAGGTAATTACGAAAGATTATAAATCACATTTCAAACATTATTTTGTAAATATTAGAAGAAAATAAACAAATCACCCAATTGTTAATACTATTAGTTGCTTTATCTATTTCAAAGCAGATAAAGCACTGCTCCTGGTGGACTCAGTAAATTGATTTTAGAAATTAAGTATAAACCAGATTAAACACACATTCATGGTAATGCTAATCCTTTTCCTGCTCAGGGGGCAGTTTACATTGTTCAGCACTTTGTGCTTTGAAAGTAGATTTGTATTCAGTGCCCTACACTTCCTCCCACCCCACTAGAGTGTATCTGCAGGGAGCAGTGCTGTCTGGATAGAGAATAGGTTTTATACATTTACATTTTAGTCATTTAGCAGACGCTCTTATCCAGAGCGACTTAGTGAGGCTACATTATATATTTTTCATACCCGTGGGAATCGAACCTACAACCCTGCGTTGCAACACCATGCTACTCACTGACTCATCCTGCTGGCCATTCCCTCCCCTACCCTGACACGCTGGGCCAATTGTGCGCCACCCCTGGTCTCGCGTCATGGCGGCTACGACGAGCCTGGATTCGACCAGGATCTCTTGTGACAGCTAGCACTGCGATGCAGTGCCTTAGACCACTGCGCCACTCGGGAGTTTGCTGGTTATACCTCCTTAACCACTTTCACAGCGCTCTGTGGCTGACTGAGAGACTGACTGAGTAAAAGAGAGCAGCGCATACCCCATGATGCATGTAGTTGCTGAGTAAATACTTAATTCTGGCAGTGATGTTCACTGTGCACTGTGCCAGGGTCTGTGTGTGTGTGTTTATGAGGAGACTGTAGAGCTTTTTACTATTGTTGCCTCCCTGGGATCTAGCTCTAGGTGTTGTGGTCTTGATGGGGGGGTGGGTGTAGAGCTAGGTCTGCTGGGTTATGTTTAGCTTTAAGGCTGACAACATGTGAACGTGCCTCCTGAGGTCAACCTCTGTACTGTGGCCAGCCATGATTGCATTAATAGCAGTGACACATATCCTGTTTGACACTAAACAGAACTGTGCAGATTTGTCTGTAGATCTGCTTTGCCAGAGGTTTAAGGAAGGCAGATTGTAGCCTACAACCGCTACTAGCTACTACTATGCACGTTTATCGGATGTAATTGATCAATTAATCTTTTTTTAACGGATATGCTTGTGTATGCTTTTAGAGGCCTTATGATAATTTACTAACCACCCTCTTGTTCAACCTCTTTGTCTCCACTCCTATCTAAAATACAAAAAAGAAGCTGCCTTGTGTTTAACGCTCCCCAGCTAATTGATATTAATGACTACCATTAATGTACAACTGCATAGTAAATATCCCAGGATCCCAGATCCTTTACAGTTCTCCTGTTGTCGACTACCATGATGCCATCCCAAGGTAGCTCTGACTTTAACCCCAGCTTCAGGCTCTTGTGAGAGGAAGATGAAACTGATGGGATGACCACCATTTTATTTACTCTCTGTAAGAAATGTCTACCATTTGACTATTGTCAAGCAATAATTTCATAATGTAACTAATAATGTAATGTGATAATGTCAAGTAACAATGTAACAGAGTAGATATAGATATCGATACCGTATGAAAGCACCACAATATAGTGCAACTGAGGTGGCCTGACCTGCGTTTTTAAATCACACTCGTACTTACTGTAATATGCATTCGTCACTCTGCCTCTGTGAAGAGTGTTGTCTTGGCAGCGGTGGGTTTGACAGTTAGGGAAATTGACTATCACTTTAACTGTAACAGGGGTGATAATGAAAGGCACAGGGAAAGGGCATAAGGGTTGTGTGGAGGAGGTACGTGATGTCACGCACAGTCAGGCTAGGACAGGATCACTGCTCTTCCTTTCCTGTCACACTCAATGTCTCATCCTCAATATCAAGTGTCATCATCTTTCACTCGCTCATGTTCTCAGTATTTTGCACACAATCTCTGTCAGTTTGTTGAAATGTGCTCTCGTTTTAGTGAAAGAGTGTGAAAATTTGACCTTGCCTTCATTAGACAGCTGTGGCGTGAAAATAATCTCCAAAACAATACAGCTCTACCTCACACTTGGTACTTTCTAATTGACTGTGTGTGTGCGTAACTGCGTATGTGTGTGTGTCTGTTGTGTATTTGTGTGTGTATGTGTGCTGATAGGATCTTTTGAGCAGTGAATAATTGTAGCTGACGCATTGCATCCTCTGGTGTTTATTACTTCCTCACTAATCTTTGTTAAGAAACAAAAGGACAGAAGTATCCCTCTAACTCATGGTTTCTCAACCCTCTCCTCAGGGCCCCACCAGACGTTTTACATTTTAGTTTTAACCCTAAACTGGCACACCTGATTCAATTAGTCAAAGGCTTGATGATTAGTTGACTAATTTAATCAGGTGTGCCAGTTTAGGGTTAAAACAAAAATGTGAAATGTCTGGTGGGGCCCTGAGGAGAGGGTTGGGAAACCCTGCGTCTAACTGAGAAAGGCAAGAGGAGTCTACTGCAGGGGTAGGCAGTTCCGCAGGCACCTGGAGTTCCGCAGGCACCTGGAGTTCCGCAGGCACCTGGAGTTCCGCAGGCACTTCATGTTTTTGATTGAACCGACCTGGAAGACCAGGTAGGTTGAATTTAGGCAATCACTGAACTGATCAATTAGCTCAGTTGGTCAGGTGTGGTGACTAGTTGGAACAAAATCCTGCAGTACCTGCAGCACTCCAGGAACAGGGTTGCCTACCCCTACCCCTGCTACTGTGTGTGGACAGATAGCCCAATGTAATCTGTAGTTCTTTGTATGTGTGTGTTTGTGTGCGTGTGTGTGTGCGTGCGTGCATGTCCAAGCATGCCAGGATGTGTTACAAGTACACACACTGGCTGCAGTAGGGAGGCTTTGTATGTGTCATATGGATCTGCCCAGATGGAGCGAGAGGAGAGGAGAGTTGTAACGTGTTAATGTGTGTCTGTGATGGGTTTAGTTCTAGCTCAGAGAGATAGCGAGAGAGAATGGAGGGAGAGAGAGGGAGAGGGAGGACTGTGAGGCAAGAGGTAGTGTGAGAGGAATTTCAATCAAGGGCTCAACATGCTGTTTAAATACCATCAGCACAAAAGGGGAGGGGAGACTGTCAGGGGGATAAATCCTCACACCTGAGAGGCTGAGAGGAGGCAGGCTGGACGGAGGCAGGCAGGCTGGACGGAGGCAGGCAGCCCCAACCCCACCAGACCTCCCTCCACATGGCTGGGAAGCGCCAGATGTGCCGCTCACATTTCATCCTGTTTCAGAGGAAGATAAACATTTAAATATAAAAATGAGAAAGAGATTATGGAGGGAGAGGAAAGCCAGAGTCAGCAGGTCTTAAGCCAATGGCGATAGCAGAATGCCAATACACAGGATCCGACTTTTATGGCGAAAGAGAAATCTTAGGGAATATTGATGATTAATACTGGATGCCATCATTTATAAGTCTGTTTATCTTGAGAAAGTCAAGTTTCTATTTTTTATTGTCACGTGCACAAGTACAGTGAAATGCCTTTCTTGCTTTCTCTTTCCCAACAATGCAGTAATTAATATCATTAGTACTATAAAAAAAAGGAAGTAGAACAAAAAAAACTAAGAAGAATGTAACTAAGCTATATACCAGGTCAGTTCCAGGGTCAGTGTCAATATAATATGTATAACTCTAAGGTAAATCAAGTGTTTGCACTTTTGGACTATTCCATTGGTTTTCCTTTGTACCGGGCAAATTAAATAAAGCTCAGGTTAGTCATTTAAAGTATACTGAACAAAAATATAAACGCAACATGTAAAGTGTTGGTCCCATGTTTCATGAGCTGAAATAGAACATCCCAGAAATGTTTCATACGCACAAAAAGCTTATTTCTCTCTGTGCACAGACTTGTTTACATCCCTGTTAGTGAGCATTTATCCTTTGCCAAGATAATCCATCCAACGGACAGGTGTGGCATATCAAGAAGCTGATTAAACAGCATGATCATTACACAGATGCACATTGTGCTGGGGACAATAAAAGGCCACTGTAAAATGTATATATTTTTGTTCAGTATATATATCATATGTACAGTATTTGGCCCAGATCTGCTATACATGGTTTCCATGCTACATCATGACATGAGGAGGAGTAGTGGGTCTGAACGGAGATGCCCCTTCATTCCATCTGTTATATCCCTCCCCCGAGATGAGATAGGAAATAGAGAAGCTTGTGTTTTTATAAAGTCAACCTCATCTGTGAGTCACTGCTTCCCCTTCCCTTTGTATGCCATTTGAAATGACTGCATTCTGTCCTCATTGACAGGGGGATGGCCATTGAAGGCTGTGTGATGTAGTGCCATTTACCCTTGCCTGTCACTCACACAGTAGAGATCCCAGTGAGTGATCGAAGTGTCGTAGGGGACTCATGACAAAGAGGTCTGACAATGTCACCTAATAAATAACAGAATAACGGCAATGCAGATGAAGCAAGGACTTTTTAAAACATGCGCTATGGGTTTTGACACCCCCTGAGGAAAGCTAGCAGAGGAAACAGCTGATGCTGTGAAGCCAGAGACTGAAGACCATTTAGCAGAGCATTGGTTCAGATTTTTCCCCTGCAGGCAGCCTTTGGACTTTCCACCATGTATAATTTGTGAACTACAGACCCTCCCAGAGAAAGTGAGAGGCAGGCCAGTTATAGGGCGCCCTGCTGTGAGTGCTGAGTGAGCGCATCTTGAGCACTGGGCCTTTGATTAGCCAACCACTGCTTTGCGCCCTATGTTCAGCAGCCAAGTCAGCACTTCAGCAGACAAACAGGGCTTTCTGCAAGGCCTCCGAACACCCCAACAAGCATCTGGAGTTGACTCACTTGTGGTTAAAATCTATAACTGGAAAGGAATTGTTGCTATGGTCTCTCAACAAATTATTTTAAGAAAGTATATCAGACTGATTGTGAGTAATATTTTGCTATATGTTATTGTCCATTCCTGTTTTGGTTTTTGAGAGATTCCGGTCTTTTGACTTCTTATTTATTTATAATTAATAATTTAAGCCTTGACTACATTTTCTGTACATACAACTGATAAACAGTGTACCCCCATCAAATAATTAAACACTTTGATTTCGCTCTTCAGAGGCTGTAAGACACCGTTCAGTAACACCTGTGACCATATTGTGCCCTCTGGAGGTCATCTTTGCCTGTGCAGGTTTCTTACCATATCCTACTGGGCTGTGCTGTGTTCTCTCTCAACAAAAAGCATTCCATCACTAGGGAGACCCCAAAAGGAAATGTAGCTGGCTGAACTACCATATGCCCAAGGACTTCTGCATAATGAAACTTATCCTGCTGTGAAAATGGTCTCTGAAAAGCTGTCAGCTTAGTCTAGCTATTACTGAGCATCAGAGAACACTGAATGGTTATGCTAAAATTACCTAAGGACAGTAGTTCACATACTGTAGCTGTATGTGGTGTAAGAGATGTGGAAAATTTGAGGATGATACAAGATGTCTTGCATTAGCCCAAGATGTCCCAAGACCTTAGCGGCTGATAGCTGTTGTCTGAGAAGGACAACTGTCAGAATCATAAGGGTAGTCTCTGATGAAACCTGTCTCACCATGGCAGCTGTCCTGCTTTGTGCGTGTGCGTGCACATTTGTTTATTTGTGTGTGTGTGTGCGTGCATGGCATAGAAAGTTATTTGTCCATCAACTCAATGTAGCTGATGGCAATAACAGCAGAGAAAGCGCCCAATTGAATGTGCCCAATTCTTCTTTGTGGAGCACTAAAGGGCAGCTCATGCATATGCATCAATGACCTTGCCAAATCAAAGCTAAAGCATTACACTGACTTTAAAAAAGAATGCAATTAATGTAGAGTCCTTTACACGATCATCTAATTAGAATTCTCATAATAAGCGGACTGTAAAAGGCTGGTTTAAAACGAAATCATTAGTTAAACACAAAGTATAAGAGCAATCACTGCATCAGTCCTCAAGGCTTAACAGGAGTGCACTGAGCAGATTATGAAATTCCAATGTTGACCCTTTAGTGCTTATTAGTAGTGTTGCATGGTATACTGAAACGTCTGTACTTTTTCGATACTATAACATGAAAAATTGTTCGGTACTAGAATTTGTGTTATTTTCGGTACTTCTGTCAAATGTGTCACGAATCAAGCCTGTCTATCACCCTGCCTGCTCCACTTACTCACTGCTAGCCTGCACTGGGAGTCTGGGCTGCCTCATGTTAGCTCCCACTCATGCTGCACAGAAGTTAACACACTTGAATAATGCGACACGGCATGTAGAAATGTTGCAACTGTTAATTACTTTTTGCCAAACAGGCTAGTCCATTACAGGCTAGAACACTTTAAAATGGAAGAAGATACTGGTAGCTTCCAGCTTTGTAAGCAAAATGTCCTTGCTAGCTGACAGCTAAAGCTAACATCAATTCACTACCCTAGTACTTTGTTTGTGATAATATGCAACCATGAGGCAAAATATGCAGATTTTCCAAGCTGATTGCCACCAAAAACATTATTCATTCACTTATTTGGTCTCTCGCTCACATCTCTCCCAAAGATGATCTATAGAGAGCATTAGTAATGGCGTCTTTTTGTAGGCACTAACTCCGCCATGGTCCGTTGGACAAAGCCTATGGGGAAAATGAATGCCGTTTTTAGGGGGATTTTGGATAAAATCCGAAAATAAGGTCTGTGGTAAACGCAGGCTTAGGAGATCTTATACGTTTTGTTCTATGAGATAATCTTCATCAGCTAACGTCACTTTTTGTGAATTTTGAAGAATTTATGTAATAAAGCACATAAAACATAAAGGCTTCATAATTCATAAAGGTCATGTTAACTGACTGCTATTATCTCCAATGGAAGGGAAACAGATTTTTTGTCATCTGTAGCCCCATGAAATCAGTCAAAACACATGGATGTCTCAGAATTTTTTTTATGTACAAAATATTATATGCAAATGTAATGATATTGAACTCAAAAGATGCCCAACGATTGAACAGAGCAGTAGCTGAGTTTATCTGTCTGGTTCAATGCCATTCTTTGACTGGCTAATATACCGTCTTTATTTGCCATTGTATCGTTTTGGTATCGAGTATCGTGATGGCTTTGAGTATTGTGATACTAAACCTGGTATCGGTATTGAAGTCAAAATTCTGGTATTGTGACAACAGTACTTATTAGTCCTTCATACACATTTCTCTATCTTTGAATAATTTTTGGAAAGCTGCAGTGCCTGTAGAAGTTAAATAGGCCTGATGCAGAGGAGATAAGGATAAGGGAATGTGAGCAGCATCACCTTGTAGAGCTGACAGTACCCTCACCTCAAGCCCAATGAAAGATGAAATTAGAGGTGTGCAGTGGTGGGATTATAGATCAGAGGGTGGGTGTACTGCATGGATGGAAGGGGGAAGTCACTGGCTAGTACTGATACATCCACATTTGTTCAACTAACACACAAACACATCAGTCATTCACAACAGCACTTCTAAAAACCTCATGCTTATTGCTCTTCCCTGGAGCTGTGTATTTCATGAGGTTGGCCTTTTGTTCAGACACGCCTGTGTTTGGTTATTAATTGATGAGGTTCTCATGTGGTCTCCGAGAGTGTTTGTGCATGCATGTCAGATCTATTTCCAAATAGGCTGTTCCATACTACTGCATGATTTGATAAAAAAATATATTCGATTTCAATCAATAGAAAGAAACATAAAGGTTGTTTTCCTATGGGGGATCAAATTAAGTTTAAATGGTATTACAGTGAAATGCTTACTTGCAAGCTCTTTCCTCAACAGTGCAGTATCAATATAACAATTGTCAATGCCAGTAATAAATATATAAAAAAGAGCATGATCAATACTGTACTAAGTCAGATAAAAGGTAAGAAAGAAATACATTATTGGGATTTATATTTATTCATTAATGGTTATATTTTCATTGTAAAGCTACAGTTTCGTGTTTTTGCTTGCTCTGACAGAATGTACGTAGACAGTCAGTTACCCCTTGGTTCAGATGCAACGCTCTCCAAGAAGTTTGGCTCAGCCTGCCCATGGCTTCTGAGAGGGCATTGGCTCACTTTTCACTGCAGTGAGTGTGAGTGAATGGACAGAGGTGAACTAGAGCGGTCAGACTGTTCCGTCTTATCAGACGCAGGCAGCAGAGAGGGGGAGCGCTTTCACTGTATACGTCAATAGAGTGAATGTGAGGGGAGAATGAACTGCGTCTCATTGTGCTGCCTTCATCATGCGTGTCCTCTCCTATCTCCTGGCTGGCCCGCGAGAGGCAGTGGCAATGCCAGAGGCAATGCAAACTAGTCTGAAGCCAGGCCAATTGGCAACTGGAAACTGTTTGTGGATGTGTGTTTATGCATGTGTGTTAATCTGAGTGAGTGAGTGTGTGTGTGTGCATGGTTCAGCAATTAGCTCTCTAGACATAAAGGAAAGCAGGAAATAATTATAAACCGTAAAGCGTTCTATGAGCCTACCAGAAAAGGATTGATGCTCACTGTGTAGGTAAGATTGCAGACCATTGAGAATGTTTGCAACTCTCTGAGACTTGCTGTGTCAGAACCAGTATAAACCTGTTGTTGGGGGATGGCACAGATGATTTGCCTAGAAGCAGGCTGCTCATGACTGGAGTAAGTGTCCTACGTGCCGTAGCCAGAGGGAATCTGGGACACCTGCCACTTTGCTTGCTGTCAAACTGGAAGCATGTTGGGGTGAGCCTTGTGTGTCTTTGTCACAGTGTGTGTAGAACAGTTTCAGGCTGTATTTTATTGGACCAAATCCAAAACTGAATTTCAGCACTGATTGTGCAGGAGGCTAAAATGATTGTTCATCCTCATTGGCTTTCTGTTCATGTTTAGCTGTAGTAGTTGGTTTGTGGTTAATATATAAACATATAATACTAAATCTGTGCCTTTTTGCCATAACAAAGGGATAGCTAGACGTCTCCAGGACACTTCCTGGTATTCCCCAGTGAGGGCTACTCTAACAGGATTTAGGCCTACATGCGTGTGAAAAGAATCCTCATGTAATTTTAATAAGGTCTAGTCAGACTAAAAATGTGGAAACATGGAACATAGTTTTTTGTTCAAAAATCTACTGGATAATGTACACAGTTTGGATTACACCATTGCTTTAGTTCAGTGCGCGATGTGGCCATTTTTTTGTAATCTGATGTTTAATTTCGGTGTGAATTTAACCTGAGGCAGATACTGTTCTCTTCGGTGTGAATTTAACCTGAGGCAGATGCTGTTCTCTTCAGTGTGAATTTAACTTGAGGCAGATGCTGTTCCTCTCTCTTCTCACCCTTTCTGTTCCCATTTACCTCACCACTTCCCTCTGCCTTAAGCAGAAAGCATTTCTATTACGTTTAGGCAAACAGTGCCTTTATTGCCGTTGGAGATAAAAAAAAAAATTATGACTAAGTCAGCAACAGAGGGAATTGGGTTTGTATGAGGAAAATAATAACATTTGTCAAGGACAGTTGCTTGTCTTTTTTACTTTGTTTTTTAGTGCTTTTGATATTCTGGTACTGGACAGTTTTGTTTGAGTCATCATTATGTATGTACCTCTCTAGCACAGCACAGTCCACATGAAAACTCTGAATTCCTTCTGTCGACTTAAATCTGTCTGTCTCCTCCTCTGTCTTGCAGAAGAAGGTGGTGGAGCAGCTGAGGAAAGAGCTGCTGGTGAAACAGGATCATCCAGAGGTCCAGGCCCACCAGCAGCCCCAGCACCCAGTGCAGCCTGATGGGAAGGCCTCTGCCCTGCCTAACCTCCACACCCCACCCTCCCTACCCTCGCCTGACAAACTGAGCACACCACAGGTACTTGCTCACACACACACACACACACACACACACACACACACACACACACACACACACACACACACACACACACACACACACACACACACACACACACACTCTGCTGTAATAGTAATCTGTTGCTATGTGTTGTTGAGGGTAGCCCCATATTCAACTCAGCTTCTCTCTCCTGGACAGAACACGATGACGATCACCCCGATCATCGCCACTAAGACTCTACCTCTGGTACTGAAAGCTGCCACCGCTACCATGCCTGCTTCCGCCGTGACGCTGCGACCCTCCGTCGCCAAGGTCACAGCCATCAGCAACACGCCCAAGGCCAGCATAGGTCACCCTGACTCACTGAGTGCACCTATCAACCTTCAGACATCCAGCAAGTTGACCAATCAGGGAGTGGAGCCGGTTCGGATAGTCTCCAAGAACACTATAGTTGTAAGTATACTGTATGTACCACATGTCATTCACTCAGCCTCATTGTCTGCACATACAATACATTTACACTGAACTGTCCCTGAAGTCCTGATTGTGTTAATAGTATATTTCTGATTTGTAAACCAAACATTTGAAATCACAGGGCACAGATGGGGTTGCTGTCTCCTTTAGATAAGGATGATGTGTCGCCATTTTCTGTGTCGTTGCAGGAGTGTTTGTAAATGCAGATTTCATAAAGAATGAGTCGGATCTGGGATCTATTTTTCTTCACTGTGTGAATTGTACGTGTGAGTGTGCGTTTATGAGTGTGTTCTCATGGTCTATCTTGTTGAGACTGCACATCTGTGTGTTTTCACAGTCCCTAATGTGTGTAAATGGATGGTTTCATCACAGGTGCAGGCCACTGCCCAGCCTATCAAAGTTCCTCAGTTTATCCCTCCACCTAGACTGATGCCTCGACCTACCTTTCTACCGCAGGTTCGTCCACATGGATCTCCCCACCCCTCACCCTCTCTCCAGTAACACTAACAGGGGGCGTTTGGATTGGATATCAGTCCTAGAATGATAAGCTTCTAAGCTTTAATTCATTAGCTATCATCTGACATCATATAACATCAAATGTACTCAATTTGAGGCAGTTTGATTAGATAGCCTACCACAATGGTTTTCTATTCAGAGGTCTGAATAGGAATTCTACTGGAGGGGACTGGTGGAGCAAGTTATTTTAATTTGTTGTGTTTGTCTTGTGTCCTTATGTGATGTGTGTTCATATGCTTTTTGTTCAGGACAGAAGGCTTGGCCCAAGACCTGTTTCAGTGGCATTTTCGTAACCCCTTGCTAACTACCTGGCTTCTATGTCAGCAGTGTTGTTCCTTACCACGTGCTTTGGCTGTTCCTTCAATCTACCTGCCCAGTGCCAACCCACCTCCTGCTAACCTTTGCTGTGAATGTGGCATGCTCTCTGTTGTTTCTGCTTTGTGTGTTGATTACAGAGGGTTAATGACAAAGCTGTGTAATTGATATGCACTTTTCTTGCTGTTTAAAAGACATTGGCCCTTACATACTGTATACTCACTATCTTCCTCTCTATATTGTGGACCAGGTTCGACCTAAACCAGCCACACCTACACCCACTTCCACGGTGCCCATCGCCCCTGCGCCCCCTCCTCCCATGCTGGCTGCCCCCCAGCTCCTCCAGCGGCCGGTCATGTTGACCACCAAGCTGACCTCCACCTCACTGGCCTCCACCACCGGGCCCATCCACCAGGTACGCATCGTAAACGGCCAGCCCTGCGCCAGCATCACCAAGACCCTGCCATCTGCCCAGCTGACTGGCATCGTCATCACCTCGCCAGCCACCGTTACGGCCACCACCCCCCTGGCAACACATCAGACCCTTCAGATCAGAAGCCTCAGCCCTGACACCAAGGTGAGAGCAAGGGGAACGGAGAGGGGGCAGGCGAACTTGATTTGTCTAAATTACATTAATCTCAAAGGACCCAATCAAATTAAATCTATTAGCTTCCAGCTAATATTTTGAGTAGGGCCTTCAGTAGTAGAATTACCATTTTCATTGCTGTTAAACCAAGAAGCACCCTGCTGTTAGCCTTGCTATTTTTGGTTCATCACAGGCTTCTTACTTAACTCAATTTGGTCTGCATAGACACCCTGCTTTGTTGATGTGCATGGATAGGTACTTGAGCGGCTGCCACAACTCTATTCCAGAGTGAATTCTTAGATACAGTGAATATTGGAAGACCTCTCAATAACATTAATGAATGGAAAGTCCTCCACCTCCATAAGCCAGGTCATCACCACCCTCTGTTCTGGTTTGCTGTGTGTGAAAATGTGTGTTTTTCCCGTTGAGAGAGGTCTCTAATGAAGGGGCGTAGCACCCACCATGGAGGGACTGTGGCTCTTGAAATGTGTGGCTAACTCTGTTACTTCTGTCCTCCAGACTGTTAAAGCTCGGGGTGTTACAGAGCCGAAGACATCGGCCAGTGCGCCCTCCTCCCCCTTACACACCGCTAGAGGCACCCCTCCACCCCTGCTGAGGAACAAGAGAGAGGACAACCCCCAGGTGGGCCTATACTCTATACACAGATGCAATGAAAACAGGACAAGAATAGTATATGGTCAGCTTTGTTTCTGACACGTTTAATAAAAATGTGATTTCTTGTTCTCTCCCACAGAAACTTGCCTTCATGGTGTCCTTGGGACTTGTGACATATGACCATCTGGAAGGTTGGAAGACCCAAATGGAGCTTTGCTTTTTCATAGCACCCCCACCCTGTTCTGTATACATTTTCACAATAATGTATGCACTTGCGTGAAGACAATGTAACATCAGATATGTCCATAGTGTTATACTGACCTGGTCTATTCGATACCTGTGCAGAGATCCAGAGTCGGAGGCAGGAGCGCAAGAGGAGAACGACAGCGAACCCAGTGTACAGTGGAGCAGTGTTTGAGCCTGAGGTACAGTATATAGGCCACTAAGGTTATTATTATGGCATTATGATGATACTGTCAGGGTTGGGGTCAATTCCATTTAAATTCCAGTCAATTCAGGAAGTACATTAAAATTAAAATTCTCTTCAATGGGGAAAATTTGGAATTGGAATTTGGTTTACTTTCTGAATTGACTGGAATTTAAATGGAACCGACCCCATTCTACTGTACCCATTTAACTCTGCTGTGAGAGAACCCTACCTAAGTAGTAAATAAAACGTATATTTACAGCGTAAGAAGAACGGCGTCACATACCTGAACACTCCTCTACACCAAGGCACCAGGAAGAGAGGTCAGTATGAATTCTCCTGTCAGGTTATGGAAACACCTAGCTGCTCAGGGTTGTGTGGAGTGTCACACCTTGTAACCTTGTTAACACCACCGTGTCAATTGGACCGCACCCCTGCCTCCCAAATACCAGCAGGAAGGCTATGCTGTCATATCTCATAACTGTGGAGACTAGTATACATTATTTTGTTGTACTGTGATACTGTCCCATCACAGACTTACTGTAGTAGCTCTGTTGGTTGTGCTGTCATGCTAATGCAATGTAGCTGGCTCTTTCCTTGCCTTGCATTTCCTGCTTTAATGCCGCTTGACTCTGTGATTTTTCCCTGTCAGTAATTAATGCTACTTAACCAGCTCTCTTTGCCCTCTCAGTAAGATGCCTTCCCACCCTGCTCTGAATGTATTGTTGAGGATGGCTTCATAGTTCTGTGGTCCTCTGTAGCTCAGCTGGTAGAGCACGGCGCTTGTAACGCCAAGGTAGTGGGTTCGATCCCCGGGACCACCCATACACAAATAAAAATGTATGCACGCATGACTGTAAGTCGCTTTGGATAAAAGCGTCTGCTAAATGGCATATTATATTATTATATTATTCTGCCTGTACTGTATGTGCTCACCCCAGGACTCTACCAAGCAAAACCCCATGTGGATTTGAGCCATGTCTCTGTCTGAATGCTATGTGTATGGCATTAGCCTGGGTACCAGTCTGAGTTATCATTCCACTCCTTGTCATGTTTAGCATGACACGGAGTATATGGAGTGGAATGTCAACAAAACAGGTTCTGGATTTCAGGCTAGTATGGCATGCCAAGCCAAGTCAGACATCACTGCTAATTTGTTTGTAACATACTTAAGAGGCCTGTTATGTAACAGATTTAGTGGTACACTGCAGTTCTATGGGTAGAACATTTAGGATAATTAATCCTCATATGAACCAAGCATTTGCTTCCCACGTTCTGACTGACAATGTTGAATGTAGCTGTATTTGACCTATTGTTTCATATAGTACATTGAAATAATATTGATATTAGCTGATATTAGATTTTACATTTGTTTCAACAAAGTTTTGCTCTGCGGGTCGATACGATGTGGCTTATATCTTGCTTTGACCTGGTTTGTTCTCAGAACTACTGTCTAATTAACTGTCAGCTTTGCCCAGCTCACCCTTCCTCTTGACCCGACTTCACGCTGTTCCCCCTCGCTGTGTACTAACGCTTCTGTCTGTGCTCCTCCTCTTCCTCTTCCTTATGCGCTAGCCAATGAGGACCCCTTGTCACAGGTATGTCATGAGAATGTTTTTTTATTTTGTTCTCCCATTTTCCTTTCTTTTGTTTTTGTTTTGTTTTGTCGTGTCTCATCTCACCCAGGTCGCCCACCCAAATACAGCAGTGTTCCTGAGCTGGGTCTTCACACCCCAACATCCCCCACCAGCAGTCATTCCGCCTCCCCGGCCCACCATCGGCCAGAGAGGGGGGGCTCTCACTTCCCCGTCCACCCCCACACCCTCCCTCTGCCTAGCCCCAGCTCCGGGGATGTAAGTAGCTGATGGAGAGCCCACTGCACCTACCAGGACTAGAGGAAGCCTCCCCCCAAATCCCCCCTCAGTGGTATCTCCCTGAGGTTCCTATGGTTTCAGGACAGACCATACCTCGTTACAACATGAAACCTTCCACATCCATTCACTTTTACACCCTACATGCCATTACATCCATCATTCATTTATGTGTGACAATCTATGTGTGTCCTGGTGTCCATAACCTTACAAAGTGAAAAGTCCCTCCTTTGGCTGAGGATGTTTGGATCAACGCATCACACGTCAGTGTTGTTGACAGTGGTGTTTGGGGTTTGGTAGGGTACCTTGACCAGCAACATTACTCGCGGTCATCCAGTGAAAACTGTGGAGTGTGAACAACACCCAGTGCCCACAAATACAATTACAATGTGGACAGTTTGAAAGCACAGTCAGATTGGACAGGTGTCATTCAGTGAAGTTCGACTCCCTCTCCTCTAGTCCCACATATCCAGGTATGATCGGTTGGGCGTAGTGGCCACAATACTGATTGATGCAATTCTTCCTGACAGGGAGACATCCATGAGGACTTCTGCACTGTGTGCAGGCGCAGTGGTCAGTTGCTCATGTGTGACACATGTGCACGTGTTTACCATCTGGACTGCCTCGCTCCACCCTTGAAAACCATTCCCAGGGGCATGTGGATCTGCCCCAAATGTCACGACCAGGTAACAGCAGCATCTGTCCCTGAAGTCTCAGCCACTTAGAAGCTCCCCCAGCAGTTCCCAGGCTGGTTGTAAACTAAATGCAGCTAAAACAAGCTCCTGCTGAGCCACAGACACCCCTGTTTATCCAAGGCAGTTTGTAAGAGTGAGATATTAGAAGGTGAATCCTCAGTGAGAACTACTCATGCCACCTTGTCCTAGTGCTCTCAGGAATCTCAGAGCTTGTCTTATTGTAGGGTGTCTGAGCAATAAGACTGTTCCTAGCTTTGTAAGTTCTCCCAACAAAGTTTTTGAACAGGCATGAGAAAGCGCCATGCATTTCATTTCATTATTTGTACAAAATGCTTCTTGCACTGTCATCTTTTTTTTAATTTTTTATCTTGTCTGTCTGATCTCTGAAAGATTTGTGTGATGTGGAAGTTCTCCACAGGGGCCCTGTATGTGTCCCTGGGCTTTTGGTAGCTTGGTTGAAAGGGAAGACGTGTTATGTTGATGTCCCTCTGTGTAATGATTCCATAACATACAGTATGATAACCTACAGTAACCAATAATCATTTGATTCATGGCCTTGTCTCTCTGTCCTAAAATCCATGACAACAACGTTCAGAGCCATGATTGTATAAACATCTAAAAGTTGGTGAAGAAATCAGGCAACAAAGATGAGCAATAATGACTGTATAAAATAAATAATTGAAATACTGAGCTATATTTTATGCAAAAAGAAATTGGGAAAGTATATTATTTTATACTAATACAATTGTTTAGAGAAAGATTTTGTTTAACAAGTAATAATGTTTTCTCTCAAAAAGGTAGCCGTCAGAATTATTGACACCCATAAATACTCGTATAATTAAAGTCGTCAAAAGGTTAGTATTTGGTCCCATATTCATAGCACACAATGACTACATTGCTGGATGCATTTGCAGTTAATTTGATTGTGTTTCAGATTATTTTGTGCCAAATACAAATGAATGGTAAATAATGTATTGTGTCATTTTGGAGTCACTTTTATTGCAAATAACAATAGAATATGTTTCTAAACACTTTTACATTAATGTGGATGCTACTGTGAATAATGATGAGTCCTGCTTCAGTTCCGAGGGTCAGAGGTCATGCCCCAAAGACATGCTTTCACCATTACCAATAACGGGAGGTTAGCGTGTGTTGGGGGTATAATCTTTGACCCTCTGTAACTTTCTCACTCATCATTATTCACGATTCATTCAGGATTATCCGTAATCATGGTAGCATCCACATTAATGTAGAAGTGTTTAGAAACATATTTTTGTTCTTATTTACAATAAAAGTGACTTCAAAATGACACAATACATTATTTACCATTAATTTCTATTGGGCACAAAATAATCTGAAACAACCAAAACTAACTGCAAATGCATCCAACATGTTTGTAGAATCACATATGCTAGTAATATGGGACCAAATACTAAACCTTTGACTACTTTATTTATAAGAATCTTTAGGAGTGTCAATAATTTTGACCGCTACCTTTTTGAGAGAAAGAAAGTATTACTTGTTAAACAAAATCTCTTTCTCTGAGCAATTTTATTCGTATAACATAATATCATTTCCAAAAAAAAATCTTGTGCAAGTTCTCCCACTTAAAAAGATGAGAGAGGCCTGTAATTTTCATCATAGGTACACGTCAACTATGACAGACAAAATCAGGAAAAAAAATCCAGAAAATCACATTGTAGGATTTTTAATGAATTTATTTGCAAATTATGGTGGAAAATAAGTATTTGGTCAATAACAAAAGTTTCTCAATACTTTGTTATATACCCTTTGTTGGCAATGACACAGGTCAAACGTTTTCTGTAAGTCTTCACAAGGTTTTCACACACTGTTGCTGGTATTTTGGCCCATTCCTCCGTGCAGATCTCCTCTACAGCAGTGATGTTTTGGGGCTGTGGCTGGGCAACACTGACTTTCAACTCCCTCCAAAGATTTTCTATGGGGTTGAGATCTGGAGACTGGCTAGGCCACTCCAGGACCTTGAAATGCTTCTTACGAAGCCACTCCTTCGTTGCCCGGGCGGTGTGTTTGGGATCATTGTCATGCTGAAAGACCCAGCCACGTTTCATCTTCAATGCCCTTGCTGATGGAAGGAGGTTTTCACTCAAAATCTCACGATACATGGCCCCATTCATTATTTTCTTTACACGGATCAGTCGTCCTGGTACCTTTGCAGAAAAACAGCCCCAAAGCATGATGTTTCCACTCCCATGCTTCACAGTAGGTATGGTGTTCTTTGGATGCAACTCGGCATTCTTTGTCCTCCAAACACGACGAGTTGAGTTTTTACCAAAAAGTTCTATTTTGGTTTCATCTGACCATATGACATTCTCCCAATCCTCTTCTGGATCATCCAAATGCACTCTAGCAAACTTCAGACGGGCCTGGACATGTACTGGCTTAAGCAGGGGGACACGTCTAGCACTGCAGGATTTGAGTCCCTGGTGGCGTAGTGTGTTACTGATGGTAGGCTTTGTTACTTTGGTCCCAGCTCTCTGCAGGTCATTCACTAGGTCCCCCGTGTGGTTCTGGGATTTTTGCTCACCGTTCTTGTGATCATTTTGACTCCACGGGGTGAGATCTTGCGTGGAGCCCCAGATCGAGGGAGATTATCAGTGGTCTTGTATGTCTTCCATTTCCTAATAATTGCTCCCACAGTTGATTTCTTCAAACCAAGCTGCTTACCTATTGCAGATTCAGTCTTCCCAGCCTGGTGCAGGTCTACAATTTTGTTTCTGGTGTCCTTTGACAGCTCTTTGGTCTTGGCCATAGTGGAGTTTGGAGTGTGACTGTTTGAGGTTGTGAACAGGTGTCTTTTATACTGATAACAAGTTCAAACAGTTGCCATTAATACAGGTAACGAGTTGAGGACAGAGGAGCCTCTTAAAGAAGAAGTTACAGGTCTGTGAGGGCCAGGAATCTTGCTTGTTTGTAGGTGACCAAATACTTATTTTCCACCATAATTTGCAAAGAAATTCATTAAAAATCCTACAATGTAATTTTCTGGATTTTTTTTTCTCAATTTGTCTGTCATAGTTGACGTGTACCTATGATGAAAATTACAGGCCTCTCTCATCTTTTTAAGTGGGAGAACTTGCACAATTGGTGGCTGACTAAATACTTTTTTTCCCCACTGTAGCTCAGTATTTAAATTATACTGTATATCTCCGCTCTCCTGTCTCCACCAAAAACTACTGAAACATAATGGATGGTTGAATGGTTATTACAACAATACAAAAAAGAAGCAGAACTAATCCTATTGTTGACAGGATTTAAATGTTTTCCCTTTTCTTCTTTAGATTTTGATGAAAGATGAGGCAATCCCATGGCCTGGAACCCTCGCTATCGTTCATTCCTACATTGCATATAAAGCAGGTACAGAAGAAGACAGTTATTAAAAGAGCTACCTCAAATGAATTTGTATGAATATAATTAACACAGCGTTGACTGTAATGGTTTCTCTGTCTTCTGGCTGACAGCTAAAGAGGAGGAGAAGCAGAAACTGGTGAAGTGGAGCTCGGAACTGAAGCAGGACAGAGAACAGCTAGAACAAAGGGTCAAACAGCTGAGCCAATCCATAACGGTAAGCATCACACTGCATGACACTGATGCTAACACTGAAGTCATGTGAAGTCATCTCAGAACAGTACATTAACTGGATGGTTAATTACTAATAGGTCTGTCCCTATTTCCCTCTAAAGAAATGCATGGAGAACAAGAACACTATCCTGGCCCGTCAGAGGGACATGCACAACTCCCTGGAGAAGGTCAAGGGCCTGGTGCATCTCATTCAGGGCATGAACTTCTGCCCATCCCCTGAGGCCTCACCGCCACCGCCAGCGGTCCAGACCAGCATCACAAATGGAGGAACAGACTGTGCCAGTGCTGACCACACGGACGACACAAGTCCTGAGGATCACAAGAACATAAGTAACAATAGTAGGGATGACCTGAACAACAACACAGACGGGGCGGCAGAGGAGGATGAGAAAGAGGAAGTTAAAGAGATTGACAACCTCAACAGCAGCAGCCTCGGCAAAACCTTAGCGCCTCCCCAGACTATTGCACCGGCCCCTGTGGATGTAGCAGAGGGGCCAAATAACACCCACCCACCCAGTCCAGAGACAGGAACCCCCAAATATGGAGAGAGGGAAAGAAAAAGATAAAGCATCCCATGAAGTTGCCCAAAGTTGCCAATGGATTAACACACGCCAACATATATATTTTTGGGTCGTTGTTATTGTAGTTGTGTATTATTGGATTGTCTGAGAGGACATACATTATGAGTATCTGATCGAGAAATGGAAAGGGACGAAGGAGGGTGATTTATGTACCAGTGGTATGCCAATCGAGGTCAAAGATTATTATTCAAGTCTGATGATATTGACACTCTTACTAATAATAACGATATTGTTAATAGTAATAAACATCACACCAATGTGTGCCTCCAATAGTCGCCATAGCGCCTCTTTGTGGGGATGGTTTCTTAGGGTGTCTTAATCTGCAGCTTCAGGGGAGATGGATCCGAGATGTCCAAAGACAAGACCTGCCTGCTCGCCTGAAGATCCACCACATACACCACACCAGAAACAATTGGATCAACCAAAACACCATAGCAGCCATTTGGAATTTAAAAACGACCAGGGGACAAGGTTTTGTTTGCTGCAGTATTTGTCAACAGTGAAAATCACTGAAGTATTGCCTGAGGGATATGATTTGTCCCAAATCACACTTTTTGTCTTAAAGGAGCTCCAGCCCACCTCCATCCATGTATCCCACCTGCCCCATTACAACCACCAAAACCCCTGACAATACAGCTTAAAGTAACATCACAGGACAGATGATGGATCAGCATAGGTCAGCCTCACGTTCAAGTTGTATCCACTGTCACCTCAGTGCTGCCCAACAGACAGCTGGACAGACCGACTACAGTGGGAGGAGCTCAGCATTCAGCTTAAGATCCGTGGTCTTCAGCCGCATCACATGGACTCATTGCATGCTTCATTGACGACGGAGATGTTTTTCTTTTCAATGTAACCTTATCATGACTTGTGTTGCATTGTCCATTGTTGCTGAACTTAGCATTCCTTTTTGCTTGTTGAGAATATGATTGACCCATTTTTGGAGTGATACATTGGGAGACATAAAAAGAAAGCTGCTGCATCAATATTCCATTTGAATGATAGAGTCCATGTGAATGCAGCTCTAGGCATGCATGGGGACTTTGCAACTATCAGTTCAGATATTGTCTGAGAGGTTTTTTGTGTCCGTTTGTCATGCCCCTGGGATCTGTTGCTAAAGGAAACTAACAATTTATTCTGGGGGGATCTATTTGTATTCAGGTCTTCCTAGTTTTCAAATATCAAGATATGCTTCTTCAAAAGTGCTTTTCTGTTTCGCATTACTTTGGTTTCTTATAAAATATATTAGAACTGGAAAATAATATGTAAATAGCTTTGTTTTTTTAGATGTTCCTTGCAATTGAATTATCATTCAATATGCTGAATTCATAACTGCCAAATGCTATTGTATCCAAATACAGCAGGGAAACAGTCCTATTTTCTTATATAATGTTTTTAAGGTTTCAATTAGGAGTCCCCATAGATGGGCACAAATTTTGCATGGCCGTTACATACAAACAAAAGAGAGTGTGGCAATGACATTGTTCCAAATGTTGTTTGGAAAAACTGCCAGGAGCCCTATAGGAAAAGCACAAGCTTGTTGGCAAAAAAAACTGGAACCGAACCACATACACCCGTCCTGCCATAAACATGTCTAAAGTAAATTTGAACATTTTAATGATTATATTTTACACCACAACACTGACAAGTCACCTTTCATTTTACACATTGTTTACCCTTTTGTACAGTACGTGTAGCTTTTATTTATAACCTGCCATTTTACATGATTAAGTCCTTAGAGTTGCAATGAAATGTAGATATATTAGTTGTGAAACACTTGAGAAATTAGGGACATTAAATGGAAATTAAGGAATAGGTTGCCAGTAAACATATAATTTCATTTCACCTACTTGCTGTACTACACCATATGGTATGGGTTCCCCTGGGGTACCTTTTCTAGAGAGTTTGAAGGCGTTTACAAGGCCCTATATATTTTCTCTGACATGAAATGCACCCAACCATGGCAATGTTTTAGACAGATTTAAGTTTTTCAAAATAAAAAATCATAATAATGCAATTAACTGGAAAGCACAAGGGAAGATGCAAAGCGGTTTTAATCTATAGCCAGATCAAGAGGAAAGCATTAGTTAAAGAATAAGTGATGGCCCAGTCCAGTGTCTTGTGTGGATGGCCTGCAGTACTTGTCATTGTATAGCAATTGCCTTAAGAAATTCTTGCTCCTCGTGAACAAACTGTGTTCGGTGTATTGTTGGTCTTATTTGAGTGTCTCAAAAAAATTCAGTGAATTATGGAAATATTGTCTATTTGTGATGTACCATTTCAGGAAATCGACTTTTCTTTGCACAGAACTGAAATGATTGGCTAAAATTGGAATCTATTGTTTTCACAAGGGGTCAGTTGCTCTGAGTCATCATGTAAGAGAGTTCTGATTAGTTTTGACTTGACTTGCCAGTGTATGAAAAATAAGGATTGTGATTTGAACTACTATTTGAGTTTTCCCTCCACCAAGTCCCTCAAATACAAGTAATTAGCTAATATTATAATGCACCTTTGGTTGAACACTCAACAGTGTTATATCATTTAGTTCTCTCCTGATTGTACATTTGCCATCTTCACAGAGCAAGATGCAAATTATAAAAGTGGCAGCAGTGATGACACTTTTTTTTTATGGTGCAGAAGCTTAGAAAATGTAGCTCTCAGTGCCTCAATAATGCAATAGAAATAATAAGGATCTCAGCAAATACTCTCCCTATCTTTGCTCAGCATGGTGAGCCAAAAAAAACAACTACTACAGTTGTCAAAACCTCAACAAATCTATGCCTACATATGCAAATAGATTGTATGGACATGATTATACTTAGAAAAACCATTCCATTTAGAACTGAATTTAACCTTTCCAACCTTGGTAACACTTTACTTTAAGGTACCTTTCATAAAATAGTTATAAGTAGTTTATAGACTGTTATTTAGTAGTTTACAGATTTTAGTTTAAAACCCATAACTAATAAGTAACACTTTATAGACCAGTGATGAAGGGTATAGGCTACCTTAATGTAAAGTGTTACAGCAGCATATTGAAAACTACAGCTGTACCATTAAATGTTTCATATACTGTATACGTACCCCAATGACTCGTGTAGGAAATGAAATATTATTCTCAATTAGTGACTTTTATTGGATCATAACTTTGAAGGCAAAGTGCTGAATATTATGGGTGTAATTGTTTGTATTTTCTGATATAGGGAGGAAAATAGGGGAGGATGTGGTATGGCCAACTCAAATATTGTGTAGTGCTTTGTGCTGTGAAAGAAAGTAAATGTCATGTTGGTTAAAAAAAAATTGGAAACAACGTTAATATCCAAAGAATGATTTTAAAGCCTTTTTTATTTCCATTTATGATGTACACCAGCTAAATATTATTCACAATGAGAGCAACCAATTAGGAAACCAATATTGAGTAGATTCTTCATCCATACCAGTGCATTCATTACCTTGGATTCTCTGCATATCTTGATTAGTTCTGAAAACAGTTATTCTCATGCTATATCATGTCACATCTGTGGCCTTCAAGTATTCTAGTTGCATTTCATTGCCATCAATATGGAGACCCCCCTTTCTTGTAACCTCTGTCCCACCTCTTACCTCATGCACTCATATCATTTCATAAATTTAGAAGGTTTTTTCTTAACGTAAAGTATTCTTCCTCTTGGATAAGATGCATTGTAGCAAATCAAGCAAGTCACAGGCACTAATGTGCTGAATATAGTGTAAATGGTTTATTACACAAACTGCATACTCTCTTGTAATATTTGTCAGTTGTATTTTTTCACAATAATTTTTTTAAAGAAGTATTTGTTTATTTTTTGACTACGGTTTTGTTACCTATCCTTTTTGTTGCCTGTGATCCACTGATTTCCTTTACCTCTTTCCTGTACTTTAGTTATTTTATGTAGCTATTTGTATGCAGTGTTTGGCAAATTCCATTGCAGTGTCAGAGTAAGTCGAGATTTTTGGAGCATTCGATCAATTTGTATTTATTTATTTGACAATTTTTTAATAAAATTACAAAGTTGTAATTGTGACTTCTCTTCTCTCTGTATAAATATATCCTGATTATAAACAGCCATCAATATTTAGTGTGTGACAGTTCTCCTTACAAACACTGTAGACACCAAAATGTCTAACAAAATAACATTTCAGTTTACATGATGTCTAATCTTTTTGTAATAATGGAATTACCCATAATTCAATGTCAAACAGAGATAATACCTCCTGGTCAAAGTGCAACTTCCGATCCATTTTCAGCTGCTTTCTGTCAAACTCCCATTTATGTTGTCAAGTGCCATATCAAAGCAGTGTGAACCCCTATGCAATTGTGCATTAACCAAATATGTAGCCATAGACACACAATATATATACTTTGTGTGAAATGCTGTCCATTATTTCCAAACCCATGAAGTCAGTGTTCTTCTCCAACTTCTATGTGCTTGTTATAAGGAAACTATCCACTGACCTCTCGCTGTCAACTTTCGCATAACGCAGATGAAGATAGGAACGGTAGATCTTCAGTCAGTTCTCAGGGGGCCAGACTGAGCTGCCTTGGTCACCACTGCATGGTCTTGCTGCGGGTGAGCTTGCGGCTCAGTGCATGCCTCATCTGGAGCATGCGTGAGCGTTTGTCCATGGCCAGTAGGTGGCGGTGGTACTCCAGACGCACCTCTCGTACCAACTTCTCAACCGCTACCTCCACAGCCGCAGAACACTCCGCCACAGACAACTCAAAGAAGCTGCACCTGAACATACACAAGAGGCTAAAGATACGTTCTCCATTCTTCATCGCCCACTGAAAACAAATGGACATTGACAACTGGTCAATTTAATGTATGGATATGGTTGAGGGACAAAGAAATGGTTTTCCAGCATGGATCATTCACCACTGGCTGATTATATTTTCATTCACTTGTGTTGGCAAAAACTTTTACTACATCTTACTTCACACATCTTCAAAATGTAGTAGGATTCAGTGTTCCAAGGCTAATAAGAATATAACTGAATGGAAATTGTTGCTGATGGCACCAGACAAGTGAATCAATGGAAACATGTTACCTCAGATCACTGGCAAGGGCCTTTCCTTCTTCTGTCTGCACCATCCTTCCATTCTCTATGTCACATTTATTCGCAACTATTACAGTAGGCATGCCTGTTGAAAGCATAAAACAGACTTTAGAAACCTATTAAAGGGACACAAAACACACACACACACAATACACACAGAGATGATCTTGTTTAAGATGATCTATCTTGCAAGGATTTGAGGCTATGCACTGTCGTAAAAGTGACAACTGAGAAAAGACAACCACCACGTTTGCAGTTACGATAAGCAGACCTACTGTTTTATAAACCTTGCCTGGTGGATTCACTGTCCTGGTGTGTAACAGTGGCTTAAGTCTTTTATTACAGCAAAAGCTGTAAGCAGTCAAACTCAGCTTAACACAGCCTTGATAAAACCAGTTCCCCTAGTCATGAGTGATTTAATGGAATCATTCCGATAAATTAGATAAACCTTATACAAAAGCTGAATTTCCTTCAATGAAAAGATAGCTGGACTAGCCTATGTGACGTAGGTTCTGTAAGAGTCATGGGTGGGTTTGGTTCTAGGCTGCCCTATAGCCTCTTAGAAGATGTAACCTCTGCAATAATGAGATGCCCTCCACCCCAGACTCTATTTGATTGCCCTTTCCCCTAGTGTTTCCAAAGGTCAAAATAGCTGTCTCACCCAGGGTCTGCTTGACATGATCAATAAGCCTCTTTAAGCGTGAGACGGACTCAAAGCTGCTCCGGTCTGTGATGGAATACATAATAAGGAAACCGTCGCCCCATTTAATGGAACTCTCAAGAGAAGGTGCTGCAGAACCCACACACTCCTGCAGAGAGAGAGATAACGAGATATGGGGGGAGGGGGGGACCACAAAGGTTGAGTTTTGATTTAATAAAGAACTAAATACATCTGCACACTGGTTTTATGCTCTTAAAAGTGGTCTGTTCATGGCAACATTTCGACTCTAGCAGGGACATAGCACTTTTGGGAGCATATGCCAGTGTGTGGATTTGTTTTGTTCTCTACGATTGTTTGTTTAAATCAATGCAAATAGTCCGGGTAGCCATTTGATTAGATGTTCAGGAGTCTTATGGGGGGTAGAAGCTGTTTAGAAGCCTCATGGACCTACACTTGGCGCTCCGGTACCGCTTGCCGTGCAGTAGCAGAGAGAACAGTCTATGACTAGGGTGGCTGGAGTCTTTGACCATTTCTAGGGCCTTCCTCTGACACCGCCTGGTATAGAGGTCCTGGATGGCAGGAAGCTTGGCCCCAGTGATGTGCTGGGCTGTACACACTACCCTCTGTAGTGCCTTGCGGTCGGAGGCTGAGCAGTTGCCATACCAGGCAGTGATGCAACCAGTCAGGATGCTCTCGATGGTGCAGCTGTAGAACCTTTTGAGGATCTGAGGACCCATGCCAAATCTTTTCAGTCACCTTAGGGGGAATAGGTTTTGTTGTGCCCTCTTCACGACTGTCCTTGGTGTGCTTGGACCATGATAGTTTGTTGGTGATGTAGACACCAAGGAACTTGAAGCTCAAGCACCTGGAGCATGTTTTTTTGCAGGATGTGCACATACCACATCCTTGACCTTGTGAGTTTCCATTTGACAGGTTAAGTGATGAGACGGCTGTTTACTTTTTAGTTTAATCTTCATTCAAAACTACTGACAGTAGATGGGATAGTTAATCCACTCAAATGGCCTTGAGTGTTCTTTTCATTGTCGCATCAGATGTTTCTGGTCCTCAGTACCATTATATTTGATCAATGTCAACATTGTTGATATTATGTCCAAGACACTTTAAGGCACCATGATTCAAGAAAACAGACTTGAAAGGAATGGTATGGGGGTCTGGTTGTTGTCTGAGACTGAGAGTAATCTTCCTCTTTGGGTTTATAGAGGTCTGACATAGGGCAGAGAGAAACAAATCCCCCAAATAGTCAAATATAGACTGAATTCTGAGATCAAAGTAAAGCCAAGAGTATGATGGACCTCAGTCTTTGGATAGTACCTTTGGCTGTGTCCAATATCTCCAAATCGATGGTCTCCTTGTCCACAGTTTTCCGACACCTGTAAGTTACTTCTGTATGAGAACACCACAGACAGAATGCTGTCAGCCTAATATAGTCAAGTGGCAACTTACATAAGGGACAGTAAAATTAGATGCAGTTTGTCTTTACCCTTTTTATGGTCATACTCTCCTATGTACCGCTTGGTGATGAATCTAACACACAGGGCTGCAGTTAAAACAAAGCAGACCATGAGCACTCAGGTATTTGAAATATTTCCCCTTGTGTAGACCTCCCCACATTAGTTAAGCCTAGGCTACTGATAGTACATATTAGTAAATAGCATAGTAAACATCATACTAAATTAACATAGTATCAACAATTCAGAGTATTATTATTTTACATTCATTTTTGTATTGCAGATTTGTCTCACCTTTAGACTTTTTTAAAAAGTCAGTCCTGGATGAGCCATTCAATATCCCACTCAATTTAAGCCATCAGTCTTCATTTAAAATAATTTTCAATACCTGTCTTTCCACAGTTGTCTCGTCCAAGTATCACCAACTTTGCCCGTGACATTTTTCTAGACGGTCCAGAATCGGTCATAGCTTGGATGGGAAAAGTGTATTGAAAACAGGCTGCATTGTATCAATATCTAAAACATATAACATGTTATTGTTATCCGGCAAGCCTATTTCAAATTGTGTGGTCATCATGTTGGTGCTTGCGAAAAAGTTCGATTGTGTGGCTGGTTACACCGTTATACCAATAAAAATAAATTGCATGCCAATGAGTTATGTTGATTAATTCTTTATAAACACTAAAACATGTATGAACTTACTTTACAAATAATCACAGCTTGTCTAAATAAGTTGAACACTTTTTTCTTCAGTCTACAACAGTTAGTTCAAAACCAGGATTCAGCCGAGTTCTGAGAACTCCTGCTACGTCTGTTCATGCATATTTTCTTCTTTTTTTTAAACAAAAACGGTGCAACACACATCGGATGTAATTTTGCGAGTATATGAAATATTCTCTATCCTTACTCACTCACTTCGCTATGTCTGGTCCTCCAATTACTCAATAAGTTGCTGGGAGACAAAAATATGTTTGTTCTCCATCACTTGCTCTGGTTTTCAGCTCAGTCCATCCATCGCCTTTAGTTTCCCTTTTCAAAATGAAACAATTTCTTCTTTTTGAAGGCGCGCCCCTTCCAAGTTTCATTAAATTGATTTGATGTATTGCTGTTGATAACCAAGCATGCTGTGCGATGGAGACAGCTTGCTTGGTCTTTGCACCGTTAACTCAAACAAACTGATATGGCGAATAAACTTTTTATCAAACAGTTTCTGGAATAATTTTAAACTGTTAAGTTTTTTTTTTATATAGTTGTGCATAGTTATGCGTATCTCTGATCAGATTTGAAGAAATTGTTGGTTATAAAGAGCAAAATAAATGAAACAGGCATAGACACATGTATTTATTGTAGCCAATTCCCATGTCTGCAAATACATACGTGTCTTCAGAAAAGATTTACACCCCTAGACTTTTTCCACATTTTGCTGTGTTTACAGCTTCAATTTAAAATGGATTAAACTGAGATTTTGTGTCACTGGCCTACACATAATACCCCATAATGTCAAAGTGGAATTATGTTTTTACATTTTTTCACAAATTCATTAAAAATGAAAAGCTGAAATGTCTTGAGTCAATAATAAGTATCAACCCCTTTGTTATGGCAAGCCTAAATAAGTTCAGGAGAAACATTTGTTTCACAAGCCACATAATAAGTTGCTGGATTCACTCTGTGTGCAATAACAGTGTTTACCTTGATTTTTGAATGACTACCTCATCTCTTTACCCGACACATACAATTATCTGTAAGGTCCCTCAGTCGAGCAGTGAATTTCAAACACAGATTCAATCACAAAGACCAGGCAGGTTTTCCAATGCCTCGCAAAGAAGGGCACCTATTGGTAGATGGGTAAAAAAAAAGAAGCTAACATTGAATATCCCTTTGAGCATGGTGAAGTTTTTTAATTACACTTTGGATGGTGTATCAATACACCCAGTCACTACAAAGATACAGGCGTCCTTCCTAACTCAGTTGCCAGAGAGGAAGGAAACCGCTCAGGGATTTCACCATGAGGCCAATGGTGACTTTAAAACAGTTACAGAGTTGATAGGAGAAAACTGAGGATGGATCAAACACATTTTAGTTACTCCACAATACTAAGCTAAATGACAGAGTGAAAAGAAGGAAGCCTGTACAGAATACAATTATTCCAAAACATGCATCCTGTTTGCAATAAGTTACTAAAGTAAAACTGCAAAACATTTGGTAAAGAAATCAACTTTATGTTGTGAGTACAAAGCGTTACGTTTAGGGCAAATCCAACACAACACATCACTGAGTACCACCATATTTTCAAGCATGGTGGTGGCTGCTTCATGTTATGGGTATGCTTGTCATCGGAAAGGACTACGGAGTTTTTTAGGATACAAATTTCATTTTCAATAAATGTGTTTTCACTTTGTCATTATGGGGTATTGTGTGTAGATGGGTGAGAAAAATAATATATTTAATCCAACAACAAAATGTGGAATAAGTCAGGGGTATGAATAATTTCTGAAAGCACTGTACATATATACCTCCTACAACCTATATTATTCACAAAATCATCTTTCTTTCTGCTTATCCAGAATCTGGTGTCAACCATTTCTCCATTGCAGGCAGTGTCTCTGTGAACCATACAGTGTTTTCCCCATTGATTCTGAGCATGCAGACCTAGCTGAAGTGACTAAGTATGAGCTCCTGGCGGATTCGGACTGCCTCTGAGTCCACAGCCTCTGGCTTTTGACTGCCCTCCTCTGACTGGTCTGGTATATCAGTCCTCTCAAACGTCCAGGCATCCAAGCCTGATTGCAATGACACATTGTGCAAGACGCAGCAGGCCAGAATGATGTGAGAGCACTTCTCAGGTGAGTACTGAAGGTAGCCTTTGGACCCATCCAGGCAACGGAAACGGGTTTGAATGGCCCTGAACGTGCGGTCCACAATCTCATGAGTGGCAGTGTGAGCCAGGTTGTATCGAAAGTCTGCTGATGTTTCTGGGTACTGGACAGGTGTCATCAGCCATTTCTTTAAAGGATAGCAGCAGTCTCCTACAAGACAAGACATGGCTAGGTTAGACATTATGAAAGAGGGAGGCTTGAAGAGCAAGACAATTTGTTTTTTAATGTATTTTCAACAATGAAAGTTTAAATGGAGGATTATGAGCTATATTACCTAATAACCAGCCTTCATGATTTTCCTGTTCTTCCAATTCCTTGTACACAGAAGACTGTTTAAATATGCAGTTATCCTGTAAGCTGCCAGGCCAGTTAGTCTCTGCACTGAGCAAAAGTCCCCTGGCATCACACACAAGTTGGCAGTTTATTGAATGGAAGCCTTTCTTATTGACATATGAAGAATCCTCTGCATTGGGTGCCTTAATGGCTATATGGGCACAGTCTACAACACCCATGACGTTAGGTATTCCCGCTACCCTGAAAAACTCCTCTTTGGACTGCTGTTTTGTGGCTTCGTCTCTCATGAATCCTATGCACTCTGGAGCTTTCTCAACCAGTGCCTTGGTTACATTTGTCACACAGCGACTCATGGAAGCCTGGCTAATGCCAATGGCATCTCCCATCCTCGTCTGGAAGGATCCTGAGGTATAGAATCCTAAAGCAGCAAGAATCTGAACTTCTGGGCTGATTGCTCGAGACCGTTGCGTACGTCGTGATAAAGTGTCACGCAGTAGCTCCACTAGGTAGTAGATGAAATCTCGAGGGAATCCAAATGTTGTTAATAGGAACTCATCTGAAACAGTCTCTATATCAAACCTGTCGAGAGTTTTATGTCCACGACCATGGAGCAGCAGGTCACAATCCAGGATGGCTATTTGTATAGCCATTTCTACTGATATTCTGTAGGGGGAAAAATGAGAAAGGCATTGTTGAATGCATCAAAATAGAGCCTTGTGTTTTTAGCATGGTCTGTTTCTTTCAATATTATGTTCTGGTCTGGGTTGATATGCTTCCACTCTAACCAAATGTCCAGTTAGCTAAGTCAGAGATGGTCTCTACTAGATATAAAGATGATTGGTTTTCTATACAATTTGTTGTAGCTAGCTAGCTAACGGTACTGGCTAGCATAAAGGCTAGCCTAGCAATTTCCTTATCAGACATTTCTTTGGGAACAGTGAACCAGAGTCACCCGAGATGGTGCTAACTTAGAAGAATACGAACTATAAATATAAATCATTAGTAAAAACACGTCGAATTTGAATCCTACCAGCGTTTGTTGTTGTTGTCGTTGTGACTCGTCTGCGCAAAGTACACTGCGCATTTCACCTTACTGATATCTAGCAAAAATATGTAAGACGCAGTTTCGATTTTATTTTAAAACAAACAAACGTACGTAATTATTGTTTCCAAAACAATGTGTAATATGTTTTTATTGATATTAAAACACTGAAATATCGATAATGTCATTTTCCAGATTTTATAGACCACAGTGTTGGAGATGAAAGTGCTTCTCAAAATACAACTCTTTCGAAACACGTCACACCCCCAAAGAAAATAAACAAGAAATGGGCCAGCTGGTCAAGGCTGGTGTCCCAATAACATAATGCGACGGTGTAACTTAGCCAATATAAGAATATATAATATTTTGGGCATATAGGTAACCAGAAGTACGTTGTTCAGTACGCTATCAGCGCAACATTGAAGTACAAATTGTGAATTTCGGATGTGATGAGCTAAGTACGTGCATGCTAGCTAGGTAGCTAGCCATGCTATCAACTTAATTAGCTAGATAGCTACCACCAATCTTGAATGTTTTCTTGTCATTGACAGCCAATATGTTTTTACTAAAATAGTACCTAGCTAGAGTCTAAGTTAGCTAGCTGTTTTTTGTCAACACACACAAGCTTAATATGGACACACTGGAGTTCTTAGCTAAGATGACTATAGAATGGGGCTAGACAAAATCCAGCATTTTTTTGACTTTGACAAGCCATTGATATAGCCTGCCAACAGTTGTAAGATGAATGTGGCTGTCCTTACCCACCAGAATGTGTTTTTACGTTACAGGGGCATTCCATGATGGACAGTGATCTAAGTCCTCAGGATAAAAAAGACTTGGACAAGTTCATAAAGTTTTTCGCTTTGAAGGTACTCTCTTTAATTATACGCAATATTGCCACAATTAGATTATCAAGCACTTTCTACAGTATTCCTGAGCTGATTAATTCACTGAGGTTGATAATTTACTAATTTCTCTCTGTCATCAGACAGTGCAGGTGATAGTCCAAGCGCGACTTGGGGAAAAAGTATGCACACGCTCCTTGTCTTCACCTACTGGCTCTGATTGGGTAAGTCACCATTCATTCTTGCCTCTCAACTCATGAATTTACCTGTGCCAATTTTTGTCCTGAAAGGGTTGTAGATTAAAGTCTCATTAAACTCAATTATTTTCACCAGTTCAATCTGGCAATCAAAGATATCCCAGAAGTTACACATGAGGCAAAGAAAGCTCTGGCCGGGCAGCTTCCTGGCATCGGACGATCCATGTGTGTTGAGATCTCCCTCAAAACCTCAGAGGTAAGATAGCACAGACTGGTGTTACAGACAGTCCTTGAGACCAGTGGTCTGGATCATTGGGCATTTGTTCATCAATAAATCCAAGTGACTGTAAAGGTTAGAAAAATAACATGTTTTTGTCATATTTTCCAGGGAGACTCAATGGAATTAGAGACATGGTGTCTCGAAATGAACGAGAAGTAAGTAATGAGAAAAGTTTTTTATTTTCTTCTTTTTGTGCTCCAGTTTTTGTAGTTTCTTTTTACATTTGATGGAATGTAACACTCATTGTAAAATGTATGATTCTGTTTTTGCAGGTGTGACAAAGATATTAAGGTGTCCTACACTGTCTATAACCGCCTGTCATTACTGCTCAAGTCACTGCTGGCCATAACAAGGGTAACCCCAGCCTACAAACTCTCACGAAAGCAAGGGCATGACTATGTCATACTGTACAGGTTTGTTTGTTTTATGGTACACAGATATGTGTTATCATTATTTTGACTTAGTAAACAATCTCACTAATAGATACATTCTTTTGCAGGATATATTTTGGAGAGGTTCAACTCACAGGATTGGGAGAAGGTAACCATGCCCGTTATATTATTGATACATTTAGTTGGTTGTCTGGGTCTGTGGAAGTGTTGTATAGGGCTGTGAAGATTCTGACATTTGTTGTTTGTGAATGCTGTTTTTCAGGGTTCCAGACAGTGCGTGTAGGAGTTGTGGGAACTCCCATTGGAACCATCACCTTATCTTGTGCTTACAGGACAAACCTGGCCTTCATGTCCACCAGGTACAGAAACAGAAGCCGTTCTTGTTCACAGCCCTGCATGGCCTCACTCCTCAGCGGTCTCAAATGCACTGCCTGTAAAATCTGCCACTATGTTTTCCCCTTTTCTTCCATGTCCTCTCCTTATTCTCCACTGGTTTTATCGATACACTTCCCTTATTCCTAATTCTACATTCATAATCTCATAGGCAGTTTGAGAGGACGGCTCCGATTATGGGTATAATTATTGACCACTTCGTTGAGCGCCCCTTTGGCAACATGGGACACATGCATCCATGTAACTACAGGTGGGTTAGCCCTAGCCCAAACACCTATACTGACCCAATACAATTATTTATTATCTTCTTTAGTGAAGGTATAAAATAAAGGATAGTGTAACAATCCGGTCATGCTTGTTTGACTATGTTTGTTTGACTTCCCTATACTCAAGAGCACCAGGGGAAGATGAAGGAGCATACACTGGGGTGGAGGATTCTCAGGAAGTGTGCACCACCTCCTTCTCCACTTCTCCACCCTCACAAGTACGTATGTCACTGCCTAGCAAAGTATATCTTTGCAACATGTGTAACTTCACAGGTGCTGTCCATGGTGAGATTTGTGAATGTGACTTACTTAGACACACCGATATGTGAAAGACTCCCTCTCATGTCTTAATTCACTTCCAAATGGGTCAGGTGTTTTCTTAAACTATTTTGTCTTGCACCGCATTCAAATAGATATACATATTCAAAACATTTGACCCATATTGATGATCATACATCCAAAACTGTTGTGTGTATTTGTGTATCTGGAGGCTTGTTTGTGTATTGGTGGTTTGGTATTCTCATACCCAAAGCTCATGTCACAAGCCTGGCAGTGGGAAAAGCCGACGTTTTGTGTTGGAGACATTACCAAGCCCCCATACCATATGTGTCCTTTCCATTTTCTGTATAAGTGCTTTAATTTCTTAGCCCCTTCCTTTCTCTCTCTCTCTTTCTGTGCTGTCTGTGTAGTGTGTGTTCACTGTAAGTAAGGCACATTTAAAGACGCCTAAACCTGCAGTGATGGACACTCTGAAAGTCCCCATGATGGGCCTGGCCTTCTCACACCAAGTGAGTCTTGTGTGGGCATGTATCTCACTCACTCACAATGCCTGAGGTGTTCCAGGACTATTTGGCCTGTCTTCTATTACCTCTTTAAAAGTAATACAAGTATAGCTTAAAAGCAAATCAATGAAGCAATCAAATGGGACAGCTCTGTATCCCTTACATTAGGGCGCATATAATATATATTTACATTTACATTTACATTTTAGTCATTTAGCAGACGCTCTTATCCAGAGCGACTTAGTTAGTGAGTGCATACATTTTTCATACTATGTTTATTGTGTAGAGAATCCTCTAAGAAAACCAATGGTCATAACCTCATCGCTCTATAATAATCAGTTCAAATGTTATTGGAGTTGTTAACCCTTGTAGAATGGACAGAATTAGGGTGACTAAATCAATGGAGTCCAGAAAAAAAAGGTGGTACAAAATCAGGAAAATTGCATATTTTAGTATACACTTTTCATATTCATTCGAAATTCGTGTTCTTTTTAGAAGATTTCTCACAAAAACAAGCATATCTCTGTGAAATGTCAATGGCACACTGAGCGTTTGCCAAGCTTTTTATTTTCAAAGCCTTTTACATTTAATTCAGCTCGTGTCATGCTAATTGCACTTTTTGCGACCTACGGAAACAACTTTGAAGACGATGACCACAAAATGTAAAATGCTCAAAAGTTGTTACGAGAAACCTGCACCGCTAGGTCAACAGAGCTCGGTGCTTATTATCGGATGTATAATGTTACGAAATCCGACTTTTTGTATGTAATGTTAATGATATGTTAGAGAGACTCCACTGAACGATTCAGAACATGAATAATCATATTTGTAAAAGGTACACTACCATTCAAAAGTTTTGGGAAAATGTCCTTGTTATCGAAAGAAAAGCATTTTTTTGGTCCATTAAAATAACAGCAAATTGATCAGAAATACAATGTAGACATTATTAATGTTGTAAATGGCTATTGTAGCTGGAAACGGCTGATTTTTAATGGAATATCTACATAGGTGTACAGAGGCCCATTATCAGCAACCATCAGTCCTGTGTTCCAATGGCACGTTGTGTTTGCTAATCCCAGTTTATCATTTAAAAGGCTAATTGATCATTAGAAAACCCTTTTGCAATAATGTTAGCACAGCTGAAAACTGTTGTGCTGATTAAAGAAGCAATAAAACTGGCCTTCTTGAGACTATTTGAGTATCTGGAGCATCAGCAATTGTGGGTTCGATTACAGGCTCAAAATGGCAAGAAACATAGAACTTTCTTCTGAAACTCGTCAATCTATTCTTGTTCTGAGAAATGAAGGCTATTCCATGTGAGAAATTGCCAAGAAACTAAAGATCTCATTAAATAGTACCCGCAAAACACCAGTCTCAACGTCAACAGTGAAGAGGCGACTCCGGGATGCTGACCTTCTAGGCAGATTTGCAAAGAAAAAGCCATATTTCAGACTGGCCAATAAAAATAAAAGATTAAGATGGGCAGTCTGAGATACAGGTGAAGTCGGAAGTTTACATACACCTTAGCCAAATACATTTAAACTCAGTTTTTCACAATTCCTGACATTTAATCCTAGTAAAAATGCCCTGTTTTAGGTCCGTTAGGATCACCACTTTATTTTAAGAATGTGAAATGTCAGAATAATAGTAGAGATAATTATTTATTTCAGCTTTTATTTATTTCATCACATTCCCAGTGGGTCAGAAGTTTACATACACTCAATTAGTATTTGGTAGCATTGCTTTTATATTGTTTAACTTGGGTCAAATGTTTTGGGTAGCCTTCCACAAGCTTCCCACAATAAGTTGGGTGAATTTTGGCCCATTCCTCCTGACAGAGCTGGTGTAACTGAGTCAGGTTTGTAGGCCTCCTTGCTCGCACACGCTTTTTCAGTTCTACCCACACATTTTCTATAGGATTGAGGTCAGGGCTTTGTGATGGCCACTCCAATACCTTGACTTTGTTGTCCTTAAGCCATTTTGCCACAACTTTGGAAGTATGCTTGGGGTCATTGTCCATTTGGAAGACCCATTTGCGACCAAGCTTTAACTTCCTGACTGATGTCTTGAGATGTTGCTGCAATATATCCACATAATTTTCCTTCCTCATGATGCCATCTATTTTGTGAAGTGCACCAGTCCCTCCTGCAGCAAAGCACCCCCACAGCATGATGCTGCCACCCGCGTGCTTCACGTTGGGATGGTGTTCTTCGGCCTGAAAGTAACCCCCTTTTTCCTCCAAACATAACGATGGTCATAATGGCCAAACAGTTCTAATTTTGTTTAATCAGAGCAGAGGACATTTCTCCAAAAAAGTAAGATCTTTGTCCCCATGTGCAGTTACAAACCGTAGTCTGGCTTTTTCATGGCGGTTTTGGAGCAGTGGCTTCTTCCCTGCTGAGCGGCCTTTCAGGTTATGTCAATATAGGACTAGTTTTACTGTGGATATAGATACTTTTGTACCTGTTTCCTCCAGCATCTTCACAAGGTCCTTTGCTGTTGTTCTGGGATTGATTTGCACTTTTCGCACCAAAGTACGTTCATCTCTAGGAGACAGAATGCGTCTCCTTCCTGAGCGGTATGACAGCTGCGTGGTCCCATGGTGTTTATACGTGCGTACTATTGTTTGTACAGATGAATGTGGTACCTTCAGGCGTTTGGAAATTGCTCCCAAGGATGAACCAGACTTGTGGAGGTCTACCATTTTTTGTGAGGTCTTGGCTGATTTCTTTTGATTTTCCCATGATGTCAAGCAAAGAGGCACTGAGTTTGAAGGTAGGCCTTGAAATACATCCACAGGTACATCTCCAATTGACTCAATTATGTCAATTAGCCTATCAGAAGCTTCTAAAGCCATGACATCATATTCTGGAGATTTTCCAAGCTGTTTAAAGGCACAGTCAACTTAGTGTATGTAAAAACGTCTGACCCACTGGAAGTGTGATACAGTGAATTATAAGTGAAATAATCAGTCTGTAAACAATTGTTGGAAAAATTACTTGTGTCATGCACAAAGTAGATGTCCTAACCGACTTGCCAAAACTATAGTTTGTTAACAAGAAATTTGTGGAGTGGTTGAAAAACGAGTTATAATGACTCTAACTTAAGTGTACGTAAACTTCCGACTTCAACTGTATGGCTTTTTCTTTGCAACTCTGCATAGAAGGTCAGCATCCCGGAGTCGCCTCTTCACTGTTGACGTTGAGACTGGTGTTTTGCGGGTACTATTTAATGAAGCTGGCAGTTGAGGACCTGTGAGGCATCTGTTTCTCAAACTAGACACTTGTCTTCTTATTCAGTTGTGCACCGGAGCCTCCCACTCGTCTTTCTATTCTGGTTAGAGCCAGTTTGTGCTGTTCTGTCAAAGGAGTAGTACACAGCGTTGTACGAGATCTTCAGTTTCATGGCAATTTCTCACATGGAATAGCCTTCATTTCTCAGAACAAGAATAGACTGACAAGTTTCAGAAGAAAGTTATTTGTTTCTGGCCATTTTGAGCCTGTAATCGAACCCACAATTGCTGATGCTCCAGATACTCAAATAGTCTCAAGAAGGCCAGTTTTATTGCTTCTTTAATCAGCACAACAGTTTTCAGCTGTGCTAACATAATTGCAAAAGGGTTTTCTAATGATCAATTAGCCTTTTAAAATGATAAACTGGGATTAGCAAACACAACGTGCCATTGGAACACAGGACTGATGGTTGCTGATAATGGGCCTCTGTACGCCTATGTAGATATTCCATTAAAATCAGCCGTTTCCAGCTACAATAGCCATTTACAACATTAACAATGTCTACATTGTATTTCTGATAAATGTGATGTTATTTTAATGGACAAAATTTTTGCTTTTCTTTCGAAAACAAGGACATTTCTAAGTGACCCCAAACTTTTGAACGGTAGTGTATATTATAACATAAGGAAGTACTTATGTCATTAGCTACTGACTTATTTACTGACTGTCCTAGAATTCCTAACCTAAATCCTTTCCACATTTATTTATTTTTTAACCTTTATTTAACTAGGCAAGTCAGTTAAGAACAAATTCTTATTTACAATGACGGCCTACACCGGCCAAACCCGGACGATGCTGGGCCAATTGTGCGCCGCCCTATAGGACTCCCAATCACGGCCGATTGGGATACAGCCTGGAATCGAACCAGAGGGTCTGTAGTGACGCCTCAAGCACTGATTTGCTGATAATGATTCCTTAACAAATAGTTAGTCATCACTTAAATATATTAATATATTATCACGTTCAATGTCAGGGTAAGTAAAATCTGCCTAGAAGAGCTGTGCTTAAAATTGTTACCCTATCCTCTCTAATTCTATACTTTCTACTTCCTGATGCCTGCTCCCATCACCCCATTTCTCCTCTATGGATTAATTCATGTTTTAGCTCTCTCTTTTCTTTCTTTCTTACTTCTCTCTCTCTCGCTCTCTCTCTCTCTCTCGCTCTCTCTCTCTCTCGCTCTCTCTCTCTCTCTCTCGCTCTCTCAGCTCTACTGCTCTCGTCTTTCTTATCAGCCTCCTGTGGTTGTTGGAGCTGCTGACTTCTGCCCCCCCTCCACCTTAAACACTGCCAACCCACACCAGGTAACCACCCAGATATTGAGCTAGTCAAATCACATTTGATTTGAGGTGTCAATTAACAGTGAAATGTGAAATTGAGGTAAATATGTACACTACAAGTCAAAAGTTTGGACACACCTACTCATTCAAGGGGTTTTCTTTATTTTTACTATTTTTTACATTGTAGAATAATAGTGAAGACATCAAAACGATTAAATAACACATGGAATCATGTAGTAACCAAAAAAGTGTTAAACAAATCAAAATATATTTTATATATGAGATTCTTCAAATAGCCACCCTTTGCCTTGATGACAGCTTTGCACACTCTTGGCATTCTCTCAACCAGCTTCATGAGGTAGTCACCTGGAATGCATTTCAATTAACAGGTGTGCCTTCTTAAAAGTTAATTTGTGGAATTTCTTTCCTCCTTAATGTGTTTGAGCCAATCAGTTGTGTTGTGACAAGGTAGGGGTGGTATACAGAAGATAACCCTATTTGGTAAAAGACAAAGTCCATATTATGTAAAGAACAGCTCAAATAAGCAAAGAGAAACGACAGTCCATCATTACTTTAAGACATGAGGTCAGTCAATATGAAACATTTCAAAAACGTTTAAAGTTTCTTCAAGTGCAGTCACAAAAACCATCAAGCGCTATGATCAAACTGGCTCTCATGAGGACCGCCACAGGAATGGAAGACCCAGAGTTACCTCTGCTGCAGAGGATAAGTTCATTAGAGTTACCAGCCTCAGAAATTGCAGCCCAAATAAATGCTTCACAGAGTTCAAGTATCAGACACATCTCAACATCAACTGTTCAGAGGAGACTGTGTGAATCAGGCCTTCATGGTCGAATTGCTGCAAAGAAACCACTACTAAAGGACCCAAAAAGAAGAAGAGACTTGCTTGGGCCAAGAAACACAAGCAATGGACATTAGACCAGTGGAAATGTGTCCTTTGGTCTGGAGTCCAAATTTGAGATTTTTGGTGGGTGAATGGATGAACTCCGCATGTGTATTTCCCACTGTAAAGCATTGAGGAGGAGGTGTTATGGTGTGGGGGTGCTTTGCTGGTGACACTGTCTGTGATTTATTTAGAATTCAAGGTACACTTAACCAGGATGGCTACCACAGCATTCTGCAGCGATATGCCATCCCATCTGGTTTGGCCTTAGTGGGACTATCATTTGTTTTTCAACAGGACAATGACCCAACACACCTCCAGGCTGTGTAAGGGCTATTTTACCAAGAAGGAGAGTGATGGATTGCTGCATCAGATGGCCTGGCCTCCTCAATCCCCCGACCTCAACCCAATTGAGATGGTTTGGGATGAGTCGGACTGCAGAGTGAAGGAAAAGCAGCCAACACTTTTTTTTCGTTACTACATGATTCCATATGTTATTTCATAGTTTTGATGTCTTCACTATTATTCAACAATCTAGAAAATAGTAAAAAAAAATAAAAAATAAACTTGAATGAGTAGGTGTGTCCAAACTTTTGACTGGTACTGTACAAATAACGTGACTATGCAACAGGATCAATAATAAACAGTAGCAGCAGCGTATGTGATGAGTCAAAAAAGTTAGTGCAAAAAGGGTCAATGCAGATAGTCCGGGTAGCTATTTAACTATTTAGCAGTCTTATGGCTTGGGGTAGAAGCAGTTCAGGTTCCTGTTGGTTCCAGACTTGGTGCATCGGTACCGCTTGCCGTGCGGTAGCAGAGACAACATTCTATGGCTTGGTTGGCTCGAGTCTTTTACAATTTTTACGGCCTTCCTCTGACACCACCTGGTCTAGTGGTCCAGGATGGCGCCTTGCGGTCGGATGCCAAACAGTTGCCATACCAAGCGGTGATGCAGGCAGTCAAGATGCTCTAAATGCATAGATTTGAGGGCCAACAAGGGAAACAAAGCTTTGAATAGGTGTTTCAACATGACTCAACCAGTGCTAACTATGGCCTTTCATATGTCCTCTGTAGATGGGAATTCCAGGGAAGGAAGGGGGCGTACCCCAGCAGGTGCCTTTGCAGCCTTGTCACGGTGCCCAGGCAGAGCATGGACGAGTGTCCTCATGCCCCCCTGCTGACCATGTTCCTGCCACGCCCTCCAGCAGGTAAGCCCCAGTCTGCCATGATCCTATTTGACAAAGCGAAGCACCCTGTGGAACTGGGGATCACCTAAGATGATGCTTGCTTGGGAGAAACCTGTTTGTTACAACTTTGCCATGTTATCTTTCAAAGTGGTGAGGATGCAGAGACCTCGTCGAGGACCGTTGAGGTGAAGAGTACGTCTCCCTCTGATGTACTGGAGACCACATTCACCAGGAAAGTGGGTGCCTTTGTCAACAAGCCAGGCACACAGGTAGGGAAAGCCTTTTTATGTCCTTGTTTAAGTACAAACATTAAATATTTATTCCTGGAAGTACCCATTTTTATGAGTAAAGGACAAATTACCAATGAGTGTTATACCCTTGTAATTACTGCAGTATTAATCTATGTCCATTGCAGGTAACCACAGCAAGCCTGGATTTACCATTTGCAGCGTTTGCTCCCAGAGCCTATGACCTCGAGGAAAATGACCCTATGGTAAATCAATTATTCACATAAGTATTGTCACCCTTAAATAACTATTTTCTGGGTTATGGTTAGGAGTCATTTTAGTGCAGACATGGTCATGTAATTACTTCTCCTTTGTCCAAGGTTCAGCCACCGGAGTCCCCAGCCACGTCCTCTCCCCTGCAGGGCAGTTTGCACTCCCAAGGCTCTGGTGAGAGTGGAGGTCCGGCACAGGATGACTTTGTTATGGTGGACTTTGTAAGTACCCTGCCTTTCGGTAAGACAGATTGCTTTATTTGTTTTCCAGAGGAAAACACAGACAATGATAGATAGTAACTCAATCAATCGAACCTCATTTCTATGTCGTATCAAATGCTGCTACGAACAAATGTCGGTTTCTGTCTGTCAATTGTGGATGTTATCTGCATAGGAAATTCATCTCATGAATTTTCTTCATATATAAATGAGCATTACTTACATCACTTAGCAGTGTTCATTTAAGGCTCCTGCATACTTGGTTGGATTTGCTTCTAGCAGAACTCGGCTAGACAAAGTGAATGTCTGTGCCTCGCATACTCCCTTTAAAGACCCTTTGCTTGAAAAATGAGAAAAAAGCAGCAATAGTACTGTTTGTCCCTCTTGAGATGCTGTAGCAGTATACACTTCCTCAAAATAGTCTGAATTAATCTAAGATAACTCAAGAAATCTATAATAATTTTAGACGTCTTTGCAGTATTTCTCAACTGAAACAATTTGCATGAAAACGAGTCATCTCTCGTTGAATGACATCAAACGCTTCATTGAAGAATCCCTACTGTTGACCGGTCACCGAAGAAGGGGCGTAGACTTCGGCTACCGAACTTCGGCTTGCCTCAGGAAAAAAATTGTGTGCACGAACAGCCGAAAAAACCCTTGCCAAAGACCAAAATTAACAAACTGTTTCGGATGGGAAGCATGCAGACGCCTTTAGAATAGTTTTCTTTCAGACTGGTATCTGGGCTGTAGAGAGTGACCATGAGAAATCAAAGCCAAAACACCAAAGGCGAATGCGACAAAGCACATAGCAAGACCTAATGAAAACCAAAATCTATCAAAGGAACTAGCTTTTAAAGCAACAGAGGGAGAGATGTCAGCTTTGAACATTTTAGATAAATGCTTCTGATGAAGCTTATGGGAATGAGTGTTCTTAATTCAAACCTCTGACCCCTTATCTTGTGGTTAACAGTTGTGAATTAATTAGGACTGTGTTACTGGCAAGAACATTTTAAAAACATAACTTCTGGGAATAATATGTGCTGCTGACAAAAAATCGTAGGAAGAAGTCTGTTATTAAGGAATGGCCTGTTACAGTTGTTGCGCTCTGTGTTATTCAGAAGCCTGCATTCTCTAAGGATGACCTTCTTCCCATGGACCTTGGCACATTCTACAGAGAGTTCCAGAACCCCCCACAGCTCGCCAGCCTCACTATTGATGTCAGTTCTCAGTCCATGGCAGAAGACCTGGTGAGACACTTCTCTGACTGAGAGAGATGGTTTCTGTTTTGTTGCCAGGTGGGGGGTGGAGGGGTCTCCTTGTGTATGAAGTGGTCCTGTTGGAATTTAAACGACTGACAGATAGTAGTGAGAGGGGAACATAGTAGTTACCATTATACGATTTACTGTGTTGTTTGAATGTCTCTTTTCTGTGGTGCTTTTTAGTCTTTAAATCAATATCTTAGTCATTCTATGTTTGTAATGATGTTGTTCATTTTCCCTACAGGACTCTCTTCCTGAAAAACTGGCAGTATACGAGAAGAACATTGATGAATTTGATGCATTTGTGGACACATTGCAGTAGGGATGACAAATTATCCCATTTAGTCCATCTGCAAGGTCCTGTTGTCTTTCAAGCTTGTTTGCATTCAGTCTGTGTATGCCTGTTCTTCTCTTAATTGAAATTCCACATTGATTTCTAATCAGAATGTTTCTCTTCAAACCTCACTGGTTGATGTATTGTAGAGTAAGCGAGCCTGTACCCAACAACAGAAGACATCTAAAAAAATTAATAAAAGTGAAGCGGTTTCTTTTCTGATGTGAATAACTGCAACATTTGCTCTAGTGTTGAGCAGACTGTGTCATAGTGTAAATACCAGATCCCCTCTCACCTTGCTGTTATAGAACTTAACACATAATAACAAAGACGTTCAGTTCATCAAAGCTGTTGTCTAAATAACGTCAGGAGGCATTGTATTATTGCTGTCCCGTGTGACACAGAACGTTCATAGCACCTATGGAGTCAGACGTGGCTATGTTTTAGTAGATGTGAAGAAGCCAAGCCATGTATTGGCTAATGATCGATAGTAGCCACTCTATACCCAAGAAACAACAAACATACTGTGTAGCTGAATCTGTATATTGAAAGAGAAGTTCCTGTAAAGTTTTTTTTGTAAATGGGGAGAAATGTTGTCCTCGCTTTCTTCTCTAGATTACAATTTTAGGGGGGGACAAAAATCACTGTGTATCACTACAAATGATGTAGTCAGTCACTGCTCACCTCCTCTAAATCACCATATAAACAAGTTTACTTTTCCCCTATCTGTAAAGAGGGTAAACATTATTTGCACTTTCAATGTTTCAATCTTAAGTCTTCTTGGTTTTCCCAATGCTTTGTTAATATACAGTAGCATGGTCATGTAATAAAATTGGTTTTATTTCAAATGGTCTATTTTGTATTATCGGAAAGGAATAAGCCAGAGGCCCAATATTTCTGATTGTGGTCGTTTGTGATTTATACCAGCACAACACGAGCATTTGTCATCCCTCTTGAAGCTTAAATACAATAGAGCATCAATACTCTTGTCAAATGAGTAAACCCCTCCACACATATCTGAATACAGCAAATGAAGGCACTTTTAACCATAACCTTTTATTTATACTTTATATCCACAACATATAAAAAAAGATCTTGAAAGTAAGATTGCAGTAAAATACCTAGAACCGAGAAATACTCTTAAAGAGAAATTTCATTTTTCACTGTAGCAACCAGGAAATACTATTATTTGACAATACAGATAAACAGTACAGTAAAGGTGGATAAACGGGCACAATTTTCACAAGATATGACAAGTGGAGGAGTTGGTAGTTACTTGCCTGTTTGTTTCCTTAAGGCACACAGACGCAAATGGGGTCATAAAGGTTCTACTAAGCCACTGATCCGCATGTCACTGCAATTGTTTCATTGACATGATTAGGAAGTTTTCATACACAGTAAACAAATTCATTTTAATAATAGACAAAACATAGAAGCACAACATAACTCTTACTTATTCAGTCTTAACATTAGCACTGTTCTTGTTCAGGATATTTTCAGTACAAAGTCATTCAGGATTACAGAGTACAGGAGTTGTACCCCCAAAGGTTTGGCCATTGCAAATGGAAAAAATTTATGTTTTAAGGTAAAAAATATATAAAAAAATCTTTGTGTTCTCCAATGCAACCATAATTATTTGGTTGAGTTGAATTTGGAACTGAACAAAAACAACGGACGTAATAAAATTAGCAAAATAAGGCTGAAAAACAACACAACTCACCATACAGAAGAAACAGAAATACCGTATGGCCTGAGAGCCCCCTGGGTCTGTAAGTACACAGCATTTCAGTCTATCCATGATTAGGAGCCCTTCTATGTCCCCCTACTGACTTTAAGGCTTCATGAAGATCTTTCACCAGAAATGGCACTAGCCATCAGTCTTTACAGCTGGATAGTGATTTTCAATGAATAACTGCTAACTGCCATTAGTCGAGTGTAATAATACACTAATTAAAGTAGAATATGTATCATGAAAACACTGTCCTGCATTGAGAAAGCTAATCAGGCATAACATGAAATGTAGAAGTTACATGATTAAGACTATTAGAGGTTTTTTTTTTAAATAGTTGACCTGTACAAATTATCAAAAATGAAGACTTGACAAATGTAATGCAGCAGAAACAAACAAACAAAGGCTTGCTGGAAATGTTTAAAGGGTATACCAGAATGTTTTGTCAGATGAGTACACATTTAAAAAAAGTAAGGCGCTATGTGACAAACATTTTTTTATAAACGTAAATACACATACTCTTAAGGTTTTATTTAGCTATATACTGTAGCTTTACACATAACCATGATTCTTAAATAAGATGTTTCAAAATATAAAACTCCTGATATAGTTTAGACTACATCGAATACTGGAGTACACTGGCTCACTGACTGTAGCGACCGATCATTTATGATTTGTTCCAATGCAAATAGGACTAGACATAAAGTAAATGAATATGAAATACATATTGCTCCCCAGATACAAAACATTGCATAAATGTTCTCTGAAATCTGTACCATCAAAATAAATATTTGATATGATTCAAACCAAAACAGATGTGAACTGGTTTAGATTGTTCCAATTGTTTTAAAGTACCAAATCATGTACCCTGTGTTGAACTTTTCCTGAGTGATAGATATCTGGGAGAGACATTAAAGCCTTCATACCTGACTTCTAACCTGACTTTTGGCATCTTCAACGCTTCGTCTCCCCTGTCTTTTTTTCTCTCTGTGTCCTCAGTCACAATACACTCATGCATTTGGCAACACTACTAGGGGCACTGGGAGAGATACAGTTAAACAGTACTAGACCAATACAGAGACAGGGTCAGAGATGGGGATTTAAACACCGAATGAATGGGGCATGGTTAGAGATAGCTGTCAGGAGTCGTCTTAGGGTGAAAATACCTTGTAGTGTTGGTCCAACAGAGTTCTGGTGAAGTTATTGATGGGGCCGATGGCACTGAGTGTCATGGCAGCATCTTGTCCCCATAGCAGGTTGGGTCCGAACACCACTGCCAGGTTGGCGTTGTTCATCTTGTTGATCTCACTCTGTGCGGACACCTACATGGGCAAGCATGCATGTTTGTAGAAGAATATCAATAAGAACAAAACAACTCACTGATTAATTTACACAAACTGGTGAGGGCCAGTGTCACCAGGCAATACTAAATGCCAAGATCGATGCCTATTTAGACAGAACCATAGAATAACAGGCCTGTGTAACAGGAGTGTTTGCCGAGCTTCTGATAAGTATTCAGCTGGGGATATGACAGCAAACATACCTGCACCAGGAACTCAATGAGGAACTTCAGGGAGGCGTAGTTCTCCTCAGGGAGCATTGCCAGCATGTTCCGGATCGCAGTCACGTGGGAACTGCTGTCAACATCTGAGCAATGAGCATAACAAATAAACCCTTTACGTAACGTGGCTATGACTTAGAACTATCCTCTAAGGATTACGACCTACAAAACAAATTGACAGCGATAGTGATATTTTGAATAGCTATAGTAACAGACCTAAAAATAGATCCCCATCCTCTACCGTGTGGAGGGTAAGAGAGTCTTCCCCAGACTTACTGTGGAAGTTGACAATGTCATTGTAGAGCTGGTATGTGAGGAGGGGCTCTGGTAGTTCTCTGAGGAAAGTCTTGAGGATGACAGCTGCCAAGTGAACGTCCTCCATCTGGGAAAAACTCACCTCCTCACCTGGAGCCACAGACGCACACAATAACAGAGTCATACAAATCCCACAGCTACAGCCAAAGAGATAATTAGGTCTACCCAGGGATGAACGGATTTCATGAACGGACATCATTTTTAGACATTCATTTAAGAGTAACAATGAGTGCAAATCATTCACCTGAGTTATATCTGTGCTGAACATCCCTAACGAGGGTCACGTTGGCTGACCGCCGGAATATCCCCTCAATTTCAAGACCTAAGACAGGACAGAAAATGGGGGAAACCATGAAAACAAAACCTTTTGTAAAACAGAATAAAATAGCAGAATTAGCCTTGTTTTGCAAGTCAAATACCAATCCATGAAATTGGAATTGTCCAAAAACTGAACCTCAGAACAAAGACTCAAAAATGTAACCAATCATCATCAAGCAAAATGACCACTGGTAAAATCTGAAAGAATGGTGCATACCTTGTTCCATTAAGAAGACCACTGTGTCTCGCATCACTAATGGAACTGCTCCGTTGTCAGAACTTCTCGCTCTTAGCCTTCACAAATAAACAAGAACAAAACACTTAAAATCTTTGAAACATCCACAGGAGAATATCTTACGTACGTAACATTAAGGTCGGATATTGAGGAAGTAGAGTAAAATACCACAGCCCTCATCCAGCTACCTACGTTGGCAAGGGGACTCCAAACTGTTGATTGGGCAGTGGTGGACTGCGAGGGGGGGACATCTGGGCCTGAACTGATGGTTTCAGTGAGGCTCTGATTTTTTCATCATAGCTAACAATTTGGGTAAGAGAAAGCAGAGTAATGCACTTAATAATATAGTCAGATATCACAAATAGACATCCATTACGCAAGAGTGACTAATTCATTGCCAATGTTGAGATACAGTAGTTACACGTAACGTGTGAGAAATGTTCTTACTCTCGCACCCGGGTGGGTATCACTAGCTGCTCACACTTAACAATGTCCTCCAGTTCACTCAGGTAGTTGATGTAGTTGATCTTTCGTCCAAACTTGAAGCTAGAAAATAAAGGATTCATCACACACGGCAAACACTTTACAGTTAAAGGAATAAAGAGCAGAGGTGCTAGAATGCTAACCTGATGAGAGGCTTGAAGAGGATGAGAAGAGTCTTGATGAACATGGTGGGGTGAACAATGTACAGTGCCTTGATGTTCTTCTTGTACCTGAAGAAAACAGAGCAGTCAGCAAAAGTAAACTTGAATCGGTTCATTAATTTGTTGTTTGAGAAGTCAAGCCATGAGTGCAAATAAAGCACATGGTATTTTTTATAGACTTAAATAAGGGTGAGGGCAAAGTCCACTTCCTTTATGGCATTAGTTTTTAGATTCAGATCTCTGGTGAAATGGATTGCATCTCATCATTCATAAGTGAAAGACTATCAAATGTGCTTTGCGAATATGGTCCCCAGTGTCTGGATGGAGGTAAGGTGGGACTCACTTTCGGTCAAATTCTCTGTAGGCGTCTCTCAGCCAGCTGAGAGATGGCTTGTTCTCACTGGTGAGGCCATTATGGAAGTAGATGAGGGTGTAGTCGCTCTCAACATACTGGTCTAGGGTGGCCTTCAGATACCTGGATTATAGTATGATAGTTGGGAAGTCAATCCTCTTCACTTATGAAAACACAAACACAACGACGACTACTGACTTGATTAGCAGCGGGGGAAATCAAAGCACAACAAGAAGCAATTTATTAGACATTTGACAGGATGAAAAAATCTAAATAATCTCAAGCAATAACACCCACATCAGTAACTTGTGGTGGTCCAGTTCGTGGTGAGGGGGCATCCGACAGGCGTTGAAGACAATCACCTTCCTGCCAAAGTTATCATCACCTTGACAGCAGAGTGAGAGAGGAAACAGTGTCAACTGGATTCAAGACTGAACATGAGATTCAGCACAGATAAGCTACACATGTAGAGACAAAGTTCGTACCTGCTACTTCTACAATCTGATGCCTGGCAATATCATAGTATGGGTGGTCCCAGGTCAGGTGTGACCCCTCCCCCAATCGCTTGGATATATCCGTCTCTGTAGAGAGAAGGAAAGGGACACATTCAACCAACTCACACGTATCACACTAGCTCATATCTTTGCAGGCAGTGCGCTCTGAATTTCACAACTCCTCAATGTTTTGGATCTGCACCGTCACAGACTGTATGTGCTCACTGCTCAGGCACTCTTAGAATGAGTTTGCAAACACACTTTGAGCCTCTTCTCGATGCATACCGAAATAAGTAGATTGGTGAGACATTGCATTGTACGAGCTACCCCACACACACGACTGCGACATCTGCATTGTGTGCTCTGTCAGCAGCAATCTGTAGGCCACGCTGAGGCCACACTGAGTAAACCAATGCCCTTCTCACAGAGTTAGTCAGTAACGTACAGTTGCCCGAGGCAGGGTGAGACAGTGTGCACTTCATTTGGTATCTCATAAGATGAACCCTTGTTCCTCTCTCTTTTATCATCTGTTCATTAATAATGATTCTGAGCATAATTCAAACTCTAAATCATGGTGCTGCATCTATTAGTCACAAATAATGGCATCGTCCTCAACATCCCCACCCCTCTAACTCCAATCAGACAGGGGCTGGAGATCTGCTGTGAAACGGAAATGAACCAGAAATTTGACTGCGCCTACAAATAGAATACACAACTAATGTATGCACACTGCATCAGAGGGCAATATGCAATCAAGTTGTAATAATACGACACATGAGTAACAAAAGGCTCACTGCATTGGGCTGTGAAGAAGGCTCTTTTTTACTCTTCCCTTGGACCAAAGACAGATTGACGTAAAACTATAAGATTGTAAAGATGTTTAGGGAAATAACAGCAATAGTAATGGTCCTATAACAACATTCCACTTCTAAAAACTCAGCTGATCTTACAACAAGCTGATTGTTATCATATTACGAGGGCCAACATTATTTTGCCAGGAATGTGGCTTTTTAAAACAGTGATCTCATGATTTAGGTGGCTTTTTTAGAACACAAATTCTTTAAACAATTCTCAAATTTCAGCAAGTGTATTTTTTACATTGTTGCCTCACTGTCCACATCTGACAGCACAGAGAGGTCCAGCTGTCCTTTTATTTGCCTTTAGGTTATTTTATTTATTTTTTAAGGGGGTAGATCAGCTTTAATATTGCAGAGGGGAAATATATATATTTTTAAAGGATATGTATGTATATATATATATATATATATTTTAAAGGATATATATACACACACACACACACACACACACACACATATACATACATATACTTTAAAAATATATATATTTCCCTTTATTACTTTCCAACCCCACCATCCCTTCCCTAATTGGAGTAAACTAGTGAACAACAATGCTTAGGCCTCTACTTCATGCTTATACATACTATATACATTTTATGGACACAGTCAATAATTATATTTTGTTTGTTTTTACTCCTGAACTTCCTCCGATCATTTTCATGATGTCCATCTGGTATGCTTCTATATGCCATATCTTTCTAACTGTGCTCTTTCACAAAAGCTCACAATATATAACCTATATACTTATTATGGACACAGCATGTCTTACACTAGTTATCTTGTTGTTATTTAGGTTCTTACCAGACTTGCTCATACTGGAGTCATCTGGGGGCCACAGCTTGTCCCCCATTGGAGACAGTTTGAGCTGGTCCAGGGCATTGCTGGGGGGATCATCTACTCCAAGGTCATCATTGAGGTCAACCAGAAGGTCTGAAGACATGGTGGTGTACTATGGGACTCCACACAGAACAAAGTCTGGTCAGGTGCTCAGCCAGCCTCCTGTCACAGAAACAAGTGTGTTCATCAACATCCATCCAGAACTTATCTAATGCAATGAGATAACACCTTCTCTCAGCAGTGGGTTCACTTTCAAGATCTTGTTTTTAGAGTGTTCCTCAAAAGAGAAGCATTCTTCTGACTGTGTCGATTCCCTCCCTATAGCCTAATTTAGACAAATAAAACAGCTAACAAGTGTTTAACAGGCACATAGAGGCACAATTTTTAAGATGCCTTTTCTCTTGTGCTTTGTGGTAAAATATCACTGCTGTAATGGACACCGTGCGAAATCAATGCAACTAAGCTACCATATTTTAAAGCTGTACTGATGCGTCATAACTGCAGAAGAGCCACTCCAATGGGGCCAGAAAGGACAATGCATGAAAGCATGAAACATGGACGGAAGAAACAAATAGGTCTATAAACCCTTGTCCTTCACTCTTTCCACAGTCCAGACTAAAAGAAAACTAGACTAGGCCTATTTCACATCTGCAATCAGGTTAGCATTTGGTATAATTTGAGTACATGTCTGTGCAATGCAGCAACAATTGCATGGCTGGTTTGTTTGTGGTAGGCCTACACAACATTTCTAACACACAACGACTTTCGCATGGAAATACCCAATCTATTTCACAAGGGTTGTGATTGAAGAAGCAGCCTTGTTGTGCCACCCGTTCTTCATTTTACTGCAAGGCTCAAATACAGTCCTCCCCATTTATGAGATGCAATCTGCTAACATTTTGGTTCTTTAAATATCACGACTGGACTCAAACACATTCCTGTATGCGCAGTCCACGTGAGGAGAACTGCATTCAGGCAAAGTGCAATAATTGTACACATCTACTCAATTTGCCAAAATACTCCATATTACGAAACACTGGAACTGCCAGATAGCTACCAAAATACGGTGATTCACGTCTTAGAGAAATAGCTAACATTAGCCATCAACCGTTACGAAAAACAAGTCTGCAATTTGTCCCGACTCTTCTAGCTAGCTAGCTAACTAACTATTTAACATATGCCCCAGGCATTACGCTGCGATGTCGATAGATTAAAAAAGGTTAGCTAACGTCAGTTACGGTACAGCAGTAGTTCACCTCAATGTTTTACAAATGTCGATAGATTAAAACAAACGTTAGCTAGCTAACGTCAGCTACCAGCAGTAGCTAACCTGTCGCTAGCTAACTACTCAACAATATTTTCGCTAGTAGTTAGCTACCTTGTCAGCTAGCAGTATGTTACCATTATTAGCCTCGGCTAATTAGGCTAACGTTAACTAGCTAGCTAACCACCTAGTTATATGGGGATAATCCAAATTAGCTCGTCTAACGTTTATGTTCTAGCTAGCTACAATAACCCGCAAAATACATTGATTAATTTAAACAGAAATAATTAAATTAGCGGATTTACCGTATCTGTGAAGTTGATCCCAGCTCAAAGGCTTACTATGTTGTTAGCTCGCCAGGGTACTAACGTTAGCTATGTCAGTGACAGCTGCTTGCTTCACAAACATCCGGTTTTCGTTCGGCGGGTGGAGAGCTCTCCTCGGCAACCACTCCTTCTGACCCCGAAAACGAGACACAGAGGCAAAGGTGGGGAGGTGCTGTTGTGTGAACTAGGCCTATCTTTGATTATGATAGCAGAAAGTTTCAAACCTTCCTGTCTGATAGCGCTCCAGCTGTGCTTGCTTTTACTTCATAATTAGATCTGTATCTAAAAATTATATAAAACCTTGTGTACAACAACAACATGCATAATTCTAGTGGCAGTCTCAGTTCTGAATTTTGTTTTTGTTAATTTTTGTAAAAAGTCATATTGCTGAGTCTACGAGTAATAACAAGCAGATCATGATCAGGAACACACGTTTATTTCCAATATTACATCAGTTTCCTTTGCATGTAGAGAAAATGAGAAGAAATAACAATCAATCATCATCATCACCACCACCTGTTTTGTCAATAACTTTCTTCATCCACCTTCTCATACGGAAAAGATGGGTGTAGAATCCATATTTGCCATCCCTGTCACATCCTTCTCCCCAGGACACAATGCCAATCTGGTACCAACGGTTGTCATCTGGGCTCTGTGAATGAGGATATAGGTAATTCTCATGAGTATATCAAATATAAAGGGGGATATGCAAGACATCTAATGAGTGAAGTTCGTGTTTCTCTAGTTGTATACCTTCATGACAAAGGGACCACCGCTGTCCCCTTCACAAGCATCACCAGTTTTCTCTTCCTCTGGTTTGAAGCCTGAAAAGTACATTTACATTTACATTTTAGTCATTTAGCAGACACTCTTATCCAGAGCGACTTACAGTTAGTGAGTGCATACATTTTTCATACTGGCACCCCGTGGGAATCGAACCCACAACCCTGGCGTTGCAAGCGCCATGCTCTACCAACTGAGCTACAGGAGGCTAACATGGGCATTATGAGGAAGCATCATACTAATGGTAACACCTGTGATTCACCTATTTTTTTTCAAGTCACACACTGCACTAATTCACTTTTGGTTAACATATTGGATGGACTTGAGCTGCAGTATACAGCAAATACCGTACTGAGATGAGAGCTGAGAACTGCTACTCACCTGCACAGAACATGTTGTCAGTGATGCGGATTGAGGTAGAGGCTCTGCAGATATCCTGTTCAACGATGGGTAGATGGATCTGCTGGAGAACTGTGGGTAGAGACTTGGGGGAGGAAGTCCATGTCTCATAAAGGTTCCCCCAGCCTGTCACACGGCCTTTATAGCCAGCAAACATCAGTCTAGAAGGAGAAATTGAAAGAAAGGATGCTACCATTGCTAGTATGGGGAAAAACCTCTGAAATTTTAATTCACATTTAATTATTACTGCTAGCTACGTTAAACTCTCTTACGTCTTAGCAACCTTCTTGGTTGGCAGACAGACAGGGTGAATCTCATCAGTGAAAGTAACGGGCCTCCTCATGTGCAGCAGAGCGATGTCCCGGTTCAGGTTCTCCTTCCAGTTGTACTTGGGGTGGACAATTATCTCATCAATGGCCACAATCTTCTCTGTGCCCCTCTCAAACCTGGGATTAGGTTAGAATAGGGTATGAGTCAAGAACATTTTGGTATGGCTATATTATTGTTTTGTCATGTCTTATGGCATGTTATGGTTCACTGTCGAACTGTGCAAAAGTCAATGTGTATCGCTTGTTTAATAAAGATAAACTGGGAAAATAGGAGATAACCACTCACTTAGCTCTGTTGTGTTTGCCAAGGCGGACCAGAATGTCATTGATGGTGAAGTTTTTGTTCCATGGTGGGTAGAGGATGCAGTGGGCTGCAGTGAGGATCCACTCGTCACTGATTAGACTGGCCCCACATAGCAGCTCCTGGGGGCTTTTCTTGTACAGCATCACCTGCCTGACATCAAAGCACCCATGAATAACAGGTATCATAATTTTACTTCTGCCAAATTGCATCTTTGCCGTTCTTTTAAGGCCGAGGCTGCGGATCTGACCTTTCCGGCCTCATGCATTTCTCACTGTCAATCGTGAAATGATAATTATTCAGGTTTTACTGTTGTAATGTCCATGCAGCATCTGCATACCAACCATTTGATCTCAATCAGTTTCATGGGGATATTAATTTAGATCTTCTTGAGTTATAGACTACTGTTTCAAAGTAGCCTACAGTGTTGTTTTGAATGAGTGTATTTTAGAGCAGATGGTGTTAACAAACTGTAGAATCGTTTCAATCAAATCACATATTTTGCCTAGTGGCGCGCTTTTGAGTTTTGGCCACATGAAAAAAAAAAAGTGACCATTTGATCGCAATCATCCTAAAATCTCATAAGAAATGAGGTGGTGTTTTTTGTCTCACAGTAACGTTACTATGCTATTATATTTGGTTATGTTATGTAGAATAGGCTACTATCATTATGTGATCTTGCAGACATTGATTCAGCTTTGATCTAACTTTATTAAATGGGCACCATTCGCCTGAGTAGCCCTGTTCTCTATGAGTAGAACAGAGACTGTGCGTAAAGTAGAGAATCACGCATGTGCAAAAGCTTCGGGGCCTTTAGCTGTCTGGAAGAAAGGTGCAGTAAAGTCAGATCTGCAGCCACTCCATTCTTTTAATTGGGCAATGCATCGACAACCCCAAAACACATTCTCTAAATGACAGACACAGATAACTTCCTTTCACGCTTCCACCGTGTATATGGTCAAACATGATGACCATGATCCTAAGTAGTAGTCCTACGTAATGCAATACAATAAATGTGGTGTTTTGAATATCTATTCATTTCATTACCATGGTGCACTGGCCCACTTCTGCATCAATCCCTTTAACAATACGGCTTCCTTGGTAGGAGTCAATCAGTTCTTGCTCTCTACCGTCCTTCTTACTTATCTTCTCAAACATGGGTCGCTCTCCGCACACTGAAAATAAAGCAGAGTTTAAGTCATGAAAATAGACTCTTTCCTCCTGTCTGCCGTATCTTACACTTTATGTTAACCAAAATTATACTACTTACCCAACTCTCCACTGCCAAAGCTCCGAGGGCTGAAGAATGATTTTCTGGGCCCAGACAGTGTTGTCCTTTCCCTTCCGCCGGCCACCTCGTCATAGTTATCTATTGGGTCATCTGAAAGAGAACAACAGTCCAGCACTCACAGTTAAGAGCATTAATGATACGTGTCAGATATCTTCTTTTTTTACAGAGTGTCCTAATATTTTAAGTCAATCATTTAGAACTGGAAAAAGTGTTGAAACAGCTCACCACACATTTCAAGGTCACAGTAGTCCACAGTGGTATTTCCATGCTGGTCCACATAGCACCAGGGTCCCTCCATATCTCCGTCAGGGTTTCTACAGTGGTTCGTCACAAGTTTGACCTCTGGGATGAAATTCTTTCCTTTGCTGAGTGCCAATGCCTTTGGGGAGGCCCAAGGCAGACACTTTTGGCCATTCATGGTAACTGAGAGATCCCCTGTATAATCCAAGCCATTGTTGGCCAGGCAGTCCTTCTTAATGTATGTGGCTTTCCCATCCACTGTAGCAGGTACTTTTGGGGGTACCCAAGGCTCACCTGTAAGGGAACAATCACAATAGAGGACCGCTAAGACATATTGCAACAAGCAACATGCTCTGCACTTTGTTGTTGAACAAGGAAGCATATAAACCACCGATTATCAGTGTAAAAGTACACCCAGCATCAGCAACAACATGCAGCCAAATGTTGGTTATTATGCAGTAGTGAAATCATACCACATTTCGGGACGATGCATTGCTCTCTCCTGACTGTGGGATCCCTGGTGAAGCACCAAGGTCCTTCAGGAGTTTTGTCTGGGTTCCTGCAATAGTTCTCATACAGGGTCTCATCCAGCGAAGTATTGAACTCCCTAAGAAGAGATATTACCCCTCAGCAACAACACAGCAAGAATGGGACAACTTTGAAATGACTTCCCTCAAGTTATGGGGTCAATAATACATACGTAATTCTGTGTGGGAAGTTACTGGACCAGTACTGGCATGTTTTTCCTGAGGAAGTAGTGGAGATCGTACCGTTGTAGTTCACACCATTGCCCACTGAGCACTCTCCTGTAAGATGCAGGCCCACATAATATTTGAGAAACAGGATGTCCTGCTCTAAAACGACATCTTTACATTATAACATTTTCCTGATAGATTCCTGACACCTTTTAGCGGATTTCAACACAAACATTTTGTCAAGAAATCATTGATGTATTTGAAATGTGTAGTGTAATCAGGCCATCATTATTACCATTGGCGTTAATACACCCCCTCACTGTATTTATATTGTCCTTGGTTCTCAGCAGTGAAGTGCCTTTGCAAGCTGTGAAGAAGACAAGCAAGAATTAGAAAACATGCAGAAATACTTGCCTCTACTTGCTTATCATTGGCCAAACCGATAGTAATGTTTATTTTTTAAATATAAAGCGTACAGCATGTGTGGGAAGAGCAAAACGTGTGGGGTCACCAACACTGGGGCTGAAGCCTATTCCTCAACCAAGTCGACTCACATCTGTTGCACTTTGTTCTGGTTCAATACCATCTATTTACATTGGGTGTTGTGACTGATGACTGCACATATTCCATGGATAAGGTTTTGATATAAAACACAAGTAATAATAAATAAAAACAAATACTTACCCAAATAGTTGCCCCAAAAGGCCTTCTAAATTAAGAAAGATCAATTTAGACAGTTATTTGGGGAGAAATCCTATAATCATACTTTATTATGCAAAATAAACAGTGTTACCCAGGTAAGCGTAAAGCTCATGTTTCAGTTACCAGTATACCAAGGTGAATATGAATTTGCTTTGCATGATCCTTCAATCTAACAAGCCAGACATTCTCACCGTCTTGTCTGCCTTTTCAAAGACTTCACGGGCTTCTTCGTGGTCACAGATCTCCTCGATGCACTCCCGTTCCAAGTTCCCAGGTTTCATCTCCTCAAGGAAGGAATTTGCCCGTTTAGCACGGATAAAAACCTGTGAGGCCTCCTTGCTGTTAAGAAATACTATAAACAAATATTTGATAACTCAATGCATTGTTTAGTGATATTAGAACTGACAAATTGCCTAATTCACAGTTTAAGGGGTATACATTTTCAGAATATATTTTGAAACTTGCTTGCTTTTGAGCTTTCAGGGCTGGTAAATAAAAGCTGGTATCTTACCATTTTCACAAAGGGTGATCTGAAGAGTAGAAGAAAATAGTAGAGTGAAAATGAGAGTTGCGGGTATTTGACCCATTGTTATGGATCGTTAAGACAGAACTCCTTGTAAAACCTATGGACATTACCAAACCTTCTCACCCCCTCAAAATCCAGTACTCATTGAAAACACCCCCACTTTCCGTTACATTGAACCACCTGGTTAATATTGAACCACTGTACTAAGACTGACTCAGGGCTGCAGCTCCCATCTGGGTCATGTCACATAACATTTTGCATTCAGTATTTCCGTTAAAGTTTCAAATATTACATATAGCCATGGATAAGCTTTCCACACAATGTCAATAATAGCTTTCTCCATTGTTTCTTTTCTGTCAGGGCCTACACATGGATTACTTCATATGTAAAAAATGATATTAAGTAATTACAAGTGGAATATAAAATGAGAAAGAATTCAAGGCAATGTCAAATACATACACAATAAATCAACCTTTTAAATACTGCTATCTGCCCATTTAGACTATGTTAGTGTGTGCCGCTAAGCTGCATAGACAAGCATAGCAACACACGCTAAAGTTGCTCCAAACCAGAATGTTTGTTGATTCATGTCCCAACCATCTAAATATTTGCACCCAAATATCGAATGACGCATTGGATAAAGAGTGAAAAGTCAAAGTCGTGTTCAAAAACACATACAACAGTGGTAAAGCCACCACAGCGGTGTTATTTTCTCTCTTTTAATTGGAATCTTCAACAATAATGATCATCTTGTTGATGGCCCATATTTACAATAGTGTGTTAAAATACAGTAAAGCAATTTAAAAAGCCTTCATAAACATTCTCCAGAGATCAAATATATTTTGGTCAGATAAAAAAGCAAACTATTCATGAGGATTTCTCTTTGTAACCATTAAGACATTAAGATATTTCCTAAAATACAGGGGCAGGTAGTTTTAGTACAGTTCTTGAAAATAACATTTGCAGCAGATAGTGGCTAGACAAGGTCCACCACAGAGGGGAGTCAATATTTGCTGATATCTTTAACTCGTTGACAGCTATGGCTCTCTTCTCCAGTAATCTAAATGGAGTATCCTGATGGTGATATCATAACATATTTTATATTCATGACAAATGTATTTTCCAAATAAGTACTGCTTATTGTCTTCTTTTAGGTAAAGTACATCTAGCAGGCAAAAAAATATAGTTTTTATTCACATTCTTGGTTTTATTTTAAGATTTTTTTTAAAAACAGCAACAGAAAGCAAAATGGTGTGAATTGCAGTTTTAAACTCCTGTTTCTATCTCTATTGTCTCTGCCACAGAGCTCAGTCCATCCTCTCCCTGTAGAATCACCAGGTTGCTGTGTGTTTTGTGCTCCCTTACCACAATACACTTATCATTAGAATCTGAGACAATTATCTCAATAACATTCTCATTTAGCTGGATCTGGCCCACATCCTGTTCCAACCCTTCCTCTATTACCACAGAAGATATGGCACTATCATGATATGAGTCATAGGTGCTGACAATAACCTCCCCTGAGTTAGGCATGGCTAAGTCTTCGATGGCCTGAACATACACTACTGTCCGACTCTCCATGTTCTCTTCAGGGACATCGACCCATGGCTTGACCTCTGTCTTGCGAGGGGTCTTTCTAGGTCTGCCTCGAGCAGGGGCAGAGTGGCTAGACTCCAGAGCTGCCAGAGCGTCAGCTAGCTCCCCAGATGTCCTATCTTCTCTCTTTTTATGGGAGAGCTGGTGGCGAACCAGGCTCTGCATTAGCGTGTAGCCAGCACCACATGTCTGACATTTGTAGGGCTTCTCCTCAAGGTGGGACTTCATGTGGCGGCGTAGCTTGGTGGCCATGGTGTAGGCCTTCCCACACACCTCACACTTGTGAGGTCTCTCCCCTGTGTGTAAACGTTCATGGGCACGCAAGGTGTGGGGGTCCCGCAAGGCTTTGCCACATATAGGGCAGAGGTAGACTTCCCCTGTGTGTGATATGAGGTGTCTGCGGAGTTCAGGCACATGTGAGAAGCACTGATTACAATGGTTGCACTTGTAAGGCTTTTCCCCTGTGTGGATGCGTAGGTGCCCCAAAAGATTCCCCCGCTGTCGGAATGTCTTATTGCAGTGGGGACATGCATAAGGCCGTTCTCCTGTGTGCAAGCGCATGTGATTCCTAAGGGAGCCCGAATTGGCCAGTTCTTTATCGCAGACAGGGCACTTGAGCTTAGGAGCGTGGTAATTTTCTTCCTTAGCGCGGTGGGCCTCCCTATGAATACGTAGTGAAGGCCGACGGGCAAAAGCCTTCCCACAGATATCGCAGACAAAAGGCCTCTCTCCTGTATGGAGAACTTCATGCTCCTTCAGGTCTCGTTTCAGGCCATAGCTCTTGTCACACTGCTGGCACTTGAATGGCCTCTCTCCCTTATGCATCAGAAGGTGGGCCCGGAAGTTCTCTTGGGAGCTGTAATTCTTACCACACTCTGTGCATAAGTAAGGCTTTAGGTCCGAGTGGGTGAATTTGTGCTTCTTCAGGTGACAGAGCTGAAAGAAACTCTTGTCACACTTGGTCACATGTATACCTCCTTTCCCTGGTGTTAAAGAGGTCTGGAGCGGTCATAAACTCATCTGGGTCTTTCTTTCCCCCTTTGTCACTATCCTTTGTGATTTCATCTGAGCTTATATGTTCTCTATCCGTTATATCTGTTTCTTGGCAAGCTTGTCCATTTTCATCACCAACTCTGGACGTAATCTCCAGTGTCACTTGACGATCAAGATACCTATTTTTGCGCCCTTGAAGACGCTTGTGGATGCAGCTGACTAATGAATGCACCTTCCTGGGTTTCGCAGCCAGTCTGCAACTGGCCCTGACAACCTGTGGCCACTGCTCCTCCTGGAGATGTTTTACCACATTACCTGGTTCTTTACTGCTCTTTGGAGGCTCGTCTGCAGGACTCACAAGTTTGTCCTCATTAGAGCGTGGCACATTGGTTCTTTCCTGGAATGAAACTTTCTGTTTTTATTATTTTGCATGAGTCAACTTCTCCATTCTGTTCCACTGTTTTCTCACCACTGGAATGAGAGTCTCTCACACATCTCTTTTTCATTTTGTAGATAAGAGGTTTGCTCCTTTTGATTCCAGTCTGACTTTTCTCCTCCTCCACCACCATAGACTTTGTAGACCCCAGTGGAGAAGTTGACATGTCTGAATCTTCAGTGTGCTCCTCAGGCTCTGTAAGACATACAAATATCTTCCACGTAACATTTCAGAAACAACTATCCAAATATAAATGTCATCATTTCATAACATCAAATCCTTATTAATAAAATATTTATTAGTTAGTGTGTATTAAGAATGTTACTGAATGTGGGTGTCAGACTACCTGTGAGCTCTTGGCTCTTGCTCCGTGGAATTTACACCTGGGGATCCATCCTCTCTGGACTTGCGAGGTGTAACTTGTTTGCGAGGTTTGCCTGGTGTTGTTAGTGACCCTCCTTGGCTTCCATCGTGTTCCAGAGGATCAGCTAGGAAACTCCAAAGCAGAAGTTCTGTCCCTGGGTTGATGTCTTTGCAGGCCCTTAGACAGAGACTTCCATCCACCTCATGAACAGTAACATTCTGTTCATCCTTTCTCCTTGCATTACAGGCAAATCTGCATAAAACAAAGAAAGAGGGTTTCTCACTCCCAATGACCAAATTAAATGTGACAGTAATGTTAATGTGTTTGATACAGCTGAGCGCTATTCTTCTTTACCTAGAGACACCTACCTAATCCAATAGCACCTGTCCCAAAGATGCCCCTTGATTATCGTCTGATATGCTTCTTCCATCAAGCTCTGACGACAACAAATGTGTTACATTCAATACATTTGCAATGTTATAGAAACTTGAGCAAGTGTGTGCCTCCCCCATCACAAACACTGATACATACCTCTGTAAAGTCTTCACTTTGGTCAAAGGTGTTGCTTTGGTCTTCCACGCCCACTATAATCCCTTTCTGCAGAGCATGTCCTACACACCAGAGCCCCAACTGGCCATCATTTGCTAGAGAGGGGCCCACTGTCAGTCCACGAGGAACAGCATTCAGCACACTGTGTAGGGAGTCCTGGTTTATGGATGGGCCCCTCATACCCAGAGAGTCCATCCTACTCTCTGTAGCCACAAAATGTAGAGACTCACAAAAATGCAAATGTTTTCAATGTCGTTTACAATGACACACAAAAATGCACGTTTTGGATGTAATTTACAATGACTAGCTACATGGGAAGTTGAAACGTATCTCCTTGTTTCAAGCTGTCATTGTCAATATGATACAGTACTGTATAGGAAACAGCAGCCACATACACAATGTATATACCATAGTTATATAGCTAGCTGAGTTTTATGGCCATCGTTTATCAATAATTGTATGTGACATGCATTCGTGATTGCTTGGAGCTGCCAAACACGAGTCCCCTGGCGGCAGGCAAGCTTCGTCGTGACAACTTATGTATGCATGAGCATGCGCGGACAAGGCAACGCATTTCAGCGCTAATGTAAGCCCCTGACAAAACAATTAGCCAACGTTAACAGAGTTTGCCCACTAACAAAAGTTGGCCTGTTTAACTGGAAATAGTACACGTCGACAAGGGACCGTGAGTAAGTTTGCCAATGAATTCGTGACACAGGCAGCAAATTATTATGAAGAAGCACAAGCCAACTATTAACTGGCGAGCTAGCAAGCTAACTAGCTATGATTTCAGTAGCTAGCTGGAACAGGCTTGAGTAGATGTCAGAAATCTAGTAACAGTAGTTATTAAGCTTGATAGCTAGCTAATTACGTTAACGTTATAAGCGATTTTTCTATTTGTTCTTGGTGGCACTGATAATGCTAACTAACAAATTCAAGCTACTGTCTTTGCTACCATGCATGCAACATTGTTGTTGTCTGGCTAACCAGTCGACGACAGTGTGGACATGATACTACTGTTAGGATATCAAACATATTTCAAGTAGACGTTCGATTCGCGGAAATAACTCGAAAATATTATTTCAACTAACTCAGGATATCCACAGGGTCTTTGACAATTTATAGCATTCGTTTTTTCCATTTGAAAACTCCGGGAAAATCATCGTTCTCCAGCCAAGGACAGAATCCGGAAGTCCTGAAGTTCCTGTCTATCTAAACATTCCGACAGGAAACATGTCCTTTCACGCACATCGTAAATGCTATATTTATTCTAATTCGAATGGTTAAAAAGCCAAATGATTACATGATATAGGCATGGATCTTTAGCTACCGTACCTTGCTGTTTTTGTTCTTTGCCAACTAGCTAATTTACAACAGTTAATTTGTCAGCGGCAAGAGGAACTCATGTTTGTCTCATAGTGCAAGTGCTGTGGTCCCATTTATGGTTTTGCCACTGCCAGACTGAAATTGAATGTCGAGTTTATTTTAAATACTAGGCCTAATTTATTACCTGATCCACCTGTATTCATGGACTGCCATTATATTATGTTTTTTCTACCAACAGACCTGACATGGTATGCTGAGGTGGGGAGTCTGGGGACCGATGCACTATGGCAGAGTCACTTGCCATCCAGGACCATTCAACTGAAGCAGAACTATGCACCAAGTAGTAATATGAATCAATTTGGCCTAGTAGCCAGCAGATCCGACCCACCCGCTTGCTTACAGCTGCAGACAGGCTAGGGTCGGACAGGCTTCCTGTGTAAATTAAGACACAGCGGAGCCAGCGCGAGATATAGCTCGGAAAAAGTACCTCAATCCAGGGATCACAAATGTGTTGTACTCCGAATTGTCCCATTATCCCAACTGTTACACCGAGAAGATTGAAGACTGATCAAATAGTAGTCTTAATCTACACAGAAAGCCTGTCTGACCCTAGTGCAGCTGTAAGCAAGCAGGTTGGATCTGCTGGATAGCCTAGTAGTAGCTATGTGTTCTATCCTCTACTAATCAATGATCTGCTGTTTTGATCAGTGGAGGCTGCTGAGGGAAGGGCGGCTCATAATAATGGCTGGAATGGAGTGAAAGTAATCAAACGCATGAAAACCAGGTGTTTGATACCATTCCATTCACTCCATTTCGGCCATTATTATGAGTCGTCCTCCCCTCAGCAGCCTCCACTGGTTTTCATGTAGCCCAGTCTGTTTTAAATTGGCTGCATTGATAGCCCATCTTTGCAGGTTAGTTGAATAAATTGATGCTAATCAGGTGCAGTTATAAAAAAAAACATTTGACACTCATCCAGAGATTGTATTTTGATATGCTATATCTTCTTATAGTGAAATAAAAGACATTGAGTCCTTTGAGACAGAAGGAGCCAACCAGAGATTGAAAGCCGACCACTTGCTTTTCACCATTCAAAGACACCAAAAATGTTACGTCTGGTGTGAGTATAAGCTATTTCTGTCCAGTGCCTTTACACACAGACTCGCACCAAGAGCCTTAGACTATGACTAAGAGCAGCAAAACTGTGTTTGACTGTTTCATTTGTTCTGATACTTTGATACATTTCCCAGTGCCACTAGGCCTATCATTATTTATGTGAATATTGCTTATTTATTGCTTATATCATGTAGTCTATAACGTCTATTGTTGCTGTGGTATTATTTTTTCATCCATGCATCATTGCTGTGATTCTTTTTATTATTTTACCTTCAAATTATACTGCCTAAAACGTACCTTTGTCATGCCTTACAGTTTGTGAGGAGTGCAAAGACTATTTTATTGATGAATGCCCCACACATGGCCCTCCAGTTTTTGTGCCTGACACCCCTGTGCCAGTGGGCGTCCCAAACCGTGCCGCCCTTACTACCCCTAGTGGCATTGAGGTCATTCAGGAAGGCAGTGAGGTGGACGTGTGCTGCGTAGACAAAGACATTCCCAGGGGGGCACTATTCGGTCCTTACCAGGGTGAAGTGATGTCACAGGATAAGTCCTCTGGTTTCTTCCCCTGGATGGTGAGTTGAATCCACAAACCTTACTATGTTCTGCAATTCACTCTTCACTAGTATATGGTATACCTCATGAAATTGTCTACCTAATTTCATGCACCATGTGTAACTTTAAGGCTCTCGCATCTATGTATTTATGTCAATGTTTTTTATCCCTAGTTGGTGGACAAAAACAACTCATACAAATCCATTGATGGTAGCGACGAAACCAAAGCTAACTGGATGAGGTATGTCCGAAACTCTTCAGAGGACATTGAGCGAAACCTGACAGCCTTCCAGCATGGCGAGCACATCTACTTCCAGGTGTGCCGTGACCTATCAGTGGGGGAGAGGCTGCGGGTATGGTACAGTGATGACTACATGGACCGATTACACCGCATGTCCCAGGACACCATCGACAGCAACTTGGCCATAGGTAACACTCCTACCAGCCTCATCCCCTCTAGTTAACTACCAAACATATTTTATTGCTTTCCATAGTGCTACAATGTGTGTCATTTTCTACCCATATCACTGATCTAAGATCTCCTAAATAGTTATTCTAAGAAATGCATTAGTATGACTGACTTTGAAGGAAAGATGAAGATCATTGAAATACATTTTGACCACCAGGGGGAGCCATGTTGCAAAATACATGCAGAAGCTCAAACAGTGAATGGCAATATTAAACCAGTTGTCACCTTTTTGAAATTAATACTTCATATATCAACATGTTGTTTTACGCACAAATATAGTTAATGAAGAGGATTTTGTCATTTTATTATGTAAGAATGATTACATGTTTGTTTATATTATTATAAGCAGTTTTAAGGTGCTTACCTGTCAGAGGCTGATCAAGTTGAACTTGGGGTTTTGAATGATCATCTTGTCTCCCTCCACAACAGTTGAAAAGGACTCACGAGTGTGGTCAAGCCCCTGGAATGTTACAGCCCGGGACCGGGAAGCTACCCAGGCCCTCATCGAGCACTACGGGTCCCCAGAGATCCAGGGCCTACTGAACGACCGGACAACCAGAACCAAGCAGATCTTTGAGATCATCGCCAGTCGGATGGAGGCACAGGGCTTCCTGATCAGTGAGAACTCCTGGCAGGCTGGCAAGCGATGCTTCCAAAAGTGGCGCAACATGGAGCGCACGTACAAAGACTATGTGCTGGTGTCCAAGAGGACTGATGCTGGACGCAGGAAACAGCCCGAGTTCTTTGACCAGTTCCATGCACTCATGGGCCAGAGGCTGAGCTCCAAGCTGGCTACTGCTGACACCCCATCCAGGGCGTTGGCCAAGCTGAAGCCTAAAGCTGTAGCACCAACTCCAAGCCTGCCCCTCTATACTATTGTAGTCCCATCAGGTCATCCAGTCAAGCTCGGTATCCCCTCCACCTCTAGCCCAGAGGCAGAGATTGGAGTCCATGCAGGCACCACTGAACCTGAACCGCTAGCCAGGAAGTCCAGGTGCGAACGGGTCCCACATCCCAAGATACTCCAGTCAAATGTGGAGGAGGAGAGGGCAGAGAATCAACTCCAAAAGGGGAGGAGGAGGTTGTGGCTTGGGGATGACAGAGGTACATTTGTAATGATGTTGAATCTTAGCAGTTGGCCTATAACTGAAAAGGACGCAGACAGTTTTCAAAATCATTGACAGTATTTGTGTAATAACTCTTTCTATCTTCATGTCTCTAGCTGCTGAGAACGGTGGGTACCTGCCTGTGTGGTCAGAGCGGAAAGTTATCAGTCAGGACATTGAGGCAACGGAGGCATTAGTAGAGCTGTACAGCTCTCCAGAGATCCAGGGACTGATCAGGGAGAAAAAGACCCGAACCAAGAGGATCTTTGAGATCATAGCTAGCAGGCTGAAGGAGCAAGGCTTCCACATCAGTGATGTGCCTGAGCAGGCAGGGGAGCGATGTTTCCAGAAGTGGCGGAACCTGTCGAGGGCGTACAAGGAGTACATCCTCCACCCAGAGAAGGCTGACATGGCCAAGAGGAAGCTTCCTGCCTACTTCAACAGGCTGCAAGACCTCATAGGCCACCGGCTCAGCCTTCAACTATCTGAAGACTCCCCCGAGCCTGATGGCAGCATGGGAGATGCTGAGGCAGATGCAGGGGTTGAGGACATAAGCCAGAATCTGTTACACATTGCGGAGGTGCTGGCGAGCCCCATTGACATTGTCAGTCCCCCCTCCACTTCTGCCACCTTCTCCTCTTCACAGACAGGAAACCACCTCCAAGTTGGACCCAGTGGGTCGGAAGAGAAGGAGGATGGCAGACATGTTGGATGTCTTTCAAGGTTACAGGGAGGAGGACAAACGATTGCAAGAGGAGAGGGAAAGGAGGGCAGAGGAGCGCTTTAATCAGCTGCGAAGCCTTCTGCAGCAACAGCACACAGAGACTATGGCGGGGATGAGAGAACTGATCAATTCCATGAAGACGAAAAAACAATGAGATATAGTGTGTATATATATATATATATATATATATATATATATATATATATATATATACCTTGCAAAAGTATTCATCCCCCTTGGCGTTTTTCCTATTTTGTTGCATTACAACCTGTAATTTAAATGGATTTTTATTTGGATTTTATGTAATGGACATACACAAAATAGTCAAAATTGGTGAAGTGAAAAGAAAAAAATTACTTGTTTCCAAGAATTCTAAAAAATAAATAACGGAGAAGTGGTGCGTGCATATGTATTCACCCCCTTTGCTATGAAGCCCCTAAATCAGATCTGGTGCAACCAATTACCTTCAGAAGTCACATAATTAGTTAAATAAAGTCCACCTGTGTGCAATCTAAGTGTCACATGATCTCAGTATTTATACACTTGTTCTGAAAGGCCCCAAAGTCTGCAACACCACTAAACAAGGGGCACCACCAAGCAAGCGGCACCATGAAGACCAAGGAGTTCTCCAAACAGGTCAGGGACAAAGTTGTGGTACAGATCAGGGTTGGGTTATAAAAAAATATCAGAAACTTTAAACATCCCACGGAGCACCATTTTAAATCCATTATTAAAAAATGGAAAGAATATGGCACCACAACAAACCTGCCAAGAGAGGGCCGCCCACCAAAACTCACGGACCAGGCAAGCAGGGCATTAATCAGAGAGGCAACAAAGAGACCAAAGATAACCCTGAAGGAGCTGCAAAGCTCCACAGCGGAGATTGGAGTATCTGTCCATAGGACCACTTTAAGCCGTACACTCCACAGAGCTGGGCTTTACGGAAGAGTGGCCAGAAAAAAGCCATTGCTTCAAGAAAAAAATAAGCAAACACGTTTGGTCTTCGCCAAAAGGCATGTGGGAGACTCCCCAAACATATGGAAGAAGGTACTCTGGTCAGATGAGCCTAAAATTGAGCTTTTTGGCCATCAAGGAAAATGCATTGTCTGGTGCAAACCCAATACCTCTCATCACCCCGAGAACACCATCCCCACAGTGAAGCATGGTGGTGGCAGCATCATGCTGTGGGGATGTTTTTCATCGGTAGGGACTGGGAAACTGGTCAGAATTGAAGGAATGATGGATGGCGCTAAATACAGGGAAATTCTTGAGGGAAACCTGTTTCAGTCTTCCAGAGATTTGAGACTGGGACGGCGGTTCACCTTCCAGCAGGACAATGACCCTAAGCATACTGCTAAAGCAACACTCGAGTGGTTTAAGGGGAAACATTTAAATGTCTTGGAACGGCCTAGACAAAGCCCAGACCTCAATCCAATTGAGAATCTGTGGTATGACTTAAAGATTGCTGTACACCAATGGAACCCATCCAACTTGAAGGAGCTGGAGCAGTTTTGCTTTGAAGAATGGGCAAACGTCCCAGTGGCTAGATGTGCCAAGCTTATAGAGACATACCCCAAGAGACTTGCAGCTGTAATTGCTGCAAAAGGTGTCTCTACAAAGTATTGACTTTGGGGGGGGTGAATAGTTATGCACGCTCAAATTTTCTTTTTTGGGGTCTTATTTCTTGTTAATTTCACAAAAAAATTGTTTTGCATCTTGAAAGTGGTAGGCATGTTGTGTAAATCAAATGATACAAACCCCCCAAAAATCCATTTTTTTAAATTCCAGGTTGTAAGGCAACAAAATAGGAAAAATGCCAAGGGGGATGAATACTTACACAAGCCAACGTATATACACACACTATCAGTCAAAAGTTTGGACACACCTACTAATTCTATTCATTCAAGGGTTTTTCTTTATTTTTACTATTTCTTACATTGTAGAATAATAGTGAAGACATCAAAACTATGAAATAACACATATGGAATCATATAGTAAACAAAAAAGTGTTAAACAAATCAAAGTATATTTTATATTTGAGAATCTTCAAATAGCCACCCTTTACCTTGATGACAGCTTTGCACACTCTTGGGAATCTCTCAACCAGCTTCACCTGGAATGCTTTTCCAACAGTCTTGAAGGAGGTCCCACATATGCTGAGCACTTGTTGGCTGCTTTTCCTTCACTCTGCGGTCCGACTCATCCCAAACCATCTCAATTGGGTTGAGGTTGGGGGATTGTGGACGCCAGGTCATCTGATGCAGCACTCCATCACTCTCCTTCTTGGTAAAATAGCCCTTACACAGCGCAAACCAGATGGGATGGCGTATCGCTGCAGAATGCTGTGGTAGCCATGCGGGTTAAGTGTGCCTTGAATTCTAAATAAATCACAGACAGTGTCACCAGCAAAGCACCATCACACCTCCTCCTCCATGCTTCACGGTGGAAACCACACATGCGGAGATCAACCGTTCACCTACTCTGCGTCTCACAAAGAAACAGCAGTTGGAACCAAAAATCGCAAATTTGGACTCATCAGACCAAAGGACAGATTTCCATCTGTCTAATGTCCATTGCTCGTGTTTCTTGGCCCAAGCAAGTCTCTTCTTATTATTGGTGTCCTTTGGTAGTGGTTTCTTTGCAGCAATTCGACCATGAAGGCCTGATTCATGCAGTCTCCTCTAAACAGTTGATGTTGAGATGTGTCTGTTACTTGAACTCTGTGAAGCATTTATTTGGGCTGCAATTTCTGAGGCTGGTAATTCTAATGAACGTATCCTCTGCAGCAGAGGTGACTCTGCGTCTTCCTTTCCTGTGGCGGTCCTCATGAGAGCCAGTTTCATCATAGCGCTTGATGGTTTTTGCGACTGCACTTGAAGAAACTTTCAAAGTTCTTGAAATGTTCCGAATTGACTGACCTTCTTGTCTTAAAGTAATGATGGATTGTCGTTTCTCTTTGCTTATTTTAGCTGTTCTTGCCATAATATGGACTTGGTCTTTTACCAAATAGGGCTATCTTCTGTATACCACCCATACCTTGCAACACAACTGATTGGCTCAAAAGCATTAAGAAGGAAATACATTTCACAAATTAACTTTTAACAAGGCACACCTGTTAATTGAAATGCATTCCAGGTGACGACCTCAGGAAGCTGCTTGAGAGAATGCCAAGAGTGTGCAAAGCTGTCATCAAGGCAAAGGGTGGCTATTTGAATAATCTCAAATATAACATATCTTTTGATTTCTTTAACACTTTTTTGGTTACTACATGATTCCATATGTGTTATTTCATAGTTTTGATGTCTTCACTATTATTATACAATGTAGAAAATAGTAAAAATTAAGAAAATCCCTTGAATGAGTAGGTGTGTCCAAACTTTTAACTGGTACTGTGTGAATGTATATACAGTTGAAATCGGAAGTTTACATACACCTTAGCCAAATACATTTAAACTCAGTTTTTCACAATTCCTGACATTTAATCCTAGTAAAAATTCCCTGTGTTAGGTCAGTTAGGATCACCACTTTATTTTAAGAATGTGAAATGTCAGAATAATAGTAGAGAGAATGATTTATTTCAGCTTTTATTTCTTTCATCACATTCCCAGTGGGTCAGAAGTTTACATACACTAAATTAGTATTTGGTAGCATTGCCTTTAAATTGTTTAACTTGGGTGAAACGTTTCGGGTAGCCTTCCACAAGCTTCACACAATAAGTTGGGTGAATTTTGGCCCATTCCTTCTGACAGAGCTGGTATAACTGAGTCAGGTTTGTAGGCCTCCTTGCTCACACACGCTTTTTCAGTTCTGCCCACACATTTTCTATAGGATTGAGGTCAGGGCTTTGTGATGGCCACGCCAATACCTTGACTTTGTTGTCCTTAAGCCATTTTGCCACAACTTGGAAGTATGCTTGGGGTCATTGTCCATTTGGAAGACCCATTTACGACCAAGCTTTAACTTCCTGACTGATGTCTTGAGATGTTGCTTCAATATATCCACATAATTTTCCTTCCTCATGATGCCATCTATTTTGTGAAGTGCACCAGTCCCTCCTGCAGCAAAGCACCCCCACAGCATGATGCTGCCACCCCCGTGCTTCACGGTTGGGATGGTGTTCTTCGGCTTGCAAGCAACCCCCTTTTTCCTCCAAACATAACGATGGTCATTATGGCCAAACAGCACTATTTTTGTTTTCATCAGACCAGAGGTCATTTCTCCAAAAAGTACGATCTTCGTCCCCATGTGCAGTTGCAAACCGTAGTCTGGCTTTTTAATGGCGGTTTTGGAGCAGTGGCTTCTTCCTTGCTGAGGGCCTTTCAGGTTATGTCGATATAGGACTCGTTTTACAATGGATATAGATACTTTTGTACCTGTTTCCTCCAGCATCTTCACAAGGTCCTTTGCTGTTGTTTTGGGATTGATTTGCACTTTTCGCACCTAAGTATGTTCATCTCTAGGAGACAGAACGCATCTCCTTCCTGAGCGGTATGACAGCTGCGTGGTCCCATGGTGTTTATACTTGCGTACTATTGTTTGTACAGATGAACGTGGTACCTTCAGGCGTTTGGAAATTGCTCCCAAGGATTAACCAGACTTGTGGAGGTCTACAATTTTTTTTCTGAGGTCTTTGCTGATTTCTTTTGATTCTCCCATGAAGGTACACCTCCAATTGACTCAAATGATGTCAATTAGCCTATCAGAAGCTTCAGAAGCCATGACATCATTTTCTGGAATTTTCCAAGCTGTTTAAAGGCACAGTCAACTTTGTGTATGTAAACTTCTGACCCACTGGAATTGACATACAGTGAATTATACGTCTGTAAACAATTGTTGGAAAAATTACTTGTGTCATACACAAAGTAGATGTCCTAACCGACTTGCCAAAACTATAGTTTGTTAAAAATAAATTTGTGGAGTGGTTGAAAAACGAGTTTCAATGACTCCAACCTAAGCGTATGTAAACTTCCGACTTCAACTGTATATATATATATATATATATATATATATATATATATATATATATATATATATACAGTGAGCTCCATAATTCATTGGACAGTGACCATTGTTTTGTTATTTTGGTTCTGTACTCTAGCACTTTGAGTTTGAAAGGATACAATGACAATGAGGGTGAAGTGCAGACTGTCAGCTTTAATTTGAGGGTATTTTCATACATATCGGATGAACCGTTTAGAAATGACAGCACCTTTTGTACATGGTCCCCCCATTTTAAGGTACTACAAGTATTTGTTAAATTGGCTTCACAGATGTGTGTCGTTAGGCAGGTGTATTCATTTGTGTCGTTAGTGAATGCAGGAGAGCTGTTGATGAATAGTAATGATTCTAGACGTTGCTATTGCCTTTGGAGGTTGTTATTGGGGTGTGACAACATGAGGAAGACAGCAGTGTCGATGCAAATGAAGTTGGCCGTCATAAGGCTCAGAAATGAAAATCAATCATTCAGGAACATTGCAAAAACCCTGGCCATGCCCAAGTCAACAGTTTTGTTCATCATTAACAAGAAAAAAACAACCGGTGAACTCAATTATGTCAAAAGACCCGGTAGACAGAGGAAGACCACTGTAGTGGATGACCGGAGAATACTCTCTATGGTGAAGAAAAAAACCCTGATAACAGCCCAACAGATCAAAAACACTCTCCTGGATGCAGGTGTAGATGTGTCAAAGTCTACCATACGCAGAAGACTACACCAGCAGGACTACAGAGGGTACACTACAAGATGCAAACCACTGATAAGCCTGAAGAACAGAAAGGCAAGATTACAGTTTGCTAAAAAGCACCTAAAAGAACCCCAAGAGTTCTGGAAAAAAATATTGTGGACAGATGAGACAAAGATTAACATGTACCAGAGTGATGGAAAGACAAAAGTGTGGAGAAAAAAAAGAAATGCCCATGATCCAAAGCATACCACCTCATCCATGAAACATGGTGGAGGGGGGTGTTATGGCTTGGGCCTGTATGGCTGCCAGTGGAACAGGCTCACTTGTCTTCATCGATGATGTGACTGCAGACAGAAGTAGAACAATGAATTCTGAAGTCTACAGAAATATTTTATCTGCTCAGATAAAACCAAATGCCTCCAAACTCATTGGACGGCACTTAATCACGCAACAAGACAATGACCCTAAACATACTGCTAGAGCAACAAAGGGGTTTTTGATGGCCAAAAAGTGGAAAAACCTTGACTGGCCGAGTCAATCACCAGATCTGAATCCAATTGAACATGCATTTTACATGCTGAAGAGGAGACTTAAGGCAATAAGTCCCCGAAACAAGCAGGAACTGAAGATGGCTGCAGTACAGGCCTGGCAGAGCATCACCAGGGAAGATACCCAGCGTCTGGTGATGGCGATGCATCGCAGACTTCAAGCAGTCATTGCATGCAAAGGATATGCGACCAAATATTAACAATGATTACTTTATTCTACATTATGTTAAACTGTCCAATGATTTTTGATGCCCGAAAATGGGGGGGACCATGTACAAAAGCTTCTATAATTCGTAAACGGTTCATCCGATATGTATGAAAATACCCTCAAATTAAAGCTGACAGTCTGCACTTCACCCTCATTGTCATTGTATCCTTTCAAACTCAAAGTGCTAGAGTACAGAACCAAAATAACAAAAGAATGGTCACTGTCCAGTGAATTATGGAGCTCACTGTATATATATTTATATATAGTTTTGGCATCATCTTTCTATTATTTGCATTTGCTATCTGCCCTGTTATTTGTATTATGTATTGTTAGTCTTATGTATTGTTGAAGACTATAGAAAGTCGTATAAATGTTTATATAATAAGGGTTGTGTCTTTGGCATCCACAGACCACTTTTCTACATTTCACTTGGAAAATATACTGTATCTCACTTCCTGCAAGTGCCGTTATTTTTAATGCCAACTGATTATTTATGGGTGCTTTAAGTCTGACCCGGTCTGTATTGAGCTAGAACATGTGAAACTGTGGCTTATTAGTCAAAATAAACCTCTTGGTTCGAGCATTTTATTTATTCAGTACAAAATGATGTCACAACTGTTTAGCCTCATCACATTGTCTTACGTCAGATTTGACTCTGGCCAAGACAATGGCTCCATTGCTGACACAGAATTCGGCAGCAACAAATACTTTTTTCCCATTTTAAATTGAAAAGAGAAGTATCAGACGCATGGGACGGGCTGATCTAGTCAGTACGGTTCACTTATTAATGAGTCAGGGGGTTTATTTCGTAGTTCTCAGTCATTCAATTATTCTTCCATGTTCATGTTGTCCTTGCCAGGCAATGGATAAAAAATGTCCCATAGTTCTTCTCTCTTTTCGTTTAGGGGCCATGACGGATATTGAGGTTGATGAACTGTAGTATTGGTTAGGTTATATAACAAGCACATTGGAAACAACATTCATTATTCATTCTGGCCATATCTGCAGCTGCAGGGAGATTGTAATGGATAGTCCACAGAAGACAACTACCTGGAAACGCTGGATGATGTATTGTTACTTTATATCCAAGCACTGCCTCTGCACCAGTTATTTTACATAACAATGTAGCTACATCATTAGTTGGAAGTGCTGTTGTTTAGGGCTATAAAGTGTATGCACATTGCACAGCATTGCATGCATAATGATTGTACTACTTACACACAAGCGGATTGCTCATATCTTAACAAATAGGCAGGAATATAATGCCCATGGCATCCTAAGACAATCTGGCAAATGATCATTCAGAATCTCATGAAGATGCAAATTTTTAAAGAAATTACTTTTAATATCTACAAATGATGACAATAAGCACACAAAATAAGACATTTGTTGAAATTATTTCATAGAAAAATAAACATTTATTTTAACATGGAAACTGCAACACTTTTATTACAGCAGAAAATATAAGCCTGTGATTGTGAGTCAAGGACAAGGCTAGGTACTGTGAGTAGGATTTACATAGGTGTATTGACTGAGATGAATCCCTTGTTGCACTTCAAGGGTGATATGCTTTACAACAACAAAAAATTACTCAGCACACAGTATTACCAGTGTTCTTGTAAATACAACACCGTGCATGTGAAACAGCCATACTTTAGTAGTCAATGAGTTATCACTTCAAAGGTTGATTATATTGTGGTCTGTTACAGTAAATCTTAGTTTTTTTGTGAAATGGCTTGGATGGGTGACATTAATGTGTAACTTCATCTCAGCATGATAATGGTAGTGCTCATTCAGCTATGAAAATCTAGCTACTGTATAGCAGGTCAGGTTCCAAGGTTATATCAGTTACGCATAATGAGCTCTGAGAATAGGAAGTATCAATAAATAGATATATTACATCAATGTCTGCCCGGATGTTGTGTTAGGGGCTGATACTGTACATATTGCTCTCTGCATGCCTGGGTATTTGCACATCCTCAGTACAAGTTGACTAGAATCAGATATTGGCATAACATATTTTGAAGATCATGCAGGTAGCTTTTTTATTTTCACACGTTTTGTACGTAAAATTTCAAATTCCACAGTATGTTTCTCACTGGCGCAATCTATAGCAGTTCACTTGACAAAAGCTACGTAAAAATAAAACTACATAGGAGAAAAATACCTTTTGTAACTGAAGCAAAGTGGGTTGAATGGAAACAGGTGTGAAATGTGATAAGTTGATAGTTGTATTGTAACTGCTTCATATATAACATTTATAACATCTCTCGTATTCTCCTAAGATAAAATCCAGCTGCACATATTCATAAAAATTACAAATACAGTATATTACTTGATTAAACACTGCATGATTTTGTGTATAACTTTAGCTGCCTGTGTAATAAGATCAACTTTAAACATAAAGTCCACTGTAATTCCATCACAGTTACAATATATGAATGAATACCAATACTTGTGCTTTCAGTAGTACACAGGGCTTTCGAATCTCCTATCCGTTCAATATTGGCAGGCCTTTTACTTTCTGCTAGGTGCATTTTCTCGATTGTTTTCCAAGTGTGTGAAAACATCACTTTACAAATAAAATGACAGCTGTACTATAGAATAATTGACTTATATTTATTTACATTTACATTTTAGTCATTTAGCAGACGCTCTTATCCAGAGCGACTTACAGTTAGTGATTTTTTTTTCTCCATACTGGTCCCCGGTGGGAAACAAACCCACAACCCTGGCGTTGCAAACACTCTGCTCTACCAACTGAGCTACACAGGACTTATTTTACCATTACATACCATATACGTAATCCCCTATACCACAAAAACACAGGCATTACTTATCATATTTATTCTGTTCAGCTATGAAAACAGATCATAGAGGTGGTTAAGTATAGGTACTGTGGCGAGTAACCCACTCCTCTTTGCAGATCTTCTCCAAGTCATTAAGGTTTCAAGGCTGACGTTTGTCAACTCGAACCTTCAGCTCCCTCCACAGATTTTAATATGGGATGAAGGTCTGGAGACTTGTTAGGCCACTCCAGGACCTTAATGTGTTTCTTCTTGAGCCACTCCTTTGTTGCCTTGGCCGTGTGTTTTGGGTCATTGTCATGCTGGAATACCCATCCACGACCCATTTTCAATGCCCTGGTTGAGGGAAGGAGGTTCTCACCCAAGATTTGACGGTACATCGTCCCTTTGATGCGGTGAAGTTGTCCTGTCCCCTTAGCAGAAAAACACCCCCAAAGCATAATGTTTCCACCTCCATGTTTGACGGTGGAGATGGTGTTCTTGGGGTCATAAGCAGCATTCCTCCTCCTCCAAACACGGCGAGTTGACTTGATGCCAAAGAGCTCCATTTTGGTCTCATCTGACCACAACACTTTCACCCAGTTCTCCTCTGAATCATTCAGATGTTCATAGGCAAACTTCAGACGGGCATGTATATGTGCTTTCTTGAGCAGGGGGACCTTGCGAGCGCTGCAGGATTTCAGTCCTTCACGCGTAGTGTGTTACCAATTGTTTTCTTGGTGACTATGGTCCCAGCTGCCTTGAGAATCATTGACAAGATCCTCCCGTGTAGTTCTGGGCTGATCCTCACCGTTCTCATGATCATTGCAACTCCACGAGGTGAGATCTTGCATGGAGCCCCAGGCTGAGGGAGATTGACGTTCTTTTGTGTTTCTTCCATTTGCGAATAATCGCACCAAACTGTTGTCACCTTCCCACCAAGCTGCTTGGCGATGGTTTGTAGCCCATTCAGCCTTGTGTAGGTCTACAATCTTGTCCCTGACATCCTTGGAGAGCTCTTGCTCTTGGCCATGGTGGAGAGTTTGGAATCTGATTAATTGATTGCTTCTGTGGACAGGTGTCTTTTATACAGGTAACAAGCTGAGTTTAGGAGCACTCCCTTTAAGAGTGTGCTCCTAATCTCAGTTCGTTACCTGTATATAAAACCCCTGGGAGCCAGAAATCTTTGTGATTGAGAGGGGGTCAAATACTTATTTCCCTCATTAAAATGCAAATCAATTTCTAACATTTTTGACATGCGTTTTTCTGGATTTTTTCATTGTTATTCTGTCTCTCACTGTTCAAATAAACCTATCATTAAAATTATAGACTGATCATTTCTTTGTCAGTGGGCAAACGTACAAAATCAGCAGGGGATCAAATACTTTTTTCTCTCACTGTAGGTATTGTAGGTGAAGTATTACATTGCATTGATGAGTTTCATTGAATATATAAAATGTGTTCATGGTTGGAAATCTTGGGAAATTCTGTGATATCCAGTGATATGTCGGTTCAGTGTATGCTATTGTTGATATGTTATGGGATGCTGTGGGATAAATAATTGCAGGTAATAGGATCATTTCCATATAAGTGGATAAATACTGTAGATTTAGGCTCTTAAATCCTGAGTTCCGGAATTACTCAATCCAGCCTTGTATGGTAAACTATTTATGTGTGGTATACTATTTTGGTATTTGGAAGGGCAAAGCAGACAGGTTGTTATCTTAGTCATAAAGTGGGTGCCACATGGCGATCTGCTTACGGGGGTTGTCTAGCATCTGCTGCCAGTGTTGGAGACCAGTATTAGAGGCCTGTAAACCCAGCTGGCAGCGGCCCAAGGACTCCTGCTCAACAGGACCTGCCTGGTTCAACACCTCCAAGTCCAGACTGGATTTAGACAGCAGCTCGCGGGGAACCTCCAGCATCATCATCTCATTCCACACTGGGTTCATCTTGTGCTTGACTCGTCGCGTCTGCTTCTTCTTCAGCTTGGTAGTCTGGTGCTTCAGGGCCAGTTTCACAGACAGGTCTAGGAACAAGGAACGAGGCTTTCACTACAGTGAAACGGATGGATGATTATCCATTCATGGTTGTATGATTTGATGAGCAGTTGTAGGCGTCATACAGTATGAGCTGCAATGGGTTATATTAATAAGCAGGGTGTACCTATGGAGTCCTTCAGCTTGTCCAACTGTAGTCCTCTAGCCTTCATCACCACCACTCCCAGCCGGTTGGCTGCAGGCAGGTAACTTATGGAGAGCAAGAGCTCTCCAGCTGACTGGACATCCTGCTGATTATAGTCAATTACACCAATTCACTGTGATTAGAACAGGTCACATAAAAACGTTTATTCTGCAAATAATGTCAAAAACACACAGCAGAAAACTTCAACACACAACAGACTTTGATATACAGTACATAGGTTAGAACAAATATCAAACAAGCAATGTCCATTTAGGAATTACAATAAGGTGTGTACACGTGCCTGTTACCTTGACAGCATCATTAACGGACACAAAGGTCTGATTCACTAGTAATCAAATGGACTGGATGAATGGCTGTGTGAGTCACCTCTGTGCCTCAGGAAGATTAGGATTCATTAGGCACAAATTATTATAATAACTGCTATTATGCTTCTGATGCTACCGGTGAATCTCATATTGATCTGAAATCGTGACAATTTAGTAAATGGTCTTCGTGCGTGGGTTAGGGGCATTGAAACTCCTACACATACTGCAATATGCCCCAATATGTCACTTTACTAAGTGGAATATCAGAGACTCTTACAACCAGGAAAGAGTTTATTGTAAAAGTAATATCATATAAACGAAATGTGTGTGTAGGAGAGGCTTTACAGTCAACACTCCACCTTTTGTCAAACTGTTATCATGCATAGCCAACTGTGTGGAGGGTTGATTAGTGAAAGTAATTGATATCTAGGGTCTTTGGTCATCCAGTAGTGCACATATGAGGAAGTGGTTCATATTATTTCCAAACAGGTCACACACAAAAAATAAGGAGCCCACTAATGGACAAAAAGTCAAGGATTTTGCATTAGCCAATATGCAGCACAGACTAAGCACAATTGGCTTTTATAGGGGGTGCTTGGAAACATGTTAACTACATCATTTCAACAGCACCAAAGAGCACAGTACAATTTTACAGCTTGAGCGTCCCTTTATAGTCTGCGATCCACAGCAAGTAAACACTTTAAAGTAGCAGCCTGACTCACTCTTTGATTTGCTGTGAGCGATATATCAAAGGAGTGGTAAGTAATCGATGCAAAGGGAATGGGGTAGTCTTGTTCTTTGAACAGTGTTCTTCTCTGAGTCATAACTCCATACAACTACAACCAAATCAACGGTTTCATTAAAATGTTTTTCTCTCTTTCAGTGGACATCTAATAAATAAAATATCTCCTATCTTTCTTCAGTGGAGTATCATAGTGTGTGATCTCCTGAGGAGCTATAGCACAGTATACTGCTGTGTGTGTCATCCCCGGCTTCTGTCAGCCCCATCTGCTCCTGTGTTCTCTCTATGCAGCTATGACCACTAAATAAAGAGCTGAGAAACTTCTCACTGTGTTAAATGATCAATAATTTATAGTTATTCTTCCGCAGCGGAGTATCACTTGCGTCACAACCTACATCATACAAACTCCCGCCTTCCCCTCCCTACATCTCTCAGCCTCCCCCTGTCCTCTCTATCTCCTCTATCTGGTCTTCCTTTTAATCTTTGACGTGACTTATTTATCTCATGTCATCCTCGTATCTCTCTCCGTCATCTCCCGCTCCCTCTCCAGCCCTCCATCATCCCTGTTTGTGATTCCTGGCAGGACTTCATGCTCTCTTGCGCATCCCTGAAAAAAGAAATCCCCAGGGTTTGTAATGATGTAGATTCTGATCTCCTGCCTAGCTTGGAGGCTCACGATGCAGCAGCCAGGAAAGACTGGAGAACTGGCAGTTTTTTTATTAAATCCATATTTGCATTCAGGTGTCCCTGTAGCTGAAGTTTTAATTAAAGAACAGCTTGTTGGTGGACAGAATGAGCTGTTCCGACAGAAAAGAGAAACAAGATCATATTGGGTTTCTAATAAATTCATTTTTTCAAAGGTTTCCCAGCCTCGCAAATGGATCAGAGCCTGAATAAACTGAAAAGGACTTGCAGTATACATTTTGTCTCTCTGTATGTACTCAATCCTTTCAGAGATTTCTATCAAAACGTCCAACAACAATCTCCCTTTCAACCCTATATACAAATCCTCCCTGTGTCACTGAGACTGAGACGTCAAATGGGATTACCTTTTTCTATAGCAGCTTGAGTAGCTGTCCTTTTTACCTAAATCCTCTTTAGGTTAACATAAAGTCAGATGGTTATCACTGTATCTTGAAGAGGCTTAACAGTGCTTGTTACAGGGTAGCCATACAGACAGGCAGACCAAACCTAGCCATTGAGATAAATGAGTTTGACCTTGAATAAAAATAATTTTGATCACAGTGCCTAGGATTCAGTTTCACCAGATCCACAGAACAGTTGTCTAGTTTGAGAGCTGGGATGGCTCACGTCACTATCAGATCACGAGGGGTAGGGGCTGTTGAAGGATGCCATGGCAACACCTTTTTATAACGAACACCTCCTAACAGCTCATAGAAGCAAAGGAGAGCCAATTAGCACAGGTTAGCGATAGATAGTGGAAACACACTTCATCTCAGAGACGCAGGGAATATATCTCACCCCAATTCAAAATCACTCATGATTCCACCCATTCTTCAAAAGAAGATAAACAGTTACCGTGCTCCTCATTACTAAAAATGATATCTATGATGGTCTCGAAGAGGAACACAGTTCTATACAATTCAATTTACAAAAATATAATAATATTAAAGGGGAACTGCACCCGCTGATTTGGCCTCTTTTTTTGACTTGCTCCGCAAGAAATGCGGGCGGCCATGACAGAAGCAAAACTTGAGTTGGGTTGTGGGTGTGGTTTGATGTGGGTGTTTCTTAGGTGTGTCCTTGCCACCACCAAGACCCCCCCCCCCCCCCCCCCCACTCAATCGCAACAAACAAACCTCCGGCAGGTTGAGTTCAATAACTACAGATGTATGATGAGATGCTGGAGGAAGCTTTGAAAATGTCAGCAGCCTACAGAGTAATATGAGAAGAATGCAATTGCTGAATTTAGGTAGACATAACTTTCAAATGTAGTAACAGGTCCATGTAGAATAAACAACCCTTTACATAATACCATAGAAGCAGTGTTCTGCTAGTATGATAATGTGAACTTTTCATCTTTCATTGTCATTCCCAGCCGATACAGACACTGTGCCTATCAGCATTTTGTCTGGTGGTAATGGGGCTACCTTGGCAAACATGTCAGAGTGGTCATACCTTCCTGTGTGGTGTCCTGTATACAACAGGAGTTCCCTGATCCTGGTGCAGAATACACAGGGTTTCTCCCTCCCCATATTGACTGATACCATTCAATTAAATAATAACAAAATACAATACAAGTAAAAGTTGTTTCTAGTAAAATTTTAATGCAGAGTGCAAGGTCTCTCTCCATTCAGATACATCAGTATCAGTATCTGTCAGTCTGGACTTTATCACATAATTTTGCAAGTCTCCATGTGCTGGCTCCAAACATATACACACATAGTCACTGTTCTATTACCAATGGTAGTTAGGATAGGTAATATCTGACACACAAGCAGGTACTATGTTGAAGTTTGAACAGGTCAAACTAAACCTAGCTAAATCTCTTCTCCCCATCGACGACCGTTGGTGAGCAGGCAAGAGGTGAGGCTGGAGGTGATGTCTTTGACAGAGCCCCATTAACGGGCATAGCAGAGTAGATCAGCCCCTCATCAAAGATACTGGTCAGTCACACACAAACACACACACACAGAGCACTGATACATTATCAATGGTGGTTATGATTAGCCTGGTGGAACCAACCTGATTGCTGCATTCACCTTTCTATTTCACTTCAGATATCATAAAATGTACAGTGAAATAGAATGGTGAACACAGCGATCAGGCTGGTTCCACCAGGCTAAGATATGCCCTGGACATTGTATGCATCTAAGAAGTAGAAAATAAGCAACAAGTAATGTCAGTTTACATAAATTATGTTTCACTATAGGGATATCAAATCTATCAAAGTAATAAAGTGGGTTACCTTCTGTACTTGTACAAATTATGAGCCTGTGAAATCTGTTGCTGCTGACAGGTGGTTGCTGGCCGGATACTTGCCAACATGTGGCTGACTGTTCCATTCATAGGAACGCTCACAGCAAGGGAATGTCTGCATGATGCTGATGAGGGCCCCCTTGCCCGTCTTCTCTATGCTGGGATGGCCTGTGACAGGGTAATATAATAGACAGCCAAGTGGTAAATTGCATTTTGTTCTAAATAAATGACAAAGCTTTTTACTAATGCACTTAACAACCAAAAATACTCTCCTATTTCTATCTACAACGCTAGGGAATTAGCCTACTATTTTATCAAGCCAGATATTTTGGAATACAACTTTTTCACATAGCACACATTACCTGTTGTTGTTGATGAAGCAATCTGTTTCCTCAGGGCAGTAACATGGGTCACTATCAGAGGCCTCATGATGGCGTGTCCATAGGAGTCAAGAGAGACTGGCAACAACGGAGGAGGTGTCACAAGGGTACTTGTGTCGCATCACACACTTATATTCTGTGGTCTTGCCTTACATGCTTGAAAATAGCAAGTGAACAGTGAATTAAAAATATTTTGGGGGGTCGCTAAACCATTACAATCACATTGCTGGAGATGTTATGATACTCACCTTTGCGCCTTCTGGTAGGTCCTGGCATCCGTTCATGACCAGGGGATCAGTCTGGCACCCAATTGTGCATTTTGTCTAACAGAAAAACAGGGTCAACAATTGTGATCATCCCTCAATTATAAACATAGCTTGAGAAATAACATAATCTCATTTGGAAACTAATACTTAACAGATGTAGACTGACTGACTCCAGATTGGATTAGATCCAGGCTGTTGACGCCATTACACTATGCAACCAACTCTGAAATGTTTTGCTATGGCCCTGGATTTCTTTGAGTTTGTTGCTGTTAGTTCGTACACTGTTGTAGTCAGACATGAGTTAGCTAGTACTACCAAAGCTGCATCCAATATCTATTTGTGCCCTAGACACTAATTTAGAGTGCATGGAAATACGATTACCTAGCTAAAGTAGCCAAATAATGAATAGGAAACAACTTTGCCATATTATGATGTCGTCAAATTTACTTTAGAGAGATGGCAATGTTGCCATTACTGTTACTAGCGAAGTTCGTCAAAAACAGCTAGCAATGCTAATGTTAGTTAGCTAAAATAAGGTGGTCCCCTCGATCTTAGTTAGCTGGCTAAAGTTGTACTGCATCTAAAGTCAATCTGGCAACATCACAATCATGACTAAAGGTTTGCCTACTAATTAAATTATTTGCCTTCTTTTGAAATGTTATCTTGTCTACATGCCAAATCTGAGTTTAGGTAGGCTAAAGTTAGCCAGCGATGAAAGTTATGATTATCAATATACATAACCAGACACACAACCAGCAGTCTATGGTCTAGCTACCGGTATACTCACCACCACTGGGGACCAACGAACTCCAACCACCTATTCCGCGTGATAGGGTCCTTCGGCAGGGCATGCAAACCATAGTTGTTGGCTGTGCATCCTGCTGGAGGCATGCATTGCATTGCATGGTCAATCCACCTTTCAGTCTCAAACGGCCGTGATCCTTTGAACATGTATGTTGGGGGCGATGAAACAATGGAAGTGGGAAGCGAAGTGGGCAAAGGGAAGCGAAGTGGCAGAGGGCCGATTTGCACGTGGAGCTTGGCAAAAGGGGGCATTATTTGTTGACATAATTGTACTCCAAACCCAACCTTCTTTTACTCCGTTTTAGACGAGACTGACTTTATGACCAGAACTATCCTATTTACACTTTGCAGTCACTTTTGAAACTAGAATAAATGTTGCTGATTCATATCAATGCCACATAGGCTGTTTTCAAAGGGATTAGTTGGTTTTTAGGGGCAGTTGCTCTTTAACTTTGCTGCCAATGCCATCTACTATACAGTATATCCATGGCAAGGACAGGGTAGCCTACCTGTTTTGGTGGTTGAAGGTCGACCCAGCAGTCTGCGTTGGACATCATGCCCACATCAACCAGCTTGAACCTCATGACGCCCAGGTTGGTGTTCTGGGAGAAGCGGTCACAACTGTGCAGGGAGAGAGCCACTTCGCCCTCCACCTCATACCCCCCTGGCAGGGAGAACACCATGCCTTCCTCCCAGCGGGTGTGGCTGGTCAGGCGTCGCGATGAGGTCTGGGCCTCCCTCTGTCCTGCTGCTGAGGTCAGGACTGCGGCCACATACCCCTCACAGCCCGACCCCACACTCAAATGCTTCGCTACAGAGGAAGACAGAGAGGGGAAGGAGGCAACAGAGAGAGGGGAGCAAACCCTTAGAATAGCAGTCTATTGATGTAGTTTTAATTAAATTTGTACATTTGACATTTTAGTCATTTAGCAGACGTTGTTATCCAGAGCGACTTAAAATTAATGCATTCATCTTAAGATCGCTTGGTGGGACAACCACATATCACAGTCATAGTTAATACATTTTTCCTCAATAAAGTAGCTATCAGAAAAGTCAGTGCTAGTAAGGGGGTGGGGGGGGGGGGGGGGAGTAAAGTGGCTGTGGGATTATTTAAGATACTCTTAGAAGAGGTAGGGCTTCAAATGTTTTTGGAAGATGGGCAGGAACTCTGCTGTCCTAGCTTCAGGGGAAGCTGGTTCCACCATTGGGGTGCCAGGACAGAGAAGAGCTTAGACTGGGCTGACCGGAAGATGCCCTCACGTAGGGGTGGGAGGGCCAAGAGACCAGAGGTGGCAGAACGGAGTACTCGGGTTGGGGTGTAGGGTCTGAGCATAGCCTGAAGGTAGGGAGGGGAAGTTCCTCTTGCTGCTCCGTAGGCAAGTACCATGGTCTTGTAGTGGATGCGAGCTTCGACTCGAAGCCAGTGGAGTGTGCGGAGGAGAGAATCTCATTAGCTATTCCCAATTCCTTATTTCTGAAATAAGGATAAATGACAAGGTCTGCGAAATATCTTATTATGTAGAATACACTGATGTTATAACTTTATAGGGTATGCATTTATAAGGAGAGTATGCGTATACCTAGTAGATGTGTTTATGACAAACAATGCAGAAGCACTTTGTAAACCCACACAGCATTTACCCCTTTGCACAATCAGTGCTCGACAACACCAGCATAGGTCTCTCCAACAGTTTCTCCAACAGCAAAGCATACTGTACTCCTTGAATAAAAATAGTAATTAGTGAAGCTAAGGGCTTGGATATAATGAGATATAATTGAGCACACGGCATGTGATAAACAAACCAAAGAGGCAGGACTCACAGACAGCTAGCCTGCAGAGAACCTGTGCCCCTTGTTAGCATATCTCAACAGGCGTATGATGCTGGTGTGAACAGTGTGGCAGCCATGGGCGGTGTGTTCAATAGGGCGATATGGGCGACGCACTGCCAAACGGGAAAAGGAAGGGATTTTTTTTCTAATCAATTATATCATGGCAACAGTAGTTCAGTGTTCACGTCTGATCTGCCAGCCACTAAATGTCCAATCAGGCTAAAGTCGTGCTTCAAATGTCCCCGCCCGTTTTGGGGCGATTTCAGTCAGGTTGAAAATCGCCCAGAAGTCTCTCATAGCCTCTAATGTAAAATATTTTTTTTTCAAATTTCTGAGCTTTCAATACATTCTCTATGGGTGTCTGAGGGCTTGCACTTACGCGCTTTCGTCATACGTAACGTAACGTAACCATGAACGGCAGACAGCAACGCTTGGACAGCGACTGGTGTAACCGACATGCACCATCTTTCAGAAAAGATTAAGAAAAATGAGCTGTCAAAGACCCACATTGATAGCTGTTTGAGATTGTCTGCTTTGGTGAGAGTGAATATTGCCACTCAACTGGATGAGGGATACAGGCTAGCTGTCCGCCGCCACAACGATGAGGTTAGCAACAGCAGAGTCGTGAACACTGTCTACGAGAATCGAGACGACCTCATAGAATGTTTTGAAGCCATCCGGACGGGTTCATTGGGTTCATTTGACCAGCCCACCGTACCAGAAGCTACAGAATAAGGACATCGATGCTGTCTTTATCAAACGTGCCCTCGACAGCTTCGCAAGCAGTGTGCAGGCCATAAGGTAAGATAAAGATTAAACAATATCATTCGATCTTTCTCAAAGCAGAGCTTTATTTGAAAATGTATGCATGAAAGGAGACTGCATTTGTGTTTGAAATTACATTATTGTCATTATATATGGCCAGTGGTGTAATCTATCTTATTTTATATACTATGTGTACTGTACAGTGGTGCTCATAAGTGTATGAACACATTCTAAAGCTGACTAAAAAGAGGAATAAAAAAATAAAAAAATCATCTTTTGGAAATTGATCTTAATGACTTAATTAAAAAAGTTGGAAAATCCAACCTTTAAGGACACCAATTTTCTTTTCTTTTTTATTCCTCTTTTTAGTCAACTTTAGCATGGGATCATAAGCTTATGAGCACCACTGTATACTGTGCTGAACATCCAGGCTATGTGAGACACAAAGGCTAACTTAAACACTAAAGACTTTATGCATCCCTGCCCATTTTAAGTGGAACTGAAGTATTTGTACTATACATGGATACATTGCATATACCTGTGCATCACATAGACAACAATACTGTACAAAGCCAACAAACACATTGGTCTGTTTGCCTTCAGGGACTCCTCTCAACAGCAGCTGCAAGAAGCAACAGGAGCCAAAAGACCCAGAACAGCTTTGAGAGAAGAGGAGAAGCAGAGGCTGTCTGAAGAGGTCTGCAACACCATCCTGGATCACACCAAAGAAAGGTTCTCTTTCTCTGGCCACCTTGTGAGTGCTACCTTACTGCAAGCAGACATGTTTGAAAGGTACTGCCATTCAAAAAAATAAAAAATCTGTTCATGTTCATTTTTACAAATCTATACAATTGGCCAGAATATGGTTGTTCATATTTACAAATCTATACAATTGGCCAGAATATGGTTGTTCATTTTTACAAAGCCATACATATTGTTTATGCAGTGTTGAGGAATGTGAAAGAACACCCTTGATTATTTTTACTGTGATAACTTATTTTGCTTTTGTAAGCCAACACTTTTGAGATCAGTCAATAAATGCTTCTGGTATTGACTTATATGTTGCCCCTGTCTTCATGTTGTTGCTGGACATATCTTTTTAAAAATGTGTGTAGGTCACCTAAATCATCAGAAAAATTGCCCCTCCTGAGAATTTTTTCAGGAGCCGCCACTGCCAGCTTGCACCCCTACCCCACCACCAACTCAGTTTGACAGCTTGCACCCCTACCCCACCATCAACTAACACCCACCCACCCACCAGCCTGCCGCAAGGCAAAGTAGATGCATTGCTGACCTTTTCATTGGGTGACGCATCAGCATCTACAGTCGATAAGTGTCCACATATGGGGACCAGCCAGCAGAGTGCCAACACAAAAAAAATGTCTGAGCCACTCAACCCCTTATCAAATCACCCACAGTCTTATGAAGGGGGGAGGCCGGAGGATTGCTTTGTCTCACCACAAATGAAATGAATTATTTTGTAGATGGAGGACGTAAAAGAAACAAGGCAGAATACTGAAATAGATGAAGCCAGGTTGACTGTGGCAGTGTTTGTGCGTCATCACTTTGCCACTCTATTAGCTTTCGGAAAATTGCTCCACAAGACACGATGCACTGAGGGGATTGGGTTGTGAGGTCTCCATTTACAATTTCCATCTATTTGTCACTCTTGATTGACTGTTGCCTCACATTTATTTATTATATTTGCAGACAACTGCCAATTAGTTTTTTTCCTTTATCCTTGTTTTCATTTGCAGAAGACATCTGCTTGTTTACCTCTTTTGATAATGTTAATAAATGAGGTTTGACAGAAAGAAATGCACTGTCAAGGAAGTACTTAAATATGTTTAATAGGTAAACTAGGGTCAACATGTTTAGTGATACCTCAACCTTCTTAATTTACATGAAGTTTACATACTTGCAGATGATACTGTTGAGATTGTTGCCTTACCTTCTATCACGGTGATGTGTAGCTCGCTCTGTTCGGTATAATAGGTGAGAGAGAAATGCAGCTTAGGGTGGAGGATGGAGCTGCTTGTTGTCATCCCATTGGTAAGATCCCTGGCACAGGGGGTTTCGTCCTTTGAGTCTGGGAAAGGAGGCTGGGTTAGGGCTGGGCAATTCCACGGCAACGGAATTGCACTGAGACAAACAAAAATGATTGATTTCAAAGATTAACAAACCATACAACTCTATGCACAATAACTACTTTCAACAATTTACAGTGAACATTTTACTAAAACACATTTACTGGAAGAAATGTGCAGATGCAAAGTTTGGTAACAGAATTTCGGGAAAATCTCCCTGAGTTTTTTTATGTGTCCACGTTTTCCAAAAACTCTGTTAAATGTGCGCTCCTAATTAAGATTCAACGATGTCTGCAGAAAGAATGGGGTGTCAGCTATGACATGACACATTGACTTTGAAAATAAATGAATATATATTGGTTATTGAACTACAGTAAGTGAAGTAGATTTACACCCGGTAACGGAATTGTGTTAACAGAATTTATTCATGAGTCCCTGATCTGTACTACACAGAAATGCATAATTATGGATATGAATGTCATTCTCTTCCTGGTGATGTATCCTAAATAGGTACACACAGGTATAAATATGCAATATCCTCCTTTGCATATTTGGGTATTATTCTACACACTGGCTATTATTTTATTGAGCCCTGAATTGGTAGAGCATGGCGCTTGTAACGCCAGGGTAGTGGGTTCGATACCCGGGACCACCCATACGTAAAAGTGTATGCACACATGACTGTAAGTCGCTTTGGAAAAAAGCGTCTGCTAAATGGCATTTATATTATTATATTATAAACAAGACCACATTTGGTTGGTCCAGACCGGACCAAATCTGAACCAATCATAGACGTCTATGTTTCACAAGTTTGGACATCTTACATTTGTTATTTGTTTTTTTGTTTGTTATTTTTTTGAGAAATAATTAACACACAATAGTCAAGTGTGTGTGCTAATTGCTTTTCAAATAATAAATCCACCTATCCATGTATAGCCAAGTATAGCCAAACTGGCTGTTACTGTAAGGCAATTGCATTCAGGTGTAAGAAAGCACCAAGAATAGCAGTAGGAAGCTCTTAGCCCTCTGGGACCAGTCCTATCCATCATGCATTAGGTTCCATTGACTGGACACATCAATAACACTGAGTGGATGAGTGTAGGGACTAGGGAGGGAAGGAGGGAGAGTGGGGCAAAGCCTTTGATCACAATGCTCTGGCAGGAGGAGACGTGAGTTAAGTAACACAAACACAATTATCTAGACTGAGTGAGTGGTAACTCTAATACAATAGTAGGAAGTGATTAACTACAGTAATTACCAATAACATTTGTTACTGCCAATGAACTGCCAAGACATTTTTTTCCGATTTACAGATAAAAAGTCGTTGTAATATAGGTCCAAAAATCCATTTAAATTCCAAGTAAAATTTAACCTGAACATTTTTGAATCTAAACAACTGAAGAGTATTACACATTGTATAATGAAGGCACAGTAGCTACGAAAAGAAGAGGAAATGATAAAGGGATTTATTTGGTTTAAATCAGGGTGTTTGTTCTTGCTTGGGGTTTACCTTGTCTGAGGATCGTGAACGTGTCAGAGCTGTCCGTTGCTTGGTTACCAGCATCAGGCTCAGTCGAGGGTCCCTCGGGAGAGGGCTCGCCCCCCTTCTCTGAGGCATGATCAGGGTAGCTGATGACCTCAGATGAGGTCACAGACGGTTTGGGCTTGTATATTTTGGGAAATTTCAACAATGTCCTTGGTTGGATGGGCTCTGTTGATTTTTCCACACTGAACTAGAGGAGGAGGAAGATATGGTTCAAGACAGGCTAATAAAACTGTAATATGATACAAGGTGTGGTGAGAAATCACAGCTAGTTTGTAGACTGCTTTCATTAAGATATAGTGTTGGTGGTGCAGTTCAAAGACAGCAAGCCTGCTGTATGCAGAGGGGTTCATTACGGCCATAACAGTCCATTATCACTGCAGTCTGACAATTCACAGGAAAACATGGAACACCAATTTACAGTGAATGCACCTCTCCGACAGTCAGCTAAGTGTGGGCTATTCAGATGGGTGAGTTATGGTTACACTGATAAGAATTTCCATCCATTCTCCTGGGCTTGCATCATTACTCTCCCAATCAAACTCTAAAACTGGTAACTGGTAGCTATTATATTAAAGTATAGAACTGTATTTATGCTTGTGGAATAAATTGCACATTGTTAAGTTCCATTACATAATGGGATATAAACATTTCAGAGGAGGACTAAAGAGTAAGGTTGTTATCTCTCCAACCAGCAAGTGTTCTTTCACCTCCTTAGCAGCACATTTGAAGTACTGGCATGCATCATGTGTGAGGGCTTGTGTAAGCTGAGGAAAGGAAGGCTGTGTGCAGCCTGGTCTCATAGACTAGACATAACATAGTCAATGTAAATCTGGGACGCTCAAATTAGTATGATATGTTATGTTTGGTATGGTTACATAAGACAGAAGGTTAGGAGTTAGGTTAAAGGGTTAACGCAAACGTCTAGTAACCCAAAGGTTGCGTGTTTGAATCTCATCACGGATAACTTTAGCATTTTAGCTAATTAGCAACTACTTAGCATGTTAGCTTAACCTTAACCCTTTAACCTAACTCCTAACCCTAACCTTAACCCTAACCCCTAGCCTAGCTATCGTTAACCACCTAGCTAACATTAGCATTAGCCACCTAGCTAACGTTAGCCACAACAAATTAGAATTCGTAACATATCATACGTTTTTACAATTTGTAACATATTGTATGAATTACAAATTTGTAAAATATTGTACGAATTGCAAATCATAACATATCATACGAATTGTAATTCGTAACATATCATACGAAATGGATGATGGACATCCACAAATGAATACATACCAAACGAAACTTAACATATCATACTAACTGGAGTGTCCCGGATTTACATTTACTATATTAAGTCTACCCCTGAGTCCAGGTTGTAGCGTGAGCTGCAGGGGTATCCTGCTCCTCCCCAAATTACACTGACACAGATGTGCAGGGAACCTATGCATTCATTATTAGGCTAGTTCTAGCAGTTTCTTTCCGCTCTAAAAGATTCTGAATCACTCATCACCTAGTCCCAAACTCATCGGATGGGTGGGTGCAAACATGTGCATGTCTTTTTTTAATTTATTATCTGCTTCTAACACCATTATTTAGCCATCTTCAAATGAGACCCATATGCAGGAGCACTAGACAGCCCATAAGGCCATAGGAATTTCAAATTAACATACTGTAGTTCTTCAAAGTGGTTGCTGAGGTGTTAAGTCTGCTTCAAAGCTGTGGTATCTCACTCTATGACTAATCAGTCAAGGTCAAATGTGGACATACGTACGACACCTTTTGCTTGGCTCAGAGAGAGGATGGGTGGGTTCACTCTAAAGGGGACTGCAACAGACAATCAATCTTTCCCCAAGAAAGGACACGGTTTGTGAGCAGAACTTTGATACAATGCCACAAGTCAAGTCACAGGTTAAGCCTCCTGCAGCCCATAGGAACATGAATACAGTGCTCTACTAACTGTACTCCAGTGCCCATAACAGTAAAAAGACAACAAATTGTCATTAGAGGAGCCAATTGGAGGGCCCTATCTTACCGCAGTCCATTATTGTAATGTAACCCCTATCTGATGTTTTTTTACTGCTGCATTTCCTGTGTTACAATCTATATATCAGTTAAGGGAGATATCAAAGGCTGTCATAAGCAGATATGTGGAATCGTCTTAGCCTACCAACTTCTCTGTTCAAAAATCAAAAGACTAGTTGTTATGTCAGTGTATTAACCAACTGTAGTTAGCTATATTATTTACCAGGATTTCATGCCACACAGAGAAACTGTAGTTACTCAAATCAAACAGACAGGACAAAGCTTTCTGCACTACAATTATAGATCACCTATGAGATAAAAACAGCTCTACACGTGACATGACATTTAGTCAATGTTATCACTCAATAACCATGGCATTCACTCCAGTCCCACGTCACATAAACCTAGTCACACAGATTCCCCAAGCTGGTAATTACCCTCCCAGGAAAGTAAGTTCTCTAAGATCTGAGTCCATGTGCAAGTACTGTAGTAGGGCAGCTCACCTGCTCTGAGGAGTGCAGAACACTGGGTTTAGCCTTCTCTGGGTCTGCATCTTCACCACTTTCCAGCTTGCCTTTCTTACAGGACCTGCAGATCAGTGAGAGCCCAAAGAGAGTGAGGATGCCTGACGCAGTGCCCAGCGTGGCACCAAGGACAGCAGCTGTGGTGAAAATCATGCTGGTCAACAAGGGCAACACAGGAAAAAATAAAGAGGAAGAAGAAAGGAAGCTAAAAATGTCCAAGTTACTCTTCAGGCAGCATTACAAATAAAGATGCTGAGATGCTGATTGGTTAGTCTGCAGCAAATGTCCCTCAAAAATAGGAAGATTTTTCAGGAGACAGGCTGCACTTCATTCGGGTCCCAGCAGTTGGTTGCAAGCACTTTCAGTATGCAGTTCCCTCATCCAGAGACAGAGGGAGAATGTTCCTGTCTGCAGAAGAGAACAGTGTGAGAGAGAGGCAGTCTACTTGCATAGATTCAGTGAGAGGAGGGATGGGGTAAGGACAAAGGGAGAGAAAGGAGTGGGAGGGTACAGGCTGGCTGGCTGGCTGGCTAGCTGGTTAGGACAGAATATGTCTGTTTCATTGATGCTTCCCTTCCCAGTCTCTCTTTTGCTCTTTATCTCTAAGTTTCTCTCTCTTACTTCCTTCTCTTCCCCACTGCCACTTTCCTGTTGCCGTCAGACACATCCATGTCTGACATCTGAATGACGTCAGAGATAAAAATCCTGCTCCCCAGAATAACCTTTTTTTACGGAAAGTAAAAAAAACTGGCTGATCTCATTCCTTTCTCTCAATGCACTATCCCAATTATGCTGTTCAGCCAGGAGAATGTGCACCACCACAATATTACTGTTTATTCCTCATGGTTAGGCACAGGATACCTCTCTGAATTGAACATCTCTCTCAATCTGAAATTGCTTGAGTAAGAAGACATTTAATTTAGCCACATGAACAGTAAAAAAATATATATTCTCGCTGTGGGGGAAAATCTCTCATCAAATTCTATATTTGGTCCACCAACTTTGGCATTAATATCCAGTTTCCATGGAAACAACATAACCCATACTACAAACAGACCCCCCAAAACCTGTGAACATCTTGGGGCAAAGCACTGTTCTTAGCACTGCCGTAACCAAAAGTACAGTACTTGAACATGACAAATGAAAAGGCTCATTTACTAACAACAGTAGCTGACTGCAAGTAGTTTCACTTTTCAAGCTCTTCTGGAAATATGCTGTATAATGAAAGCAATCATCATGGCTGTCTGGATAACTTAATAATACTTCAGTCTTCTTTTACATTCTATTCCCATGTCTAGATGAATCACATCCTGACATTTCCCTCAGGGCACTGGCCGTCTCTCCAAACTGTGTGATGAGGTATGACTTATGATGCCTCAGTTTGGTTTTCCTGACCACTTTCATTCAGATGGCAATACTGGTTCATAACTCTCATTTTTAACACAGCTCATCTATACATTTGAAACAAAAAGATAGCATTCTATAGGTTTAAATGTATCCAGTAATCTACATCCATTGTTACATTATTATCATTTCAGACAGTGAGGGAAGTCCCTTTTAAGACAATACTCATTCATGGATGTGAATTGAACATGCAAGAGCACAATATGTGAATTGAAGGACAACCCAATGTAGAATGTAGGCCTAATCTTTGATGCCACTTTGTGGATGTAAGAGAAAGTAAAAAAATAAAATAAAAAAGGCCTACATTGTAAGCAGTTTAAAGGGGCAATCTGTAGTTGCTACATTCATTTTTGGATGTATAACTTAATGATATGTACCCATTGATTCTTGAAGAATACAATTTATAAATGCCTCATGAGCTTAGTTCAACTGTCGTACCCAATCAGAACCCAAATTATAAGATTGTTTTACTATTACTCCAATGTTTGTAAACAAAGTAAATGTAAACAAACACTATATAGCCTCAAAACATGGTAAAAAATTATAATTGATATCATGGCTTGTCAGTCCTTGCATCCATAGCTCTGTCTATGGATGCAACTGCTGATTCCTAATTTAACAGGTGGCTTGAACAATCAATCATACATAGCATGAACACTGCACTACCAGCTATAATTATATTTGGTACTATACACAAGGATATAATGTTCCTATCATTTTATGTGCCATATAGGCCTATCAACCATGCTTGGCCAGAAGACCGGTCTCAAATACAGGGAAGCTACTACACAGTATGTTACTACAATCGAGAGTGCACACAATAACCGTAGGTGCACACATGGCCTATAACTGGAAATTCCCTAAATAGGGCATACGGTTGATGAAAATATGTTATGATTATTTATATCAACCACCCACCTGACCATCCTATTAGTTTGAAGTAATCTGTTGTGTAAATATTTACACAAGAAGCTGAGATAGCTGAGAACAACTTGACCACATTTTTTATATAAACTTCTCCCTAGTCCCACTCCCCATGTGCGAACTATTTGATAACAAGAAACCATGCGGAAACGACCTCTGTCACAATAGATGGGGCAGGACTTGAAGCAAAACTCCAGGTTCTAAAATGGCAGCGTCCATGGAGCTAAGCTTGAACAATTTACCCTCCGATCCTTTGCTGTTAATGTTATCATTTCTTGACTTTAGAGATTTGATCAGGTATGTATAAGACACTTCAGATGGATAAATGCCTGTGCAAAAAATGCCATACGAGTTTATGTTGTGTAATAGAGCTATGCTTAGCCACAGACGCTAGCTATAACGTTCTCAAGAAGCTGTTGGCTAGCAAGCTAAGCAAATAATTAACTTTTGTTTACTAGCTAGCTTACTATTGCATGACAGTTTGTTGTCTTTCTTGGTTGTTTTGGTCATGGTCTTATTCAATATGACAGTTTCAGGAATAGTTATTGCATAACATTTAACTTTCAATTAGCCCTGGGCTAATTTAGCATCGCTAGTTAGAGTTGGCGTAACAGCTAATGCTGCGTTGATAACCAAGTGGGAAAGTGGTATTTAGTAGTTTGATAACGACTCCACTTTAACGCCCCTCCAACTTGTAATTACTAGTGGGAAACGTGTATATATCATCCATGTTCTCCGACATCTCCCACATGCTGACCTCTGACATCACCTACCATGAAATGACCTCGATAACAGCATTTACGGCAGTAACATGTATTGTTTATAAAAATATAAATAGCTTTATTCATATGGTTTTTTAACACTAATTTGTTTACAAGCATGATAGCGCTACTTTAAGTTGATGGTTGATGCAGCTTGTTGGACATTCATTTACATTTTAGTCATTTAGCAGATGCTAAGAGAGACTTAAAGTTAGTGAGTGCATACATTTTTTTTTTCATACTACATCAGCCAATCATTGTTTCTCAACGAGTTCAAAGTACTTGAATGCAGCCAACTGGTAAAGTATGAAAAATGTATGCACTGGATAAGAGCGTCTGCTAAATGACTCAAATGTAAAAACATGTAAAATGTATATACGTCTCCACAACTAGTAATTACCACCTTCCCACTTGGATATGAACGCAGCATAATGGTTTGTTTTGCTTTCAGATGCCTTGTTGTTGTAGCTAGCTAACGTTACTTATCCGGTATCCCATTCAAATTAGACGGTAAATGTTATTAAACATTATACCGCGTCTATTCACAAAGCTGTCTGCCGCCTGAGGAGATTTTGCAGACGCTCCGACGCTGTCCACAAATGCTCTTTCTAAACACAAGAGCCCAGCACAAGATACAATTTTCGAAAGATTTGGAACTTAAAGGTGCAATATGCAGAAATCGCTCCGCCATTTCCTGGTTGCAAAAATTCTAATAGTTCGCCAAATGTTAGTTTATGTGACAAAACAAGCAATGCGTAGTGTTGAGAATCACTGTGCAATCTAAACCGCTGTGAAATATATTTTCAATAACCAAAAATATTGTGTTTTCATCTGTTTGAACCTGCTGTACAAAACCAAAAGTAAAAGACTCAAAAACGAAATTTAGGATGGGGAAGCATAGAAATAGCACGTATAGAACATATCTACTGTTTCTTATACTTGCTTTAATGACAGCATGTCAGATCTATAACTCACTATTCTATGGAATTTGGTCATAGCCCAAAAAGTAACATATTGCAGCTTTAACTTTTAATATTAACAATAAATACTTTTTCAAATACAAAATATACACTTACTGTATGCAGTTTATGAAAGTTGTACCTGGCTGTATTTTGAGAAACAGAAAATGTGGAATGGAATGGTCCAATGGAAATGTGCGTGCAAGGTGAGAGGGTGTGTTGTAGGGAGGCAGCATGTGAAAAACAGCCGGTTGCAGCTTTGCTAAACTGCGCACCTTTAGTGTATCTTTTGTATTTGAAAGATTATTTCTCGCTAGTATGAAAGTTAAGTTCCAAAAGTTTCCAAAACCTTATCGCAAGTGATGGCGCCGGAGAAGATGGCTGCCATTTTACAGCACTCTAACCAATTGTATTACCTCGACTAACTGGTACCCCCTGTATATGAAATAACATTAAATTTGATTTGCATTTAGACAGAGCGTCGGTGTTAAACAGAGTGTAGGGATTATAGTTCATGAGGGAGTCAGCTGTGATCAGTACCATGAGCTGAGAACCCAAGGGTGGACAGGCTGTAAACTGTGTATACCCAAAGAGGAAGAGAGAGGCCCAACTCGGCTGAAAATCTGTCTCCCTCCAGCAGGTGGTGTTTTGTTGTTGTTTCGCCCATCAAGCAAGGAGTTTTTGTATGGCGGTCAATAAGAGAGTGTTGAATTTGGTCAACAAATATATGAATGGCTTATTTGCTACGTGAGGTTTATTTGATTTAATAGAAGTTTCAAAATGCTTATGTTACGGTGTGTACTGGTATAATAAGTAAGACATTTACAGTGAGGGAAAAAAGTATTTGATCCCCTGCTGATTTTGTACGTTTTCCCACTGACAAAGACATGATCAGTCTATAATTTTAATGGTAGATTTATTTGAACTTTGAGAGACAGAATAACAACAACAAAATCCAGAAAAACATATCTCATAAATGTTATAAATTGATTTGCATTTTAATGAGGGAAATAAGTATTTGACCCCTCTGCAAAACATGACTTAGTACTTGGTGGCAAAACCCTTGTTGGCAATCACAGAGGTCAGACGTTTCTTGTAGTTGGCAACCAGGTTTGCACACATCTCAGGAGGGATTTTGTCCCACTCTTCTTTGCAGATCTTCTCCAAGTCATTAAGGTTTCGAGGCTGACGTTTGGCAACTCAAACCTTCAGCTCCCTCCACATATTTTCTATGGGATTAAGGTCTGGAGACTGGCTAGGCCACTCCAGGACCTTAATGTGCTTCTTCTTGAGCCACTCCTTTGTTGCCTTGGCCGTGTGTTTTGGGTCATTGTCATGCTGGAATACCCATCCACGACCCATTTTCAATGCCCTGGCTGAGGGAAGGAGGTTCTCACCCAAGATTTGACAGTACATGGCCCCGTCCATCGTCCTTATGATGCGGTGAAGTTGTCCTGTCCCCTTAGCAGAAAAACACCCCCAAAGCATATTGTTTCCACCTCCATGTTTGACGGTGGGGATGGTGTTCTTGGGGTCATAGGCAGCATTCCTCCTCCTCCAAACACGGTGAGGTGAGTTGATGCCAAAGAGCTCGATTTTGGTCTCATCTGACCACAACACTTTCACCCAGTTCTCCTCTGAATCAGTCAGATGTTCATTGGCAAACTTCAGACGGCCTGTATATGTGCTTTCTTGAGCAGGGGGACCTTACGGGCGCTGCAGGATTTCAGTCCTTCACGGCGTAGTGTGTTACCAATTGTTTTCTTGGTGACTATGGTCCCAGCTGCCTTGAGATCATTGACAAGATCCTCCCATGTAGTTCTGGGCTGATTCCTCACCATTCTCATGATCAGGTAGCTTAGTGGTTAAGAGTGTAGTGCCAGTAACCGAAAGGTCGCTGGTTCTAATCCCCGAGCCGACTAGGTGAAAAATCTGTCGATGTGCCCTTGAACAAGGCACTTAACCCTAATTGCTCTTGTAAGTCGCTCTGGATAAGAGCGTCTGCTAAATGACTAAAATTTAAAAAATTTAATCATTGCAACGCCACGAGGTGAGATCTTGCATGAAGCCCCAGGCCGAAGGAGTTTCTTCCATTTGCGAATAATCGCACCAACTGTTGTCACCTTCTCACCAAGCTGCTTGGCGATGGTCTTGTAGCCCATTCCAGCCTTGTGCAGGTCTACAATCTTGTCCCTGACATCCTTGGAGAGCTCTTTGGTCTTGGCCATGGTGGAGAGTTTGGAATTTGATTGATTGATTGCTTCTGTGGACAGGTGTCTTTTTTATACAGGTAACAAACTGAGATTAGGAGCACTCCCTTTAAGAGTGTGCTCCTAATCTCAGTTTGTTACCTGTATAAAAGACAACTGGGAGCCAAAAATCTTTCTGATTGAGAGGGGGTAAAATACTTATTTCCCTAATTTAAAATTCAAATCAATTTATAACATTTTTGACATGCGTTTTTCTGGATTTTTTTGTTGTTTTTCTGTCTCTTACTGTTTAAATAAACCTACCATTAAAATTATAGACTGATCATTTCTTTGTCAGTGGGCAAACGTACAAAATCAGCAGGAGATCAAATACTTTTTTCCCTCACTGTACATCCCGGCAACTTTGAGATAAAACACTTTATATCGGAGTTGTCTCGAAATGGCTATGCTTATTCATGTTATGAGGCTCGTAGTATAGCATCTCTCTCCATTGAATATAGGCGGAAACAATAGGTGGGAGCAAGACAGCCCGCCGTGCCGCTTTGCAGACATTGTTAGGGCGGAGAGACATGTATCTTGACAGGATATCCATAATCTTTGGTATACCCCTTGTGTTCTTCAGAGCTACTTATTTGCCAGATTATTAGCATCCTAGCTAGCTAATGCTAACCTGGTTCTGTTATTTTATAAGCCTCAAATGATTCTCCCCTGTATGAAGTGTGATTTCAAGAGAAATTGGCTAGCTAAAAGAAATAGCAAGCTAGCTTTGCATTCCTAGCTAGATGTCAGCTGATTGAATTTCTACAGGTATCGCACCATCACGTCCTGATATGCAGAGTCTGGGCAAAACACTGAAATTCATGCAAAGAACCTGCTAACTAGCAATAACTTTTTTTTATTTTCTATCCTTAGTTGCAGTTTTGTGAGTAGACGACTCAACGAGCTTTCCAGTCACAACCCATTATGGAAAGGCCTCTGTCTCAAACATTGGCTCTTAACCGAGTAAGTGTGTTGATAAACAACGAAAAACATGGATTTCATCAGCCTATGGACAGTTCAAAGCCCGTGTATGAGAATCTTGTCTGTAGCAAAGAGTAGAGTTGTAGTTAACTTCCTGTGGATTGTGATGAAGAGTAACAGCAAAACATTCACATAAAAACGTTTCAAACTGAAAAGGATTCAAAATGGCTTGTACCAACATTATTTTGATCTCTTATTTGATGTATTAATCAGGAATGTTTGTACTGATTACTGAATATGTGTTTATTTTGCAAACTGAATAGTACTGAGTAGTTTTATTTAGCAAAATATTTTGTTGTTGTTGAGCAGGTCAGACAAAATCCAGAAGGCTCAAACCTGGAAGGAACTCTTCCGAGAGTTCTATACTGACTTGGGACACTACATTGATCACTATGGCACCCTAAAGAGAGCCTGGGATGACCTGAAGAGATACCTTGACCAGCGGTGCCCCAGGATGATTGCCTCTCTCAAAGGTAAGCCTCCACAAGGAATACACTCTGCCACTTTAAGTGATTTGATAGCTGTGAGATGGTTCAATGGAACCATTAGGCCTTATTATCATAAAATCCTCAACCAATGTGTTGATGGATTTCCAAATGTATTGGATAGAAAATCCATACCTTTTTTATTTATTTGTCATTTATGTTTGCCTAATTCATTTTTATGATTTCCCCTGAGCAGAAGGAGCGAAGGAGGAAGAGCTGGATAGCATTGAGGCCCAGATTGGTTGCAAGCTTTCAAATGACTACCGGTGCTCGTACCGAATACACAATGGGCAGAAGCTGGTCGTTCCTGGGTATGCGAGTACTTGAATCCAAATATTTGTTTGTCTATTTGTTTTTGTGCTACTGAGCTGAATAAGATGAATTTACATGAAAAAATTGACATGAAAAGTATACTTATGGTAAAAATGATCTACCCCTATTTTCTTCCAGGTTAATGGGAAGCATGGCCCTGTCTAACCACTACCGCTCAGAGGACCTGCTGGATATTGAAACGGCAGCAGGTGGCTTTCAGCAGCGCAAGGGCATGAGGCAGTGTTTGCCCCTCACCTTCTGCTTCCACACAGGCCTCAGCCAATACATGGCCCTGGAGGGCACTGAGGGCCGCAGCCACAGCGAGATCTTCTACCACTGCCCGGTCAGTTTCCATATGAGACCCCGGCCCCCTCCCCCATTACAACAGGGAGACAGACTTTTATTCTCACACACAGGATAGGGTTGAAAAGAAGAAGAAAGTGGGTAGCATTGCTTAGTAATGATAAACAACTCCTTAATTTGAGTATTTAGGTTTCATATGTTATTTGGGACAGATGCAACTCATTGCAACTGGGGTAGCCATTTTCTAGTTATGTCACCAAGTCGGTTGCAAACAGCTTCCAGTGTTTACATATCATAAATTGTCTGGGGCAAGGAAAACTCTTTGCCACTGGGGGCAGCCTATTTCTAGCTATGTGATCTCACCACAGGCAGGAGATAATGTTGAATAATGGAAATTAACTAATGGCAGGGGTGGAAAAATTACCCAATTTTCATACTTGAGTAAAAGTAAAGATATCTTAATAGAAAATGACTCAAGTACTTGAGTGAAAGTATAAAAGTATTTGGTTTAAAATATATTTAAGGATCAAAAGTAAAGGTATAAATAATTTCACATTCCTTATATTAAGCAAACAGACGGCACAATTTTCTATTTACATTTTTTAATTTACGGATAGCCAGGGGCACACTCCAACACTCAGACATCATTTACAAACAAAGCATTTGTGTTTAGTGAGTCTGCCATATCAGAGGCAGTAGGGATGACCAGGGATGTTCTCTTGATAAGTGTGTGAATTTTACCATTTGCCTGTCCTGCTAAGCATTCGAAATTTAACGAGTACTTTTGGGTGTCAGGGAAAATGTATGGAGTAAAAAGTACATTATTTTATTTAGGAATGTAGTGGAGTAAAAGTAGTCAAAAATATAAATAGTAAAGTACAGATACCCCCAAAAACGACTTAAGTAGTACTTTAAAGTATTTTTACTTAAGTACTAATGGATGACTAATAGGATTGTTCTACATTTTTCTATTATAGGATCAAATGGCACAAGATCCATCTGCAATTGACATGTTCATCACAGGTATGATGAGCTATTAGTTTGTTACATATATTATAACAATATTTCAGTTATGTTGTGTGAAAATGTTGCAATGCTCAACTTGCAGTGAGATGTTGCAATGAAACATTATTACGCAAATCTAGGAAGTGTTCAAGGTACAGAGGTTGCGGCGCCCCGTTAATCTCTCCCCAATCAGACTTAAACTGGAAGGCACTGCTCCTATTCTTGAGATTGTGGACTAACTGCATGATAGGAGATGTGAAATATAAACTGTTGTATTGCAACATAGCACTACATGAATGGAATAAATGGATTGTTTGCTTGCAAAATTAATATTTATTGATATTCAATGTGTTAGTTCCTCAACATAAATGGCCCTGTGTAGCTCAGTTGGTAGAGCATGGCGCTTACAACGCCAGGGTTGTGGGTTCAATTCCCACGGGGGGCCAGTATGAAAAATGTATGCACTCACTAAAAACTGTAAGTCGCTCTGGATAATAGTGTCTGCTAAATGACTAAAATGTTAAATAAATGGGTTTGAACTGCTTATGCAGTGTCTCACACTTACTCATTATTTTGCTTCCTCTCACGGTAATTTCTCACCTTAGGGTCCAGCTTTACTGAGTGGTTTACCTCGTACGTCCGTAATGTGGTAACAGGAGAATACCCAATCATCCGGGATCAGATCTTCAGGTAACCTCCATTGACTTTCCCATTCTTGAATACCTAACTGGTACAGGCAGGGAGGTCGTAGTTTCTGTGTCATGATGGCAATACTCAACAATATGTAGTAGGGCTGACCCCATTTACTCGATTGGTCGATAGGCTGTTGGTCGACCGAGATTTCTTTAGTCGAGCAGTAGCAAAATAAATATTTAAAAAATAAAATATATATATATATATATATATATCATGGTGTACAAGACAGCTGTCTGATTCGCGCCTGTCTGAGTGGACTGATCCATTGTGGAGGCCGTGGGGATGGCACAGTCCATCACTTTAAGAGATGTGCTACTGAAATTGTATATGGTTATATTACATAAGAACAATGGTGCAACACTAATCAAAATAATATTTTATAACAAATGCGCTTTCTCCCGCGTTGGATAGTGGTCGCTGTCCGCGGTTCTGAAACACATCAGTGCGCTTTTGAATTGGTGCCTTTTCCTAGACCATGTTGCTATGTGCATAATAGCAAAGTTAAATAGCTTATTGGTGTTGAGAACAATGCGGCGGAGGCAGCAGCAGTATGAGGAGATGAGAAAACAGCCCATGCCTTATTGTCTAAGAAAAGTGAGGAGAGAGGAAACCCCAACTTAATTAGGTCTATAATCAATAGCCTAACTGTTAAATGTGCCTGGCTTTATAAATCATCAATATATCTACAGAAATAAGACAGATCCTGCTTCTGTTGCCTGTTTGAGTGTTCATTTAATAGCCTACTGATTCCGTGAGCACCAAGCGTCACGCAATGACATGTCAAGTAAACAATTTCACAAATTCGGCAGTTTTTAATCTTTGCTTTGCTGTAATAAAGGCTTTACACTTTTTTCTGTAAGAACAGCCTCTGGTATTATTTATAATTAATTTAGTGTTTACACTGTTCCAAATTGTCCGAAAAATAATATTTATAATAATAATAACGCTCCTTTTTCTTGATCTTGATCTCGTTGTTGTTGTTATTATTATTATTATTATGATCATAAGTAATGTCATTATCATTAGTAGGCTTAGTATAGCAGCCTTGTATAACCACAATTGAGCTGTAGGCCTAAGAGCACATCCTGTTTAGTCTTAATTACTTATATTTCAATACTTATAAAGGCTACTGTATCAATCATTAATTCGTTCATGTCATCACACAGCATATGAGTCATTCATGATTTGAAATCCAATCAAGAATGTTCATTTTTTTAAATAATAAAGCGAACATTGAATAATTAGCTTAAACAATAAATAAACCGTTCCATTTCGGAAATTGCATTCACGAATGAATGCGACAGTTTTTAGTTTTTGCTGGAATAAATGCTTAACAACAAAATGTTACAACAGACTCTCTGGTACGCTTATAATTTATTTAGTGTTGTTTACATTGTTCCAATTTTATTGTAATCTAACAGCACCTGTTTGGCACACATAAGATGCATGCAGCGCTTGCTCCTTACCTTATTTTTCTAGATCTCCAGTATTTTCCACAACTAGTCAAATTTATTCCACACATCTGACTTCCCCTTTACCTCATGAGCAACCAGTAGCCTAAACATTCCACCATTTCGAGTTTGTCACGTCCTCTGCATCCATTTTGCTGTTACGGTGTTCAGAGTTTGTTCTAACCAATTTATTGATGTGATTATGATATGCTATAGGTCAGGCCCTATTGGTCACGTGCATGTGATGCATACATGTGTCACGTAAAGAGAGCGAGGGTTGAGGGAATAGGGAATTTTTTTCACAACTTTTCAGTCAGAAATGCCTGTAATTATGTTGCAGCTTCAGCAACACGGACAGCGCGATAAACACTGTGGCGGTCGCTGCAGCAGGGAGGAGAGCGAGACAACGGGTGCTAGTCACACAGTCACTTGCTGTCTTTTTTTTTTTAACACAGCACAGCTAGTCTGCACAATCAAATCAATTGTTGGTCAGACTCTAGTCATTTGTGTGTCTTTTTTTTGGGGGGGGGTGGGGGCGGGGAGTCTTAATTATTTAATCAAACAGTGTGCTTAAAGCATCAGACAAGCTCAGTGAATATAGTTGATTTGATTAAAACATATAGGATGTGTCTGTATATGGAAAAATACACGTTTAAAAATGTCGTCCAATCGATTGGTCGAAAGAACAGACAACTCTTGTTCGACCAATATTTTTTGGGGTCAGGGACAGCCCTAATATGTAGTTAACAAACATTTAAATCAAGGCTTCCAAAGGATTTTGAAGGTTTAAGCTTTATCACTATTCACAGGTACGTCCATGATAAGCAGTGTGTTGCCACCACGGGGGATATTACTGTTTCAGTGTCTACCTCATTCTTACCGGAGCTCAGCTCAGTGCATCCTCCACATTTCTTCTTCACCTATCGGATCAGGTACCACTATTTACCCTACTGATTTCAGCTCCTGATAATGATTAAAAAGATACATGTGTAAATGGATCATAATACAACTGTCATAACTCCCCTAACCTTATACGTTAAATTCTACCCTCAGGATTGAAATGGCAAAGGATGCTCTCCCTGAGAATGCTTGCCAACTGGACAGTCGTTATTGGAAGATCACCAATGCTAATGGTAACGTGGAGGAGGTCCGTGGGCCAGGTGTTGTCGGTAGGTGACTAGACTAGAGAGGATTCTGTGGACTTACCATAATGTTTCATTTTGCATTGTCTCCATTTGGTAGCAGTGGACAAAAACCTGTTAAGATCTAAGAATGATTTACAGCTAACAGATTACTAATGTAATTTTCGTGTTATATATATTAATTAAATAAGTTAAAACATTTCATGAATAATTAATGCAAGAGAGATACCAACCACATGACATTGTCTGCAGGAGAGTTCCCGGTGATGACTCCGGGTAAAGTACATGAGTACGCCAGCTGCACGACCTTCTCTACTACCTCTGAGTACATGGAAGGCCACTACACCTTCCACCGCCTCAAGAACAAAGAGGAGATCTTCAACGTCTGCATCCCCCGCTTTCACATGGTTTGCCCTCCGTTCCGTGAGTCAACGGTACGGTCGGTAAGTGTTTATGGTGTATGAGAAGGAGAAGGACATGAGTAATAATTGGATTCAGTTTTAAGAAACTTGGTAAATCAATGATCAGGGCCAACTTTTAGGTTAGGGTTATTCAATTAAAAGGTTTTGATGGTCATTTTATTTTTCTCACTTTTTGGGAATACAACAAATGGTAAAGTTTTGAAACAAGAACTTGGTTTAATATTTGCTCCCCCCCATCAGCAGGGATCGGCAAGGGATGTTTCCAGTGCATCTTTTAACGAAGAAAACTCATCAGACACCGATGACCATAATGAGGGTGAGCTTCGTGGCATTAACATGGCAGGCCCAGGGGGACGATGTCCACGCCACATCTGACACACTTTTCTCACCACAGGACTCAATTAGGAAAGGGGCTGGGAAGGACATTCACAATTACTTAAGAGTAAAGTTTGTTTTTATTATTTGTAAAGCTGTATTTACCATTGGCTGATAGTCATTGCCCTATGTGAACCTTTCTACCCCAGCTCAATGAGATACGACCACACCCTCTGCAATATGCCCTCCCATGCAAATCCCAGATCGCTCCATTGTTTTCTTTTTTTTCAACAATGGAGCGATCTGGAACTGGACATTGACGATTGAGAGCAGGGTTGTCACCTCTTTTTCAATAGTAACATTGTTCATTCTCTAGCTGGCTGCCTAGTGCCTAGAGCTAAAGTGCAGATTGTGTTCTATCTAAATCCTAAGTATTCCCTTTTCTCCTTGGCATATGTAGTGTGTGTAGTCATATTCCTTATATAAAATCCCACACCATCTCTACAGGTCCACTGTAGGTATATTGTTAATGCATCATCAAAAATGACATTTATTTGACATTGCAGCTGTTTCTGCAGCAGTGTTAAACATTTATAACTATGATGATCTTAATCAGAGATGGTCACTGCCAGTGGTTTTCAAACCAACAAAAACCCCAAGGAATTATATGGAAACACACAACTCATAAAAGCTTGGATGTTTGGATATGCTAACAACAGTGACAAAGAGAAGCCCACATCGAAGCTGTTGAGCTACATTGGATGCTGTCTGTATATGTAATAGATATTCAGGAACATTTTAATGTGGGCTTGCCTCTGTCATGCATTAATGCATTTCATGGATCAGTGTCTTATTAATTGCAATGTGATTATGACTATGATTCTTTGAAAGTCTGCAGAAACAAACAACTGTTTAGTAAAGCAGCCAATCAGTGTGCAGTTTCTCATAGAAATCTGAATGTTTGAACAATGAGCTACAGCGTCACACCCCTCCGTATTTATTTGGACAGTGAAGCTAAAATGAGTACATTTGGCTCTATACTCCAGCATTTTGAATTTGAGATCCAATGTTTTATATGAGGCGAGAGTACAGAATGTCACCTTTTTATTTCAGGGTATTTTCATACATATCTGTTTTACCGTTTACAAATTAATACACTTTAAAAATGAGTGCCTTCAGAAAGTATTCATACCCATTGACTTTTTCCACATTTTGTGTTACAGCCTGAATTTAAAATGGATTCATTTGAGATGTTGTGTCCCTGGCCTACACATAATACCACATATTTTCAAAGTTTAATTATGTTTTTAGAAATGTTTACAAGTTAATTAAAAATGAAAAGCTGAAATGTATTGAGTCAAGTATTCAACCTTTTTGTTATGGCAAGCCTAAATAGGTTCAGGAGTAAATGTGTAAGTAATTTGCTTAAGAAGTCACATAAGTTGCATGGACTCACTCTGTGTGCAATAATAGTGTTTAACATGATTTTGGAATAACTACCTCATCTCTGTACCCCACACATACTATTATTTGTAAGGTCCCTCGTTCGAGCAGTGAATGTCAAACAAAGATTCAACCACAAAGACCAGGGAGGTTTTCCAATGCCTCGCAAAGAAGGGCACCTATTGGTAGATGGGTATAAAAAAAAGCAGACATTGAATATCCCTTTGAGCATGGTGAAGTTATTAATTACACTTTGGATGGTGTATCAATACACCCAGTCACTACAAAGATACAGGCGTCCTTCCTTACTCAGTTGCCGGAGAGGAAGGAAACCACTCAGGGATTTCACCATGAGGCCAATGGTGACTTTAAAACAGTTACAGAGTTTAATGACTGTGATAGGAGAAAACTGAGGATGGATCAACAAGATAGTGTATTGAACAAAAATATAAATGCAACATGTAACAATTTAAGCGATTTTACTGAGTTACAGTTCTTATAAGGAAATCTCATTAGGCCCTAATCTATGGATTTCACATGACTGGGCAGGGGCGCAGCAATGGGTGGGCCTGGGAGGGCATAGGTCCACCCACTGGGGAGCCAGACCCAGCCAATCAGTATTAGTTTTTCCCCAAAAAAGGGCTTTATTACAGACAGAAATAGTCCTCCGTTTCATCAGCTGTCCTGGTGGCTGGTCTTAGATGATCCCGCAGGTGAAGAAGCCGGATGTGGAGGTCCTGGGCTGGCGTGGTTACACGAGATCTGCGGGTGTGAGGCCGGTTGGATGTACTGCCAAATTCTCTAAAACAACGTTGGAGGCGGCTTATGGTAGAGAAATTAACATTACATTCTCTGGCAACAGCTCTGGCGGACATACCTGCAGTCATCATGCCAATTGCATGCTCCCTCAACTTGAGACATTGAGTTGTGTGACAAAACTGCACATTTTAGAGTGGCCTTTTATTGTCCCCAGCACAAGGTGCCACTGTGTAATGATCATGCTTCTTGATATGCTACACCTGTCAGGTGGATGGATTATCTTGGCTAAGGAGAAATGCTCACTAACAGGGATGTAACACATTTGTGCACACATTTCAAGAGAAATAAGCTTTTTGTGCATATGGAACATTTCTGGGATCTTTGATTTCAGCTCATGTTGAGTTTATATTTTTGTTCAGTATAGTTACTCCACAATACCAACCTAATTGACAGAGTGAAAAGAAGGAAGCTTGTACAGAATAACAAATATTCCAAAACATGTATCCTGTTTGCAATAAGGCACTAAAGTAAAACTGCAAAAAATGTGACAAAGATGAAACTTTATGTGCTGAATACAAAGCGTTATGTTTGGGACAAACAACACATCACTGAGTACCACTCTCATATTTTCAAGCATAGTGGTGGCTGCATCATGTTTTGGGTGTGCTTGTCATCGGCAAGGACTAGGACGTTTTTTAGGATAAAAAGAAATGGCATAAAGCTAAGCACAGGCAAAATCCTAGAGGAAAACCTTGTTCAGTCTGCTTTCCAACACACTAAGAGACAAATTCACCTTTCAGCAGGACAATAACCTAAAACACAAGACCAAATATACACTGGAGTTGCTTACCAAGATAACGTTGAATGTTCCTGACTTAAATAGTTACAGCTTTGACTTAAATAGGCTTGAAAATCTATGGCAAGACTTGAAAATGGCTGTCTAGCAATGATCAACAACCAATTTGACAGAGCATGAAGATAATTGTTTTTTATTTAATCAATTTTGAATTCAGGCTGTAACACAACAAAATGTGGAATAAGTCCAGGGGTATGAATAATTTCTGAAGACTTTGTATCTAGTCCCCTCATTTGTCTTTGGACAAATTCAAAGAATTTACAGAGGAAGTTAGAGGAGAAAGAGAAAATTACAGAGGAACAAAGATCAAACCCCCCCAAAACATGCTCCCCTCTCACAATTACCATTAACAGAGGAGGTTAGCATTTTTTTGGGGGGTGTGATCTTTGTTCTTCTGTAACTTTCGCAGTCTTTATTATTCACGATTCATTCATGATTATCCATAATCATGGTAGCATGATTTACAATAAAGGTGACTCCAAAATGACACAATACATTATTCACTATTCAGTTCCTATTGGGTGAAACATCATCTGAAACACAACCAAAACGAACTGCAAATGCATCCAACAAGTATGTAGTCACAAGCTTGATGTATTCATTGCATGCTAGGAATATGGGACCAAATACTAAACATTTGACTACTTTAATACAATATAAGTGAATTTGTCCAAATAGTTACGAAGGGAAAAAAACAGATACATAAGGTTCTTTAATTTCTAAACGGTACAACAGATATGTATGAAAATACCCTCAAGTAAATGGTGACATTTTGTGCTGTCGCCTCATATGAAACGAGTATAGAGCCACATTTAAAAAGTAAATATTGAGGGAAGTGTATATTGTCTGGGTTATATTTCTTTCTGGTGCAATTTCAGGTCATTAAAGGGACATTATCTCAGCGTTGAGCACACGTGTATCACTCATCTCAGCACGTATGTAACTGGACATGAAAATACCCTGGCTCAGCAGAGCAAATTCAGTTTTTCCAAGGAGATGTTTTACCTTTGATAATGTTGCCAGGAAGATGTGTGCTGTTATGTATTATTTGAAAATAATTTTCTCTAAATATGGAATTAAGGCATTTGCCTTCTGTTCTTCTTGCCTGTGAATGGCAAGACATATTTTGTGGGTAATAACTGATTATTTTAATCCTGTTTTCCCCTTGTACTTAACTAAGCTGTGCAATAGTATCTGGATATTCTCTATGATAATTTCAAACCTCATTTGATTTGCATTTAGGTGTTTGTTCAGTATCATAGTTTTCTACTTCATAAATGTGTGTTTTTTGTTTTTCTATGTTTGGGGTAAATAAACACTAAATGCTGAATGTGTAAGCACATTGATTTTTGTTCATGAATTGCTGTGATGGATTTATTTCATTGATATCATTTGTGTTTTTATGTGCAATTACCTGAGGCTACTGAGAAATAGATTCATAAGAATAAAAAGATCAGTTAGAAATGGGACGCGATCAACGTTTTTAAGACTATTTTTGGTAGAGAAAAAGTGTGCATACAGTACATTACACAATCTCTACAGAAGTAAAAGTTGAAAAGTTGAACTAAGATGCCTATTGAAGAACATTGTACAAAATGTTTCTTAATAGGCCGATCTCAGTTCAACTTTTCAACTTTCACTTATGCAGAGATTGTCAGATTAAAAGCACAATTCACAAAGAAATTCATCAAATTGTTTCATTAAAACAATGTTGATCCCACACATGGCATACTGAGACAAGCTCACAATTGTCTATTGTTTGTTTTGGAATTTGTCTTGATGTTGCCAGATATTCCTCAAGTGGCCTCTGTTGTGGCCCGACCAATGTTCCATTGTTCAGCTGTTGATTTGTGTTGGCCTACTGGTGTAAACCAATAGCCTCATTTCACCCATTCATGTCATGAATGTAAAGTAGGGTGCAATAAGTTGGTCTTTCTTATGACTCGCATTCAGTCTGATATGACAACTGTATTACAGTTCTCAGTTCAGTTCATTTAGTCCTCTATTCCAATGAATATAGCACATTCCAAGGATGCATTATAAAACCCAGCTGTTACATTTTGCCCTGATATTCATTTTCTGAAACAGACTGGTGTATACAGTTGTGGGGTAATCAGTTAGTCTACCAGAAGATAAGAGTTTCAGTCCAAATAGTTGGCCATTTTCAAATGCAGTTCAACCTCGAGTTTGGTATGGCTCATGTCATGTGTAGATTAATAAGGTATTAATCAGTCATTAAATTACTAATGCTTGGTTATACAGTATTAGGAAATTGAAATGGTTTTATCCTGAATATAACATCACACCTTGAATAATACAGAATGTATTTAATAGGTTGGTGTGTCACAACCAATCTGGATCAAATAAGGTCACCACCTAACCACGCTCCCCAGTAGTGGGGAGTTTCTTATTCTGAAGGGGAAGGGCCATAGCTATAATTTCAGAGTCCGAAGCATAACAGCACATTTTGTTTTCGTTGTTGTTCGAGCAAGCAGGGTAAGTAAATACCTGTTTAGTTAAAAATTTCCAGCTTCATAATCATTACTTAACAATAACAATAGGTGTATTTGAACCGAAAATATGAACTAACGTAACTATTTTAGAGTTAATGTGGTGTGGTTGGCTATCTAGCATAGCTTTAGCTACACAGCTAATTCTAGCTACACAGCTAATGTTAGCTCCTGTAGCTAACGTAACCTTTGTCCTGCCAGCTGATCAAGTCTGGACTTTTTAAATATTCAACCGGTGTTGAGCATACATAAATTCATCAGTTTTTCTGCGCTCTGGCACACTCAGACGAGAGTGCTCTGAAATCGGAGTAGATGGCCATTGTCACACTACTTAGCCGGTGCCGATACGATATATATTACGATTCGATGTTTCAAACATATCTCACCATATGTCTACTGCCGAGGGACAAGAGAGCCATGATAACTAGTTTTGATCAGTCAGGGAAATGAAACTTCTGAAAACCAATTGGCACCCTATTTAAAAAGATGGAAAACAAACTATGAAGGAAAAATACTGGAGTTTTGGTGCAGGTACAGCCAACTAGCGCAAAATGTATATTGCGATATTGTCAAAATTATATGATATTATCATCAAACATTTTATCCCGATATGTAACTGTATATATTTTTACCCCATCACTCGTTAAATCCAGTTCTTAATTGAAACAATAACAAATCAGGCACCACGCCCCTGTTTTGGTAAAAAGCTGAGGGATGGGCCTGGAGAAATGTAACCACTCTGAAATTCACAAACCACTATCAAAATGATAGTTTTAACCATGTTTTGAGGCTATACCGTGTTTGTTTAGATTTACATTGTTTACACACATTAGATTAAAACAAGCTTATATTTTGGGCTCTGGTGGGATACAACATTTGAACTAAGCTTATGAGGCATTTATAAGTTATTTTTCAAGAGTTAATGGGTATATATAATTAATTGATAAGTCCAAAAATTGATGTAGCAGCTAAGGATTCTAGCTTTAAATGATTCTTGTCTCTTTTTTTTTTCTCCAGAAGTGACAGTCAGCAGAAATCAAAATCATGAACAATTATCCTGGGATATGCTTAGTGTTCTGTTTTGCAATATTTGGATTGGGTAAGCCATCATTTTTTTTGTCTTCACGCTCTGCCATTGAAGTTGGTTCTTTGATACTGTTGAGTCTCACCTAGCTCTCAAGAACTGAAGGCCATACAGCCATAGGGTTTGCATTTACAATGCTCTGTCTAACTGTTAATAATCACTGCATGCAATACGGTTATGCAATATGGAAACCTCAAACTGTACTTTTATATCACCCTCAAATAATTGTACAAATACAAAATATGCATTTACTGTGTGCCGTTTTAACAGATTCCCACAGAGGTGTTTTGCATTGCACTTCCTGAGCTAATGGAAACTCAGGAGGAAACAAAAGCTTGAAGCTGTGTTAGACAAAAAACATCAGTTGAAATTTGTGGTAAAACAGTATGTTTTGTATTTGTAAAGTTATTTTTGGATGATAATCAAGTTGTGTTCAAGTTTTCCAAAACTATAACGCAATCTAGGTGGAGCATTTCACATTTGACCAAATCACATCAGCTAATCAAAAGGGATGTGGAATGACTCGAGTCAGGAGAACGGCTAAGTGTCTCACCTTGTTTTCTCAGGCTCTGCCATCCGCTGTGTCAAATGCCAGGATTACACAGGGAGCTGCACAAAAACACAGGACTGCAGTTATGAGGATGCCTGCCTGACACTGACTGAGAGAGGTGCAGTAAAATGTGTAATCTGAAACAAATTATGAAAGTACTCCATGTTTCTGCATTATCCTATGTTCTTTGGCACAGGGGGACAGACATATCGGCAGTGCATCAAGTACTCTGACTGCGACTTCAATCGACTGGCCCAGACGTTCCCAGCTGTACCAAACTTCAACTTCAAGTGCTGCACCAGTGACCTATGCAATGGAGCCACATCCATTGGCACTGGCAAGCCCTTGCTGGGCCTTCTGGCCTCATTGGCAGTGATGTGGTGGTGTATGCACTAACCTCTCCCCACACTTACGCCTTAGAAGCTCTAATGCTGCCTTTCTACTCAACATAAGCCGCTGATGGAATGGCAAGCAGGAAGATATGGGCCAATGGCTCATGCTGAAAATATGCCCTATTAGTATTTGCCTGACTTACTGTTGATCATTTGTAATGTATAATATTTAATTTGACTCTTTGCACTTAATTTATTTTTTAAAGCTTTCTATGATAACCTATTTGTTGATTACCAATGCTTTGTGCTTCAGCCCAAGGGCTGAAAATAGGAAACGTGCTCATGAGTTTGGAAAAGGTATATCATTCAAACAATCCGCTTTTGAGGCTTGTAAAATGGACTTTGGCACTTAACAATTTCCATCTAAGGCGGTTTGCTCCATTAGGTTGTCTATAGTTTGCTGACCAAAGTTACTGTAATGTGCTTAAATGTAAGGGATAATTTGAGAAATGTTTGAGTTGTTGTATGTCTGTGATTGAGTGAATTGAAAATGCAAATTCTGTAAAATTCATGATGTGGAATTTGGAACTAAAGGTCATTTTGGGTGATACATTTGTTCACACGCAATGCCTTCACTGCTCTTGTAATGCGTAGCGGCATACCCTGTTAGAGAACATAACTTTGCCTGTTTTATAGGAGTCTATTAAACCAACCTGTCTTTTTTTAAAGGGCACTGTATAGACCTTTTTGGATTAAATATTTCACATGGATGGTGTTATCTTTTTTTCATTTTAATCTCTGGCCAATAAATAAGATATTGCCAAAAAAGCCATATTTATTTGTCAGAAGGGTGCCTTCATGTTTATTCTATTTACCTTCATGTTTTGATTCAGAGGAATTCATAGCGTCGTTTGACAGTGGACTACAGCAATCTTAGTCTTAGTATTGAAGAAAGAATGGAGTTTGTTTTGTAAAAGTTCTCCACATCTTTGGTTAGAAAGAGTAGCTAGAAGAGTAGTGCAGACTGGCATACTTATTAATTTGCCACTAGTCTACAACATGAGCCAAGGAATCCCTCTAGTGGTTAACTAATGGTGTATCTTATAAGTGAAAATGGCATGTTCTTGAGTGTGATTGGAAATGTGTTTCAGAAATGTGTTTCAAAATGCATGCTAATATCTCAGCAAAATGATTGTTGATTATAGATTTTTATGAACAAGGCAGGATCTCAAAACATGTTTTGAATACACTCTATTACTTTTAGTTTGTTAGAGTTAAACTCTGAGCAAGCATTGAGAAAAGCATCATACAGAACATTTGCAGAGTGGTTTAATTTGATCCAGTCTGGGAGACTGACTGTTTGAAGTTAGTGCATGTAATCCGTGATGCTTAATTTCCCCATTTCCTTTTACACTCATACTGATACGTTCTGTTGTGGGGGAGTTTGTCACAGAGGAGTTGGCTTTTCTGATCAACACTGCAGCCAAATCCAAGGTCCTTAACTATGACAACATCCATGGCTTATCATTTAAAACCTAGTAGAGAGATGCCAGAGGCCATATTCCCCTGTACACTACCGTTTGACCCCGTGCCCTTCATAAATGTCATCCTGTTTGGACAGCTGGATGAGCCAAATAGCATAGAACAAGAAAGGAAGTAAGTGAGAGAGCAATAGCAAATAGAAGTAAAAAGGATGCACAGTGGTAGGAACTTGAGATAGTTTTGGTGCATTGTTAAGAGGTTACAAGTTAGTATGGCTTGAGTGGGCACTATCAAACAGCTTTTACTTGGTGTCTTGATGCCTGACTTTTATACATAGCATGAACAATAGCCATTAATAAAGTAACCCATGATACAGAGCACAGCAAGAAAGTGCATTATGGCCCTTGGCCTGTGTCAAGTAGAATTTGTCAAATGTGATTTTCAAAACTCGGACGTGAGATTAAATGTTGTATATCAATCTGAGCAACCTAATTTGCCTGAATAGGCCTAAATCACAGTGTTTCAGATAGAGTTGCTGAGATTAACCATTCTGGGGACAAGATGTGGCCACCTGTTGTTCTTTCACACATTTGAGAGGAGAAAGTGGTGTTTCAATATTTACACAGTGTCACTGTGACATCCAATAAACCATTGGCCCATTGGTTATGCTAACGACATGCCACAGTCTTAACTCAAAGGTACTCATCCTCTATTGACGTTGTCTTTTCACTCTCCAGACCACAGACATAGGGCCCAGTGTTGTGTAAGATGCCTCAATGTTTGTGCTATTTACTGTTAAATTAAAAGAATGTGGGATGCTCTGGCAACAGATGTGTGCCATCACAACAAGCAAATCAAATTGTAACCCTTCGGGTCAAATCATGATGCTGACCAAGCCCGTAGAGACACATTATTACGGGAATTAACTGTTAGTCAGTTTCCAGGACATGACCGAATGGGAACCACTGAAGGCTGTACAGTATGACACAATTACGTATATGTCCATATTGACAATAGTAGCAATAGTAGGATTCGTGTTAACTTTGTGTTATTAACATTTCTTTAATTTGTGCTGAAGCACTTATTGGATCAATTTCTTTATCAAAATGCCCCAAAAATGTGCTGGCACAGTAAGTCACTAGTCTAAAACAGGATACACAGCCATCCTGACCTTGGAGATAACATGAATAACTTTTCCCCAGAATTCTAATGGTAGTACTCCCCTGAGTATCATCAAGACAACAGCACAGGCTTATATTGTATGTGCCCCACATGTTCTGTATGTATTTGCCCTGGTGAGCATCTATTAACAGACTGTTTATTGTTTGCAACTCTTATTGTCTTTTATGCTTCAATGTGACTGGCATTGTTCCGACAGTGTGCAAAGGAGAGTGTTGGTATGTATACATTGTGTGTATTTTGTAATATTTGTGCACAGTTTGTGTGTACTGTGGGACAGGGAGAATGAGGTCTGTTTGCAGGTCTCACAAAGCTTCTCTGGGGTGGTCTGAGAAGAGGAGAGCAGGGGAGTGGGTGGGGCTGAGAGACAGGGCGATCTACTATATCTGGAGCAGGGGGATTCACAGAGCACTAGTGAGACACACCTCCAAGCCTGGACAAAAAGGACCTGAGACAGGAGAAGAGTAGTTTCAGTGGAATATGGGAACACGCTATCATCACTGAAGTCAGTTTTCAATAAGTTCAGAAGAAGAATACCCTGATCTTCAGGTGTTGAGGTAAGCCTTGTAATAATTTACATAAATATTGTTATTTGATGTACATAGTATTCTTGTCAAACACTAGATTCTTATTTGCTTGACCGATGGTGATTCCGTCAACCCCCTGAGTCCTAGGTTCCTGTTATATGGCATACAATAGGAGTCTATATATATTTTTTTATGAATTCATTTTTTTTTCAGATGCTGTGTACAAGACTCAACACAGAAGTTGCCATGAAAGCAGAGACATTGACCTGGAGACATTGAAAACAAGAGAAAAAATATAATTTCTTAACCCTGCAACAGGAGACAGTGGCTGGTCACAGACTCTCACATTTATCCCCTCTGCCCATCACATTTATGTCGGACTCTGAGCTGCTGCCCTCAGCATCCACCTCTCCGCCCCCGTTTCACCAGTGTGACTACAGAGAATGGAGACCCACATGGGTAATCATACCCTCAGTCTATCTCCTGGTATTTGTTTTGGGCTCCTTTGGAAATGGGCTTGTCCTCTGGGCATACCTTGATCAACCTGAGGGTAAACCAGCCGGCATGGGGACCTGCACCAAGCGGCGTCTTCAGCAACCTGGAAGGAGCTCTACCCCCAAGTTGCCGGACTCCTCTCGTTCCCTTACTGACTCACTCATTGCCAGCCTGGCAGCAGCAGACCTGGCTTTTGTGATAACCCTGCCCTTATGGGCAGCCCACACAGCACTAGACTACCACTGGCCCTTTGGCAAGCCTCTTTGCCAAGTCAGCAGCTATTTAGTGGCCCTCAACATGTATGCCAGTGTGTTCTCCCTCACGGTCCTGAGCATGGAGCGTTACTGGGTTATTGCTGGCCGACGGCGGTCCAGTAGGGCCCAGGGGAGTGGCGTCTGCCGAGCAGCTTGGGTAGTGGGGAGCGTTTGGGTGGTGGCAGGTATCCTTGCTCTGCCTGCGCTACTACTGAGGACTGTAAGGGAGGTGGATGTAGGGGGTGAGTATGAAGAAGACTGGCAGACAACTGAAGAAGAGGAACACTCAGTTCATGATCACATGCCCATGTTCATCTCCTCCTGTATGATGGACTACTCTGGTCTGATCTCAGCAGAGCTGGAGGAAGATGACAGGGAGCAGGCAGAGCTACTGTGGATGGCGGCTCTAGGACTTAAATCCACCTTGGTTGGCTTTCTGTTGCCTCTGATCATCTTACTGATCTGTTACTGCTCCCTAGGCCGCCTCCTCAGCCGCCATTTTGGACAGGGTCCTCGCCCCGACCGCCGACGCCAACGCCGCCTTTTGCGAGTCATCGTCACCTTAGTGCTAGCCTTCTTCCTCTGCTGGCTTCCCCTTCATGCCAACAAGACACTTTCCATGCTCATGGAGTTAGAGCTGCTGCCCTACTCCTGCCCATTTGACCGGACGCTGGTTGCAGCTCACCCCTACGCCACCTGTCTAGGGTATGTCAATAGTTGCCTCAACCCCCTTCTGTATGCTTGTTGTGATGTGGCCTTTCGGAAGCGTTGCCGGGCCTTACTGCAGTGGTTGTGGTGCAGGGGTAGGTGTGGGAGTCCAGTGACAGTAGATGAGGAGGAGAATAAGGAACAGGCCAGCCGGAGTTCTGCAATTCCTTCTGGAACACGAGACGGGAAATGGAATTGAGGGGCAGGATGACGTGAGGCATGGCAGAGGCTGAGAGGATGGTTGGAGTGCTGTGGCGCCTCAGTCGGAAGAGGATACTAATAAACAGAGACGGATATCCTGGGAAATGTGCAACCCTTAGTGTATTCACGTAACCCCTCAGGAGATACACAAACTCAATAAATACCACTTTATCTTCCAAGGAGATAAAAAGGAGACCTTCTAGAAAGACACTTGCAACAAAGAAAATGTATATTATGTGCTACCAAGCCAACAGATGGGTTTTCTGTATATCTTTTTTGATATAGCTACATAACAATATGTATGAAATACGCATTCAATTTCAATACTAAGAATTGTGAATCGAATATCCCTGTTTTTCTAAATGAATGCTTCTCTGTTAAGGACAGTGATGTTCACACAAGCTTTCTCCAGTCCATGAGAATCATGTGACCCGCTGAGGTGGAGGCGGCAGAAATGTTGTTACCAAATGAAATCCTTTAGCCATGGAACTGGTACAGTTCATAGTTTCCCACGGAGGCACATGGCACTCTCCCTGACACACACACACACACCCACACACACACACACACACACACAGACACCCACACACAAAGCGAGAGGGAGCTTTTCAGTTTATAAGGATGTGAATTATGTATTCCTTTGTGACTCATAAGATTGCATTAATACAGAATCTTTAGTGCCAAACTTTCATTGAGGAAGCTTGACTACATGTGGCACTGGATGCAACCTGGTCTCAGAGCATTTCGTATTATTCTGTATGTAAATCCGAAACGCTCCATTTAGTATATGTTACGTTTAATATGTTATGTATTAATTTGTGGATGTCCATCATCCATTTCGTATGATATGTTACGAATTACAATTCGTTTGATATGTTACGAATTTGCTAAATGTACAATATGTTACAAATTTGCAAAAATGATGATATGTTACGAATTCCAATTTGTTGTGGCTAACGTTAGCTAGGTGGCTAGGTGACTGACGCTAATGTTAGCTAGCTGGCTAACGTTAGCTAGGCTAGGGGTTAAGGTTAGGGGTTAGGGTTAAGGTTAGGAGTTAGGTTAAAGGGTTAGGGTTACGGGAAGGGTTAGCAAAAAGGGTTAAGGTTAGGGTTAGGGCAAGGGTTAGCTAACATACTAAGTAGTTGCAAAGTAGTTAAAAATAAGTAAGTTGTTGAAAAGTTGCTAATTAGCTAAAATGCTAAAGTTGTCCGTGATGAGATTTGAACACGCGTTATATGTCCATCCACCCTGACCAACCATCCTCCTTTCGTTTTTGCCTTAAGTAACCTCTGTCTTGTGTAACCATGACAAACGTAACATATCATACTAATCTGAGTGTCCCGGATTTACATTAACTATGTTACATCTAGTCTATGAGACCAGGTGGTGAGAAGAGTGGAAGATGGGAACAATGTTGAATAAACCATGGTAGGTGGATTACACACCATTAAATGTTCCTCGCCAACAGGATCCTGACATGTTGCATGTTAAAAAGGTGGACTTTGTATCATTTATTGCATTGGTTATAAACTGCACAGCGCAAACAAAGAGGAAATCTGAGAAAATAGGCATCTTTGTGAGTGTGGCTGAAATTTTTTTGGGACTCAGGGATTTTACAGCAAAGGCATTACAATCAAATAAATGTTAATAAAAAGTTATTTGTCACATGCTTCGTAAACAGCATGTGTAGAATAACAGTGAAATGCTTACTTACGGGTCCTTTTCCAACAATGCAGAGTTAAAAGTAGGAGGAATAAATAAGTAGGCCTAAAAATAACATGGCTATATACAGGGAGAACCAGTACAGAGTAGATGTGCAGGAATACAAGGTAATTGAGGTAGCTATGTACATATGGCAAGGGTAAAGTGACTAGGCAACAGGATAGATAATAGACAGTGGCAGCAGCATACTGTATGTAGTGTGAGTGTGTGTGTGTGTGTGTGTGTGTGTGTGTGTGTGTGTGTGTGTGTGTGTGTGTGTGTGTGTGTGTGTGTGTGTGTGTGTGTGTGTGTGTGTGTGTGACCGACCAGTATCTTTGATGAGGGGCCAGGAGCTGATCTACACTGCCCATCAAAGGGGCTCTGGCAAAGACCTCACCTCCAGCCTTACCTCTTGCCTGCTCACCAACGGTTGTTGAGTGAGTGTGGCGTCAGTATGCATGTGTGCGCGTGTTATGTGTGTGTGGGCATATGCAGTGTGTGTGTGTGTTGGGGTGTCAGTGTAAGCACAGGTATGTGTGAGTGTGTGGATAGAGTCCAGTGTACATAGAGTCAGTGCAAGAGATTTGCTGCTGCAAAAGTATATGTGTGAGTTGGGTTTCAGTGTAAATATGTGTGCGTGTGTGAGTAGAGTCCAGTGTGTGTTCAAAGAATCAGTGCAAGAGAGTTAGTGCAAAAAAGGGACAATGCAGGTAGTCCGTGTAGCCATTTGATTAGCTATTTAGCAGTCTTGTTTAGCAGTTTTATGGTTTGGGGGTAAAGGCTGTTCAGGGTCCTGTTGGTTCCGCTTGCCGTGCAGTAGCAGAGAGAACAGTCTATAGCTTGGGTGGCTGGAGTCTTTGACAATTTTTTGGGCCTTCCTTTGACACCACCTGGAATAGAGGTCCTGGAAGGATGATGTACTGGGCCGTACTCACCACCCTCTGTTGAGTTTTGCGGTCGGGTGCCTTGCCAAGCGGTGATGCAGCCAGTCAAGATGCTCTCAATGGTGTAGCTGTATACATTTTTTAAGGATCTGAGGGCCCATGCCAAATCTTTTCAGCCTCCTGAGGGGGAAGAGGCGCTGTCATGCCCTCTTCACAACTGTGTGGGTGTGTGTGGACCATGTTAATTCCTTAGAGATGTGGACACAGAGGAACTTGAAGCTCTCGACCCGCTCCACTGCAGCCCCGTCGATGTGGATGGGGGCATGCTTGCTTCTCTGTTTCCTGTAGTCCACGATCAGCTCCTTTGACTTGCTGATGTTGAGGGAGAGGTTGTTGTCCTGGCACCACACTGCCAGGTCTCTGACCTCCTCCCTATAGGCTGCCTCTGTAATAGTGTTGCTTCCGTCCCTCTCCTCGCCCCAATCTGGGCTTGAACCAGGGACCCTCTGCCAGTGGTGTAAAGTACTTAAGCAAAAATACTTGAAAGTACTACTTAAGTAGTTTTTTGGGGTATCTGTACTTTACTTTACTATTTACATTTTTGACAACTTTTCCTTTTACTTCACTACATTCCTAAATAAAATGATATACTTTTTACTCCATACATTTTCCCTGATACCCAAAAGTACTCGTTACATTTTGAATGCTTAGCAGGACAGGAAAATTGTGTAATTCACACACTTATCAAGAGATCATCCCTGTTCATCCCTACTGCCTCTGATCTGGCGGACTCACTAAACACATGCTTTTTTTTGTAAAGGATGTCTGAGCGTTGGAGCGTGCCCCTTGCTATCCGTAAATTTAAAAAACAAGAAAATGGTGCTTAATATAAGGAATTCGAAATGATTTATACTTTGACTTTTGATACTTAAGTATATTTTAGCAATTACATTTACTTTTGATACTTAAGTATATTTAAAACCAAATACTTTTAGACTTTTACTCAAGTAGGATTTTACTGGGTGACTTTCACTTTTACTTTAGTCATTTTCTATTAAGATATCTTTACTTTTACTCAAGTATGAAAATTGGGTACTTTTTTCACCACTGCCCTCTGCACACATTGACAACTGTCACCCTCGAAGCATCGTTACCTATCGCTCCACAAAAGCCCTGGCCCTTGCAGATCAAGGGAAACAACTACTTCATGGTCTCGGAGCGAGTGACGTCACCTATAGAAATTCCACTAGCGAGCACCGCTAACAACCCAGTCTCTCATTAACTATGTACTAAATGTACAAATAAGCACAATGTTTTTATGTACAATTAGCACAAACTCATGGCGCATCAAACTCAATAATTCCAGAGACCTCTGATGCTACGCCCCTTCTGAATCCCTTTAAACTCGATGCGCTCTGTGTTTGTGCTATTAGTACAATTAAACATAACTGCTTATTTGGATGCTGCTAGCTAGCTATTTTACATTAAGAACGTGGCGTAAGTTATCGGACAAGAAATGACAAATAATCTAGTATGTTCTGTATTTGGCCCGCATAATTCTAACTCGTATTTTATTTCATTCAGTTACGTATATTGGTAGGAGTGAGTGTAACCTCCCGAGTGGCGCAGTGGTCTAAGCTGTTCCACTAGAGATCCTGGTTCGAATCCAGGCTCTGTCATATGCAGGCCGCGACTGGGAGACCCATGGGGCGGCGCACAATTGGCCCAGCGTCGTCCAGGGTAGGGGAGGGAATGGCCGGCAGGGATGTAGCTCAGTTGGTAGAGCATGGCGTTTGCAACGCTAGGGTTGTGGGTTTGATTCCCACGGGGGGCCAGTATGAAAAACAAAACAATGTATGCACTAACTGTAAGTCGCTCTGGATAAGAGCGTCTGCTAAATGTATTTAAACAGTGGATAAGGTTGGGGTTAAAGGTGTAGTGTTAGGATATTTCTTTGCTTTTGTTTATTTTATTTTTCAAGGATGGGGCGGCGCACAATTGGCCCAGCGTCGTGCAGGGTAGGGGAGGGCATGGCCGGCAGGGATGTAGAGCATGGCGTTGTGGGTTCAATTCCCACGGGGGGCCAGTATGAAAAATAAAAAGATAATGTAAGTCGCTCTGGATAAGAGCGTCTGCTAAAATGACTAAAATGTAAAATGTAAAACGTAAGGAAAGATAAGGGAGTTGAACTCCAGTCTAGTAGGTGGCGGTAATGCAACAAATTGGATGCCAACCGCCGTTAAACCTCATTGAAGAAGAAGAAGAATAAGAAGAAGAAGAAGTACCCGTACAGTAGGTGGCGGCAATACACCTTATCGGTTGTAATCTGCTGATAAAGCTCAAAGAAGAAGAAGAAGAAGAAGCGCCCACCAAGAAGTAGACAAGAGGAAAGATGGCGTCGCTGAATGACAGATCAGTTTGGGATGAGGTGGAGGTTTGTTCCTTGAATTAATGGGTTTGCATGTGTTTATCAATTTATTTTGATTAAAACATGTATTATTTGAATAAATATGTGATCGTAATTATGAAGTCAACATGTATCCAATCCACGAAAGAGCTTATTCTTACGCCAGCTAGCATAGCTACAACTACAAGCTAACGTTAGCTAGCCTGTTTAAATTGATGGGAGAGTGACACAGGTAATTTGCAGGTTTTCTTAACGTTAGCTTGGTCACAACGAATAGTTGGCTTGGTATTTAGCCTATTAACGTAGTCAACTAGTTATCAAGTTTCTGGTCACTTAATATCTGACGTTTACTATCTACTTTGTTAGCTACTAACTAACGTTACACACACTGAGATTCGTAAACCTATCTGCAAGTTGTTAGCTAACTTGGCAAGCTAACGTTAGCCTGACTATTTTGCTTGTCTTATAGCCGCTAGCTAGCTAACAATCTAGGCTAGTTAGGTATCATGATTGGCTCATTTTTGATCAATGTGTGTCTTCAATGGCTTGCTAAGTTAACGTTAGCTAGCTGGTCGGCTAGCTAGCTAGTAACGTTAACTCACAAACGTCGTCATACATTAGTACAGTAACGGTTAGCTAGATGTTAGTGTATACCCTTAACGGTAGCAGCTAGCTACGTTGTATCATAACATTACAGTTTTGTTTGTCAACAATAGGATGGGATCGGCGAAGAAGTCCTCAAAATGTCCACTGAAGAGATCGTTCAGCGGACACGTCTTCTGGACAGTGAAATAAAGGTAGATAGCTAGCTAGTCATTTTAGCTGCTATTGGTGTATCAGATGGGCCACACTTTTTTTTCTTTTTACTTCATATTTGTTGTGTCCACCTTATACTTTACCCCAACATTTTTTAAATGACGATATGAAAAGTGTGAATATGTTGTGCCTAGGTCTATACATTCAATTGGACTCTTATGTTGTAGATCATGAAGAGTGAGGTGTTGAGGGTAACCCATGAGCTGCAGGCCATGAAGGACAAAATCAAAGAAAACACAGAGAAGATCAAAGTGAACAAGACCCTGCCATACCTGGTCTCCAATGTCATCGAGGTAGGAGCATGTACGCTTTTGTCTCAATGTCACATTAAAATGTTTGATGTTTTATTGTATTGAACAGTTTAGTATCAAAAGCTCAATTATTGTGAAGCTGTGTTGAAGCTAATTGTCAGTTAATGACCATGCAACATTTTACATTTACGTCATTTAGCAGACGCTCTTATCCAGAGCGACTTACAAATTGGTGCATTCACCTTATAGCCAGTGGGATAACCACTTTACAAAGTTTTCTTTTTTTCTTTTCTTTTTTTTTGGGGTGGGTGGGGTAAGGGGGGGTAGAAGGATTACTTTATCCTATCCCAGGTATTCCTTAAAGAGGTGGGGTTTCAAATGTCTCCGGAAGGTGGTGAGTGACTCCGCTGTCCTGGCGTCGTGAGGGAGCTTGTTCCACCATTGGGGTGCCAGAGCAGCGAACAGTTTTGACTGGGCTGAGCGGGAACTGTGCTTCCGCAGAGGTAGGGGAGCCAGCAGGCCAGAGGTGGATGAACGCAATGCCCTCGTTTGGGTGTAGGGACTGATCAGAGCCTGAAGGTACGGAGGTGCCGTTCCCCTCACAGCTCCGTAGGCAAGCACCATGGTCTTGTAGCAGATGCGAGCTTCAACTGGAAGCCAGCGGGGTGACGTGAGAGAACTTGGGAAGGTTGAACACCAGACTTGTGTCTGGATCAACGCAGGTTGGGTTTGAGATGTCTTAAAACTGTCTTGCAGCTTCTGGATGTGGACCCAAATGACCAGGAGGAGGATGGAGCAAACATTGATCTAGACTCCCAGAGGAAGGGCAAATGTGCTGTCATCAAAACATCTACAAGACAGGTAAGTAACAACTAGAAATATGTCCAATCCAGTGTTTTCTGAAGTAGTCATTTAGCTGTGGTGCTGCGCCACGGCAAAATCATTGCCGCCACGACAAAAAAATATAGAACATGAGAAAATATTTATTCCGAGGCGCTCTTTGAAGATGCTGGAACAGTCCACATTTACATTTCCTCTGCAAACAAAACTAGTAATGAATAGAAAAAATCTGACAACCCCATAATATAATAGTTTATCCATTTATGTAGTCGGCTTGTTTTGTGTTCTATGCGAAATGAATGTTCCTCTTGAGGTGCATTCGAGTTACGAGTGCCTTAGGGAGGGAATTCCCTGAATCGAATATAGGCTGTAAAAATAGGCTACATCTATTTAGAAGGCTACTCAAACTTTTACCAGCCGCACCGTTTTACACTTTATATGGCCTGCGTATGGTCTAATGAACGAACGCCTGAATTAATGTGATGATGAACTGAATTATCAAAAACAAATAGGCCTACCTGTTTGAACTTTGTGTCGGATGTGTATCCATCTACGGTGTTGTTGTCCTTCTAAACTAGGGATGTCACTCGTACAGCACCGGTCTCCACGATGGTGTTGTAGCCTATTCCCTTATCATAATCGTTCTTTTAATTTCTCCGGTTAGGCCTACGTTAGCCATTTTCACGTGAGCTAGGCTATAGTAAAGTTTCGTATTATCACGTGGGAAGAGGGAACATAAGCGCTGTGCGTCGACAAATTTGAACGTTTTAGCACCACACAATGCGTGCGTGGCTAGTAGCCTTATGTCTGCCTCGCCACTCACAGAATGGAATTCACAACACAACAAAATCCTGGGTTTTAAAAAAATGTGTATTATCTTGATTTTAAATGTTTCCGACCATCATGTAATGGTTTTGAACCGCAAGCCGACCACGGGTTGAAAGAATGTTTTAATTCCACCCGCCAGCTGATTTTTTGTTGTTGTTGCAGCTCACCCACGGGGCACCGTGGGTATCCGACCCGATGCAGGACTCTGCTAATGATTAGCCCAATAGGGTAAATGCAGATAGGCAACCCCATGCTTCAGCATACAGTGGGGGAAAAAAGTATTTAGTCAGCCACCAATTATATTCCACCATAATTTGCAAATAAATTCATAAAAAATCCTACAATGTGATTTTCTGGATTTTATTTCTCATTTTGTCTGTCATAGTTGACGTGTACCTATGATGAAAATTACAGGCCTCTCTCATCTTTTTAAGTGGGAGAACTTGCACAATTGGTGGCTGACTAAATACTTTTTTCCCCCACTGTATTTATTTATAGCCACTATGCTGCATCAGTTGGGCTATAGGTGAAAATGCTTATTGTTAATTGCATACCTGATAATATGCTATTAACAATATGTACAAAATAATTGTAACAAATAATTTAACAATGTTATTTTGCTCATTTCTGGAGGTGGAAATTATATTTTAGATGGTGTCAGCATAATTTTATTTTCATTAATTTTTGAGTAAAATGGCCTTTTAAAAAGTCACCAGAACAAAATAAAATAAATCAGCCCCCGCGACCTTTTGCCCCCACTGCTACAAATGTTTCCAGAGGAAACACTGGTCCGATCTATACTCCCAAGTTCAACTGCATTTCAATCAGTACTGTTCCTGTGTCCTTCTTAGTAAACTAAAACAGTTATTAATAGGAGTTATTCAGCAGTGGTAGTTGACATTGGCTGCCCCTTTTGTGCTCTTGCAGACATACTTCCTCCCGGTCATTGGCTTGGTGGATGCAGAGAAACTGAAGCCGGGAGACCTTGTGGTAAGCCCTTATGTGATCACTTGAGTCCTTGAGTAGCAGCTCCCTCTGCTCAACAAGCAATGGATTTATTTTTTGGTTATGCTTGAGTGTCACATTTACTTTTTCCTCTTTCCCTGTGGTGATAACCAGGGGGTAAACAAGGACTCATACCTGATCCTGGAGACCCTGCCCACGGAGTACGACTCCAGAGTCAAAGCCATGGAGGTGGACGAGCGCCCCACTGAACAGTACAGTGACATTGGTGGATTAGACAAACAAATCCAGGAGGTCCGATATTATCATTTGAATCTTATCTCTTTAGACACTCATGTGAATGTAATTGCAGTTTTAGTAACATGTGATGCTATTCTTTTGACTTACAGCTGGTGGAAGCAATCGTTCTGCCCATGAACCACAAGGAGAAGTTTGAGAACCTGGGTATTCAGCCACCTAAGGGGGTTTTGATGTATGGCCCCCCAGGCACAGGGAAAACCCTACTGGCTAGGGCCTGTGCTGCCCAGACCAAGGTAAAACAAAACACTGACTCTATGGCTTGCATTTTAGCAAGGGGTTGTTTGTTAGTGCGGAAGTGTCAACTCCTCTTCTGCTTTAGGTAAAATGGTGTGGACAGGTGGAGTTTGATTTATTTACCTTTCATCCTACTATAGGCCACATTCCTCAAGCTGGCTGGCCCACAGCTGGTCCAGATGTTCATTGGTGACGGTGCCAAGCTGGTCCGAGATGCCTTTGCCCTGGCCAAGGAGAAGGCCCCCTCTATCATCTTCATAGATGAGCTGGACGCCATTGGAACCAAACGGTGAGTGGTGCAGTTAAACTATGAGTCCTATGCACTGTAAACCAGCTACCGACAAGAAGTTTCACAGTTGCTTTCCATAGCTGTTGAATAGCATCGACACAAACCTCTGATCCCTTTGATTTCTCCAGGTTTGACAGTGAGAAAGCAGGTGACAGAGAGGTCCAGAGAACTATGCTTGAGCTCCTCAACCAGCTGGATGGGTTCCAGCCCAACATGCAAGTTAAGGTATTACTCAGTTCTTTACTTTTTTTTCTTAATCAGCTGTACTTGAGGTACCCAAGAGACCTGGTACCTAAGAAGGAGACCTGACTGTTTCACTATGCTATGAGGAGGCCCTATAGTGTTAGCCTGGCTCACGTGACTCAGAAGGCAGGGAGAGCTGTGACACACTGGTCTGGATAGGAGGCCGTTGTAAATGCATTATTGATTGGTTCTCTTCGCATAATCTTTTTGTGCAGTGTGAACACTCCAAAGGAACTCGGGGGCGGCAGGTAGCTTAGTGGGTAAGAGCGTTGTGCCAGTAACCGAAAGGTCGCTGGTTCTAATCCCCGAGCCGACTAGGTGAAAAATCTGTCGATGTGCCCTTAGGCAAGGCACTTAACCCTAATTGCTGATGTAAGTCGCTCTGGATAAGAGCGTCTGCTAAATATGTAAAATGTAAATGTAAAATGTAACTCAGACCCCTCGAAAGAGCCCCCGAACCGAAACCATCTCGAGAGGTGGTCTTAGTTCAGTTTGCTTGAATTCCGCGGTCCGGTTCCCTTTTTTAGGGCAATGTGAACACAAAGCACCGTTTCCCCTGCCATAACCCCTCAACTCACATTGGTGCCACAAAATAAAGAAGATGATGATGTGCAGGTTCTTGGAAAAAACATGTGCTGTTTTTGGATATTGATTAGCGATTGTCAAGGATGCACAGACATTACAAAATATGTGTTTTATACTGACATGATGTTCAGATTATTTGTTTGCAATATGTGATCTTTAGACTAGAGAACTTCACGGGTCCAACAGACCTGAAATTCTAACTGACCCTAAACCCAGAGCGGGTCTGGGTCCTAAATTCTGACTTTTGTCTCAGATCTGTATTTACCAACTGGACCCGATTGGACCTGACCTGTGTTAATTTATTGTTTGTGTGTTGAGAACTGCGCAAGCTTGTTATGTCAGCAAATTGCAACTCAATGAAACAAATAGCTTATGTCCAGCTGAAACTGGTCCAGCTGTTCACCTCAGGAGCTCCTGCTGCTGAGGAGAGCGAGAGAGCGTAAAAGGGGCCTTGGACTAGGCTACTGTTGATTGTGAAGATGGAGAAAGAGTATAGTGAAAAGAAGCCGACAAAAACGTTTTTATATTGTAGTGGACAAATATTAGAAGAACGTTGGCGCTGCCAAATGTACTGTGTGCAACTCACTATTCAGGTTTGATACAATTTTATAACTTCCATTTATTTATTTTGGAATGTATTATTAATTGTTTAGTCATTAATAATAATGATAAGCTTGTTGTAAAATAAATAACATTAGCCTATTGCTGTCATTTGTTTGGTAGGCCTACGGTAGGTAATCGCCTTTGTTGGTAATAGCTACAATATAGGCCGAGCGTGTTAAACTTTTTTTTGAAGATTTCATGCTGTTGAGCCATTTTCATTAGCCAAATTAAGTTCCAGCTGTAATGTTGTTTGCCGCAATATAACGTTAATAGAATTACCGGTAGGCCTATGCTACTCGCACTCAAACCATGAAAAGGATAAACCAAAGAGGGCAAGATGCAAAACGTAATTTAATGTCACAATATAATAACCTGTTCTATGTTCCCTATGAACAATGACTTGACTTACTTTCATTACCCTAATAAAGTTAAGCAACTTTTGTTTGGTGTGGTATGGTTATTATTAGGCTTGGCTACTGCAGGCCTATGAAGGCAGGGCGCACTGGCACTCCGACAGTTGAACTTGAGGTGAGAAATAATGTTTTATGCCTACCAGAGTTACTCCTTTTAATCGAACAATATAATATTCGGATTGAAAATGAACGAATTTGCCTCCTATACGCCTATATCTGTACAGCAGTAGTAGCCTATCTGACTAGTGTAAAGAAGTCTGGAACATGGCACCGGCTTAGCTCTATCTTTCTCTATGTCTCTCTAGGGCTAGGCCTAAGCTTGTCTCCCTTAATATTAACAAATAATATATATGAATATCATTCAGTGGACGCCTATGCCTATATGCATGCAATGCCCTGATGCATTTAGCGCTCAAATCTCTGACAGCTAAACCGTGAGGTAGACAATTATTGTTTTAGTAAACGATAGACGAAAGTTTTTAATATGGTACGAATCGAAACACAAATCGTTTTTTAGTCATTTGTTATTGGCAGTTTATAAGGATACGTAACTGGATCATTTGGCCAATACGACTTGTTTATTGATGGCGTTGGCAGCGACCAATTGGAGGTTTCTTTCTCTCCCTCTGTCTACTCTTGGATCTGAACGGGCCTCTTAGATCCGAACCAGCAGTGGTCTGTTTGCCATGGGCCTTTTCTGAACGGGTAAGACTGTCCTCGGGTCCATTCGGAACGGCTCTTCGTTTTTTGAAGATGTATTTATGCATATCGGGTCAGGTGGGAATGCCACAGATCAATTTCAGAACGGGTCCAACTTTTTGTACCCGTGAAGACCTCTACTTTAGACTAAGAGTTTCATAAGCTGTTTATTCGATTGTGGGGTTTGAATAGTGAGAAGACAACATATTTGGTCACAACATAGGGTACAAAGTCAATGCTAGTTATTTTAGGGGCAGTAGCCTACAGTGGGTGTACAATTTTGAATTACAGCATTATTTAATCTGCAGTTATTATTCAGCTATTTATTATGTTACCAATCATATTTACATGTTAATATTATCTTTTGATTATAATTGTCTCATCTTTTAACTAAACGCAATCTAGCTTCCAAAATGTGAGTAGGTATATCTAGCTGTACGATAACACGTTCTGATGGAATGGCTGGTCCTGCACTTTGTAAAAACCCAGAGTGCATTGAGTGAATGTTTGGAAAATATCTTTGTTCCGTTCTAAACATAGCAATGTGACTGCAAAGAGGACTCAGGACCACAAAATAGGTGAAGTGAACTGGCAGAAGAGTTGAGTCCTCATTCCAAGGCAAGGGCAGAGTGAATACAAACAAGTTATTTTGCTCTTTTTTTTACCACAGAGTTCACTTTTAAAGAGGGCTGAGAACGGTTATTTTAAACACCCTCAAATGTTTTGTCTTTCCTGGGGGGGTTGAGACCTCTCGTTGTATGGATTTGAAAATCCAACAGTTGTAATGAAATGTGGTGGCGATCAGGGACTGTGTGTGGCTGTGGGTGTGAGAGAAAGACACGGAGGAGAAACGATCAGTAAAACCCAGCCCCCTTCATTATCGACGCATCGTGCCGACAACATCAAGTCTTTACAGACTGAGGTCAGGAGGACTTGGAGTTAGGTGTTAGCCAGACTACTATTTTGTACGCTGACACCTTGACTTTCTGATCCTCTTTTGCCAGGTTATCGCTGCCACTAACAGGGTGGATATCCTAGATCCCGCACTGCTGCGTTCTGGACGTCTGGACCGTAAGATTGAGTTCCCAATGCCCAATGAGGAAGCACGAGCCCGCATCATGCAGATTCACTCACGCAAGATGAACGTCAGGTTTGGACCACTATGCTTCATCCTACGTTAGCCAAATTGATCTGCATGTTATGATTTATAATTAAGTGAACTCTAGCTCGAAAGGTCAAAGTTATACACTTGTTTGTCATGTATTATTCAGAATCTGATTGGTATCCCCTCCACTGCTTTGTTCCCACAGCCCTGATGTCAACTACGAGGAGCTGGCCAGGTGCACTGATGACTTCAACGGTGCCCAGTGCAAAGCAGTGTGTGTGGAGGCGGTGAGTAATACCTTTTATAAACATGCACAAACCAGCCCTATTAACTAAAGTACAGTTACGTTGTTTCCTTTCCCTTGGTGAAAGTTTTATCAGTGACCTGCATGTCAAGATTTTGATTGTAAGATGTAATTTGCCATTTGTTCCCCTTTACATTTTTTTAAATCACAGCTATATTGACCTGGATGCGTTTAGCAACGACAAGAACAAACAAGGATTTTACTTTCTTTCCCTTAATCTTTTCTCTTCCAGGGTATGATTGCCCTTCGCAGGGGGGCAACTGAGCTCAATCATGAGGACTACATGGAAGGCATCTTGGAAGTACAGGCCAAGAAGAAGGCCAACCTGCAGTACTATGCCTAAGGGCCTGGCTCTTCAGGGGAAGGATGTGTGTGTGTGATACTCTCCAGTTGTGTGTCCAAAACATGAACCAATCTCTGTACTATAATGCAGCCATAATAGATTGTCCCCATTAGTGTGCAACATTAACACTAATTGCCACTTCTCTCTTTGGGTTTCATTGGTTCATTGCGGCTTCGGTAGTTAAGTTGTGAGGCAGGGACTGGAGACACGTTTTGGCTTCTTACAGTATCTATGGTCCATTAAAAAATAAAAAGGCTTTTTCCATTAATACATTTGCCCTTCTTTGGCTGGATGAAAACAAGCTGTGGCAAAGACATCTGTTGCCATTTACAAAAATATTATGAAAGGGGCACTTCGTCACCATATTATCTAGCACCATACTAGTGAAGAGAAATTTTGCCACCATATTTGGGTATTTCTGACAAACATATTTTGCCAGATGCTACTCGTCCGGAAATAGTTCACTGGAGAAAAACATATGATTTAATCGGTGTTCATGCATCCGTCTCTGGCCTCATTCTCTAGCACCAGACACCTGTATTCTCCCTCTGACTAAAGGTACATTTGGGAAACTAATCGCCTATTGTCATTCTATTCGGTTTGTGTAGCAAAGATTCATTTTCAGATCAGGGTGTAACTTGACTGAAATGACTCGTTTTGAATCAAGGTTTTAGGGGACAGCTACACACATCCGCAAACTAAAATGCTTATAAAACCCAATGCTATAAGAGAAAGCAAGAAGTCAAAAGCATCTTTATTGGGATCAGTCAAAATGAGTTAATACAAGCACCTGACTGCGTCGACAAGGCGATAGACATTTGTCAACTCAAACTACTTTCCATAGCTCAGTGTGGCCCCATTTTACCTTAACAGCACATATCAATTTCTTATCACATGGACCCTTTGAAGTTGTAGAATGATCATACACATCAATACAACACATTGACACAGGGTCCCAATAACTTCTGAATTAAACATTACATGCAGATTTTCGCTGAAAACTGCCATCTTAAACTCGTATCAACAAGGAGATCACGGGGAGAGCCTCCACTCTACACAATGCCAGCCAGATATACAGGGTATTCTGAAAGTTTGTATATATTGGCAATAGGTGACATGATTCAGTCTGCCATCACAGAAAGAGGTGAAATGGGCACTATTGCAATCTTGTTTGTTCCTGGATTTAGGTGAAACGGCTCCATTTTAATTATCCTGCAGAAGAGTTTTATATTAAAATAAAGCAGCACATTGCTGTAAAACAATGCAGTTTTATCTTTACTTGATGGCAGACAGGTTGTTAAAAAAAAAAAAGTATCATCGTAAACAAGTGCATACAAAGGATTAGATGCCAGCGATCTACCCCCATTCAGGCAATGTCAATTTATTACAATGTGATTCTATGCAGGTAGTTCGACTTAAAAAAATCTCTTCTGGTCGATTGCATAAGTCTTCCCCACAGGCAGCTTCCGGAAAAATAAACTGTTGCCTCTGCTCATGTTTCCCTATAAATAGAGATGGAATACAAAGACAAAACAGGAACATCTTAAATGGCACATTCATTATCCATAATATTTCACCAATTTAGAAAATGTTGAAACACTTGTTAACCAATGTGAATAACCAAGGATCTTATCCTGGTGGCAAGCTGTGTCTGTTACACCTGTGTTTTTGTGTAGCATTAACGTTTTGAAAGCAGCCATCTACCTCTAGGCTCAGGTGCCTCCAGCAGTCCACCCAGGTTGGATATATTGAAGCATAGGGAGGGAGGCCGCCAGCCAGCCTGTAAAAGACAGGAGTGCTTAGGTGGAAAGCCAGCCTTAGACATAAACCACTCACTACAGGGAAACTTTAAAAGGTCCAATGCAGCCATTTATTCTATCAAATAATTTCTGAGTAACAAGTATCTTACTGTGATTGTTTTTAATTAAAATGGTCAATGGTCTCAAGCAAGAATTTTGCCATTGCTGTCAGTGGTCAGAGTGAGGGACCAATTTGGACGAGGGATATGTAACCTGAAAACTAGACGTCATTGGCAGAGAGGTTTGAAACTAGGGATGAGCGATATGGCCTAAAAATCATTCCTATTTAAAAAAAAAATGTTTTTATATATATATATATATATATATATACTGCTCAAAAGAATAAAGGGAACACTTAAACAACACAATGTAACTCCAAGTCAATCACACTTCTGTGAAATCAAACTGTCCACTTAGGAAGCAACACTGATTGACAATACATTTCACATGCTGTTGTGCAAATGGGATAGACAACAGGTGGAAATTATAGGCGTTTTGCAGGTGGTGACCACAGACCACTTCTCAGTTCCTATGCTTCCTGGCTGATGTTTTGGTCACTTTTGAATGCTGGCGGTGCTTTCACTCTAGTGGTAGCATGAGACGGAGTCTACAACCCACACAAGTGGCTCAGGTAGTGCAGCTCACCCAGGATGGCACATCAATGCGAGCTGTGGCAAGAAGGTTTGCTGTGTCTGTCAGCGTAGTGTCCAGAGCATGGAGGCGCTACCAGGAGACAGACCAGTACATCAGGAGACGTGGAGGAGGCCGTAGGAGGGCAACAACCCAGCAGCAGGACTGCTACCTCCGCCTTTGTGCAAGGAGCAGAAGGAGCACTGCCAGAGCCCTGCAAAATGACCTCCAGCAGGCCACAAATGTGCATGTGTCTGCTCAAACGGTCAGAAACAGACTCCATGAGGGTGGTATGAGGGCCCGACGTCCACAGGTGGGGGTTGTGCTTACAGCCCAACACCGTGCAGGACGTTTGGCATTTGCCAGAGAACACCAAGATTGGCAAATTCGCCACTGGCGCCCTGTGCTCTTCACAGATGAAAGCAGGTTCACACTGAGCACGTGACAGACGTGACAGAGTCTGGAGACGCCGTGGAGAACGTTCTGCTGCCTGCAACATCCTCCAGCATGACCGGTTTGGCAGTGGGTCAGTCATGGTGTGGGGTGGCATTTCTTTGGGGGGCCGCACAGCCCTCCATGTGCTCGCCAGAGGTAGCCTGACTGCCATTAGGTACCGAGATGAGATCCTCAGACCCCTTGTGAGACCATATGCTGGTGCGGTTGGCCCTGGGTTCCTCCTAATGCAAGACAATGCTAGACCTCATGTGGCTGGAGTGTGTCAGCAGTTCCTGCAAGAGGAAGGCATTGATGCTATGGACTGGCCCGCCCGTTCCCCAGACCTGAATCCAATTGAGCTCATCTGGGACATCATGTCTCGCTGCATCCACCAACGCCATGTTGCACCACAGACTGTCCAGGAGTTGGCGGATGCTTTAGTCCAGGTCTGGGAGGAGATCCCTCAGGAGACCATCCACCACCTCATCAGGAGCATGCCCAGGCATTGTAGGGAGGTCATACAGGCACGTGGAGGCCACACACACTACTGAGCCTCACTTTGACTTGTTTTAAGGACATTACATCAAAGTTGGATCAGCCTGTAGTGTGGTTTTCCACTTTAATTTTGAGGGTGACTCCAAATCCAGACCTCCATGGGTTGATTAATTTGATTTCCATTGATAATGTGTGTGATTTTGTTGTCAGCACATTCAACTATGTAAAGAAAAAAAGTATTTAATAAGATTATTTCATTCATTCAGATCTAGGATGTGTTATTTTAGTGTTCCCTTTATTTTTTTGAGCAGTGTATATACACACATACATACATACATACATACATACATACATACACACTTATGGCTGTTAAACAATTTATAAAAATAAATAAGTTATCAAAATAAGCTTTGTTGTACAATTAAAGGTCAAATACACCATTTCAAACAGTAAGCAATAATTAATTAATTCAGGGCTTGTGAAATTATACATTCTAGAAAATTAACACAGGTCTCTTAATCTCTCAAATCCACGTGCTAGTGAGTAGCCAGCTAATCTTCATATTTCAAGTTTAGCCAATTTGGATCTATTTGCTAGCTAACAAGGCAGAACAGTTGAATTGATGTGAACATACTACTGTCCTTCAACTGTTTGAACAGCATGCTAGCCTGTACACTTTGATCAGATGTTGAAATCAAGTGAGCTACCTTATGCTTACTGCACATTCACAAAACAGACTAGACAGATAGTATAACAGTCTTTGGCTAAAATGCTGCTAGCGGTACTGCAATGCTGCGCGATCATACGTTTTCCAGAATCAATGTTCATTGATATTCCCATTTTAGTAGTCTGCTCTGGGCGCAATTTGAGGAGTGGAGACATAAAAAGGGTATCGTTCAAAAGGTTAACTTCTCTATTAAAGTAAAATAATGTTTCGGTGTCCATATGACCGATTTTGTCGGACCAAACCTCAAATGCAAATAGCGAGTTGAATCCGCTTGTCAGAGAGGAAGAAGTGATCTCTCATCTTTGTTGTTGTGAGTGGCAGGGGGAGGGGCTTGGTGTGTGTGTAAACAGAGAGGACGTTGCAAAGCGAGAGGTTTCACTCTCGCCAAAATCTGTCAAAAATAATCTCAATGCGTTTCTATGGGTTTATTTTGGACCTTAGCTTGTCACCTGCCTTCGTGCATGTGGGACAATGACTCCCATTGTTGGTGCGGAGACATGAGCATCTCATCATTATATACGCATCTCTGGTGTAAATGGGAAGGTGTACAAAGCACAGAAGGATCGAAGGAGACGAGACCAAAACAACAAGATGAGAACAAGCGGACATAAACGCTGTTAAAAACAACAAATAAACTTGATTCTTGCGATACAGGCAGGTATTTGGAATATCTTGGAAAAACTAATTCTAATTAATTCGATATATCGCCCAGACCTATTTGAAACGCTTTGTGTTATTGGTCTATTAAATTTACACCACCTGGTGATATCGCCAGGCAGGCCAAAACTCAATCCCACCAAAACAGGTTGAAATTTCAGGTGTTCTTTTCAAACACCTGTTACACTAAAAGGGCATTATAATTTTCAACCTCAATGTGGAAAAACATATAAAACACTGGGCCTTTAAACCAGTAATGTTTTGCTTAAGGCAGGTTAAGATAAAATGTACTGCACATAACTACTTATTTCAGGCAAAACAATTAGGAAATAAAGGCTTCCTCAAATGTCATGAAAACCGCTGATCCCAACCCACGCATTGCAACTTGACAGCTTTCAAAGCTTTCTACATTTTGTAAATAAACTAAAAGCAAAAGATTAAAAAAACATCAAAATGCAGAAACTTACCCGCAGTCATTCACAGCCATGAGGTTTGACACCAAAACAAAGGGGTATGTGAGCATACTGGCGAAGAACTGGAACACGAGGGAGATATAAATTACAGAACTAAAACAGTCCAACAAATTGACAGAACATGAGCAACCAAAGCGATACATTGACATTTTAGTCATTTAGCAGACGTTCTTATAAAGAGCAACTTACAGTAGTGAGTGCATACATTTATTTTATTATGTACTAGTCCCCCGTGGGAATTGAACCCACAACCCTGACGTTGCAAGCGCCATGCTCTACCAACTGAGCCACACTGGACCCCAATAAAAATGACATCGACTGTTTATTACCTGTATGGTAATAATAGTTGCCTGTGTTATGACCTTACATTGACAAACTATAGATTTAAACAAATGTTTTACACTTACCCCGGTCACAGCCTGAGAGCAGTTCTTTATTTCTCCTGTGTGACTCATCTGTGAGGAAAGGATTAAAAATAAAATTATGTCATAATTCACTTACCCATTCATTCTACACTGACATACAATGTACTTCAGTACAGGGTCTTTTTTTGATGTGAGGTCCACATCTACTTTAAAGGCCCAGTGCAGTCAAAAACGTGATTTTCCTTGTTTAAAAAAATATACATAGAATACCACACTATGAGGTTGGAATAATACTGTGAAAATGATGATGCCCTTTTAGTAGAAGAGCAGTTTGAAAAGGCCGCCTGAATGTTCAGCCTCTTTTGGTGGGATGGAGTTTTGGCCTGCCTGGTGACATCACCAGGTGGTAAATTAGTCAGACCAATAAGGAGTTCCAAACCTCTCTGCCAATTACAGATAGTTTCAGTTTCCCCCTCCCCACTCAAACCACACCCAGACAGTCCTAGCAAAACTGTTGCTTGAGAAAAGGCTCTTTGCTAAGAAGCTATTTTTGTTAATTTTTTACCATTATAATTGAAAACAAATCACATTAAGGTACTTAATTGTTACCCAGAAATGATTTGATATGGAGATAAAGACGGCTGCACTGGACCTTTAAACAAGTGTCAAAATCCCAAATCCATCTGACTTACGGAGTCATCAATGGCGTATGTGTTGATGAGGTGGGCAAGCATGTTGCAGATCCACAGAGACAGCACGTCACCCAGCAGACGAGGAATAAGGCCCCTGCATGACAGCACAACTATTAGTCGGTTAGGTTAAGATGTCAGGGAAAAAGAGGTCATGGTACAGACATCCAGAGGAAACAGCATCCAGAAAATAACAATATATTTGCAAGATTCAGGAGCAAGCATAAACCTACTTTAAAAATAACAACTTCAAAACGATTGACTGAATTTACTGAGGTCAAATGTATTCTAGTAATTTAGCTGGTCAAGATTAAAGGATGCCCTTGATGAAACATTGGTCATGTAGCCAAAGGCAGATCATACTTACGCAAAGAATCCCAGAACTCCTTCATTCTTGTAGACAGTGACGATTGAATCAAACACTCCACTGCAAGAAAACAAGAAACATTTGTAATATTCAGTATTATATGGCTATAAATTGTATAAACCCATATTGAACTTAGGTTAAGAGAAACTCACCTGTACTTGGTTTCTCTACCAATAAACTGGACCATGCATCTCAAGGTGATCACTTTGGAACAAACAGAAAATAACCATCCAATAACTAAGAACCCAGTATCCATGCAGTAGTCATTATCCTACAAGAACACACATTTAGGGCAAAGGATGACATGACAAAAAGGTGCTAGACACAAACAGTACACTTACCATGGAAGGGGTGCGTGACGATCGTGGCACAGGAGCGGGCTATCATCTCTTTGGTTGTCTGTGGTAAAAGAAAAACAGAAAGAATGGTGATGCAGAATTTGGGAGGAAACATGAATCCAGTTTGGACAGCTTTAGCTGGGGATAATTCCCCTTACACCAAGGACCATCTCCACCCCAGATATTAACTTACTTGCTTACGGTGAAAAAACACAGCCAAGCAATAGACATGCTCAGATGATGTCCACGGCAATAAAGAAAGCACAACTACATTTATAGATGAAGGTCTGTTCAAACCACGTCTAACAGAACTGTGAAACAAATCTGAATATTTCAGTTGATCTTGGTTGTGTCAACTTTGTTCCAAAGGCAATAATATGAAAAAAAACATACATCTGTCAAACCATCTGCTTTACTGGACAAATTCATTCATACCTCATTCACAACATGCTGTAAGGATCCCTCTTCAGCTTTCTGACTGGTTCCAGAGACCTAAAAAGGATTGAAAAATGACCATCAATAACCACAGCCTGCATTTAAAAGATAGTTACCTTTAATTTAATAAAATAAATAAGAGTCAATTATACATTAACCCATAACCAGGCCAAAATATTTACCTCATATTTGCCTGCATCCTGGCATCTCTGTAAAAGACAACAGTGATTAGTTCAACGGAGATCCATTTTCATAATGGTGTGTTGACACATTGCCATCCAGAGCATTTATGTCAGTTTATGAATTTAGAAACAAATAGGATTTGTCACACTCACCATCCTAAGAAAGTGAAAGGCCAATCCAGTTCAAGTCACAGAGTCAATGCCCAAGCCAGTATGTAGCTTATTCTCTGACAAGCATGACTTTCCATACAGAATGTGATCACATTTCCCATTCTTTTAGGATTGAGGCTAGACTACTGCTGAGGTCTGAAAATATCAGCTAACATGTATTTAGTAAGTTAGATAAAGCCAGCTTGTTAGTTAGACCCACCTGCAAGACTCTGCTGTGTACAAGGGTGCCGATGGTCCCTGCACAGAGCCTGGGGGCTAGGCCATTAAAGAGACCTGCCTTGCCGTCAATCTTTATGATGTGCTTTGCTAAAAGACAGAAATGAGAGGATCAAAGAACAAACACATGGAAAATACAGCAAACAAAATCAACATGTTCATTAGTAAGACTGTATGGTATGGACAGGCCAGTCTTTTTACCGGTAGCCTACTAGCTGGTGTTTAACATCAAGATCCCCTGTAGCTCAGTTGGTAGAGCATGGCGCTTGCAACGCCTGGGTTGTGGGTTCGTTTCCCACGGGGGGCCAGTATGAAAATGTATGCACTCACTAACTTTAAGTCGCTCTGGATAAGAGCGTCTGCTAAAATGACAAAAAAAATAAAACGATACGTCTAGTTTAAATCCATCACTAGTAGTAATGTGCAGGTTGACTCATCACCCACGGGGTGGTTATATCCACGGGGCGGGCTGGTTTAGGGTCATGAAATATTGTGTGGATGAAGGGCAGGTTAAATAAAGAGAAAACAATACCTTGAAAAAAACACAAATGTATCATTCTTGTGCAATTTATATCTATAGGCTAAATTATAATTTATGCTATGGGGTTGAGATCTATTTTGGTTTCATCTGACCATATGACATTCTCCCAATCCTCTTCTGGATCATCCAAATGCACTCTAGCAAACTTCAGGCGGGCCTGGACATGTACTGGCTTAAGCAGAGGGACACATCTGGCACTGCAGGATTTGAGTCCCTGGCGGCGTAGGGTGTTACTGATGGTAGGCTTTGTTACTTTGGTCCCAGCTCTCTGCAGGTCATTCACTCTGCAGGTCATTCACATTCACTAGGTCCCCCCGTGTGGTTCTGGGATTTTTGCTCACCGTTCTTGTGTTCATTTTGACCCCACGGGGTGAGATCTTGCGTGGAGCCCCAGATCGAGGGAGATTATCAGTGGTCTTGTATGTCTTCCATTTCCTAATAATTGCTCCCACAGTTGATTTCTTCAAACCAAGCTGCTTACCTATTGCAGATTCAGTCTTCCCAGCCTGGTGCAGGTCTACAATTTTGTTTCTGGTGTCCTTTGACAGCTCTTTGGTCTTGGCCATAGTGGAGTTTGGAGTGTGACTGTTTGAGGTTGTGGAGAGGTGTCTTTTATACTGATAACAAGTTCAAACAGGTGCCATTAAAACAGGTAACGAGTGGAGGACAGAGGAGCCTCTTAAAGAAGAAGTTACAGGTCTGTGAGAGCCAGAACTCTTGCTTGTTTGTAGGTGACCAAATACTTATTTTACACCATAATTTGCAAATAAATTCATTACAAATCCTACAATGTGATTTTCTGGATTTTCTTTTCTCAATTTGTCTGTCATAGTTGACGTGTACCTATGATGAAAATTACAGGCCTCTCATCTTTTTAAGTGGGAGAACTTGCACAATTGGTGGCTGACTAAATACTTTTTTCCCCCACTGTATAACCTCTCACATTGCTGTAATATTAACTCCTACAGAATTAAGCATTTCTTGCAGTAAAATGATAAACCAAATGTAGGATACATTTTGACTCGGGAACAGGAGTGGAGAAATATGATTTCTTTCTTTCAGCATCTTGAGAGCATGCGAATGCGCATTTAGATGCCGTCTGTAGAGATGCTATCTTTATCAGCATCATAACAGCTGATAGTATTTCAACCACATAAAATATGCATTCAAGCCAAACTGAAATCTTATTAGAAACATGTTGGGTCATTTTCACAGCTTTCTATTTCCTTACAACCGGTCAAACTAATGTCATTTGGAAATTTAGCAAAATCTTTCCAGTTTTTATTTTATTTATTGCAATTTCTTCCCAGTCCCTAAACGTCTTTGCTCCACAAAAGAAGCAGAGATGACAGAAAACTTTACCAATGTCAACAAAATTGAAGCATTCATTCTATCGATTTATGTCATTCTGGTGAGCAAGGGCTTATTTAGTCTTCTAGGACAACATAATTACATTTACATTTTAGTCATTTAGCAGACGCTCTTATCCAGAGCGACTTACAGTTAGTCAATACATTTTTTTTTTTTTTTTTTTTTTTTTACTAGCCCCCCGTGGGAATCGAACCCACAACCCTGGCGTTGCAAACGCCATGCTCTACCAACTGAGCTACATCCCTGCCGTCCATTCCCTCCCCTACCCTGGACGACGCTGGGCCAATTGTGCGCCGCCCATGAGTCTCCCGGTCGCGGCCGGCTGCGACAGAGCCTGGATTCGAACCAGGATCTCTAGTGGCACAGTTAGCACTGCGATGCAGCGCCTTAGACCTCTGCGCCACTCAGGAGACTCAATGACAGAAGATAAGCTGCATGTATCTAATTATAGACAAGTTGACTAACTAATAGCCTACCAAAATGTCGGAAATTATAAGCACCAACATATCTTAAAATCAAAAAAAAGATCCTGCATCCCCTGTCAAAAAATTGTTTGCCATCTCAGACTGTAGTCTACAGCGTATTTTCTATATTATGCTTGATCCGAAAATGTGCAATTGCAGAGCCTCCGGAGGCATGCAGAGGCTAAATTGAGCTCCGTGCCACATTGCCGTGCGCCTCCCAAATTTTGTAACAAGGCGGAGGGCTCCGTATTGCTCCACATTGAAATGATTGGTTGACGGTAGGTGGGGGCGGGAGGTCCTGTATAAACACAAACTCACTTCCTTGACAACTTCCTTCACAACAGCTCTGTGCTGCTCCGCGAAGCGCAAGTACACTACATTACCAAAAATATGTGGACACCTGCCAGTCGAACATCTCATTCCAAAGTCATGTGCATTAATATGGAGTTGGTCCCCACTTTGCTGCTATAACAGCCTCCACTCTTCTGGGAAGGCTTTCCACTAGATGTTGGAACATTGCTGCAGGTACTTGCATCCATTCAGCCACAAGAGCATTAGTGAGGCGGGCACTGATGTGGGGCGATTAGGCCTGGCTCGCAGTCGGCGTTCCAATTCATCCCAAAGGTGTTCAATGGGGTTGAGGTCAGAGCTCTGTGCAGGCCAGTCAAGTTCTTCCACACTGATCTCAACAAACCAGTTCTATATGGACCTCGCTTTGTGCAGGGGGCATTGTCATGCTGAAACAGGAAAGGGCCTTCCCAAAACTGATGCCACAAAGTTGGAAGCACCGAATCGCCTAGAATGTCATTGTATGCCGTAGCTTTAAGATTTCCCTTCACTGGAACTAACATGAACAACAGCCCCAGACCATTATTCCTGCTCCACCAAACTTTACAGTTGGCACTGCATTGGGGCAGGTAGCGTTCTCCTGGCATCCGCCAAACCCAGATTTATCAGCCGGACTGCCATATGGTGAAGCGTGATTCATCACTCTAGAGAAGGCGTTTCCACTGCTCCAGAGTCCAATGGCGGCAAGCTTTACACCACTCCAGCCGACGCTTGGCATTGCGCATGGTGATCTTAGGCTTGTGTGCGGTAGATCTGCCATGGAAACCCATTTCATGAAGCTCCCGACTAACAGTTCTTGTGTTGACGTTGCTTCCAGAGGCAGTTTGGAACTCGGTAGTGAGTGTTGCAACCGAGGACAAATTATTTTTATGCTCTTCAGCACTTGGCGGTCCCGTTCTGTGAGCTTGTGTGGCCTACCACTAGACGTTTCCACTTCACAATAACAGCACTTACAGTTGACCGGGGCAGCTCTTGCAGAGCAGAAACTTAACGAACTGACTTGTTGGAAAGGTGGCATCCTATGACGGTGCCACGCTGAAAGTCACTGAAATCTTCAGTAATACCATTCGACTGCCAATGTTTGTCTATGGAGATTGCATGGCGGTGTGCTCAATTTTATACACCTGTCAGCAATGGGTGTGGCTAAAATAGTTGAATCCACTAATTTGAAGGGGTGTCCACATACTTTTGTATAGTGTATGAATGCCCTGACTTCTGCAGAGGCAGTCTCTCCGATGCAGACATCAGATTGACCATGCAGCGCCTTTTAGGGCCTCAGATTTTCATTTTATCACATATAGTTGGTTTGGTTGGGCTATTAGCAATTGCAGGCGGGTGCGGGTGAACAAACAGCTGACCGGCGCACCACTAATCACTAGTACCATTAAGGAACAGTGGCTGATTGCACCAGTCAGACATAAAAATTGGTCATAAATGCTAGGTCGGCGTAGTTACATCTGACTTTGGGATCAGAATTTACACCTGCTGCACCAACCAAAAATAACACTAGTCGTAGCTAAGCCAGGCGTAAGCAATGCACGTTCATGAGATTTGATACTTCATAATGATGGTTGCTAGGCAGCGCCCTTTACTAGGCTATTACCATTGTCATGGAAGTTCTAAACGTCGCAAAGCCCACCAGTATGCATGCACATTTTCTTAACCACAACTGGATGGATCAATCAATAAATACCTCAGAAATGAATATCACTGAATAATGAAAATACTGGAATAAAGTTGACTAATGCCATTAATTTGCTCTTCACTTGCGTAGTAGCCTAGGCTATATCCCAACTAAAAGCCCTGGACTTGTCTGAAACAAAATCACATTGATTGATTATCATTTAACTGAATCTCAGTATGTATAATTTGTTATTTGATCTCTGGCTGGCAAATGGCGGTAGCAGCTCATCTATTAGTTTGCTAATGTATGCTCAGACACATTTAGCATGCTATAATGTAGCATAAATCAAGTGTATTATCACAGTTTCTAAACCCAGAGGCTCAACATCACGAGACTTCTGGGAACGTTTGCGAAACAGACCAGGCCAGGATTTGGGGTTTGAGAAGTCAGAGAGAAGTGAAAAATTATTCCTTAGTTGTTCATTTTCTCAAAATATAAAGACAACCTAGATTCGAGAAAATGTCTTAAGTAGTTGAACATGTTATTACTCCAAACCCCTTGTGAAAGTGACAAACTGACACGTTATCATTTGTCAAAAACAACTTTATATGGAAGGGGTGCCTTTGTTTTGACGGCTTACACATGCGCAGTTCGGCGCGAGACAATCGTTAGACCTGATGAAGTCTTTCTATGCATGAGCTTAGCTAGCCAACATCGCCGACAAGTGTGATTAAGGATTTCTATTGGAGAAGCAGTTTTAACCTAGGGCTGGGCGGTATACCATATTTTACGATATACCGGTATTGACGCATGGACCGGTTTGGGTTTTTACTTTACCTTTTATAATGGTATTTGTATGTTTGGTTTGTTAAAATGTGATATGCTGTGTGTAATTTTTATAGTTTACTTCGCTACTTGAGTCATCTCTCTGCGCTCTCTCTAAATGCCGCTTTCCACACAGACCTAGCCCCCCCCCCCCCTCAATCAAGGATCGCATTTGTTGTTCCTCTACCGCAAGACAATTGCATTCTGTCTCTGCATGGTTAATGCAGCACATGAAACAATGTTGTTCTTAATATAAATCCACTAGCGTTCTATAATTACACTTTTAGTTTGTGTTTCTTACATCTGCAAACTGCTAGTTTGTCTTTTCTTTGTAAATTGGGCCTAAATCTTGTTAGCCGCTAATGCTAATCGCTAGCTAGCTAATAAATGTACTGAGTCAGAGCAAACCTAACTAGCTATACAGCCTAACAATATGGGGGTGTAGACCTAAATCTGCATGTTTTTTGTGCAACAGTATCTTCTAAATCAATTAGGAAAACGCGAAGCAACAATATGTTAGCTAAATTAAGTAGTTAAGAGAAAACATTCAATGTAGCCAAATATTATAGGGTCCCCTAGGAAACACTTGTCAACACTTTGGTTCCTACCCTGTCACAATAACTCCTCACTGGCATTTTCATTTGTTGTCATATCAAACACTGTATTCAAACCTCCCACTATTATATTCTAACTATAGAATTTGAATAATCGTTCTATTTCCATGATTCCAACAGTTCACCCAAGTGCTTTGCTCTAAATCACAAGTCAAATCGCAATTGTAACATTTGGTTAAAAATATGGCCTAGATTGTTTGCACATATCGTGCAGCCCTACGTGGCAGTGTGAAAGTGATCTCAAATGAGTGCAGGAACTGCAAAAATTGATGAAAATTATTTTGGGTTGAAGTTGAGTTGAACAGTATAAAACCATCAGAATAGAGAAAGACCCATTGAAATCACTTAGAATGTATGTGTTGCCAACATAGGGTCGGGTCACACACTACTCATAAAGCACATTTTGAACTTGTATTATTCAAAAAACATAAAATACCGCCAAATACCGTCATTTTTTTGTTTTTAAATACTCTGATATTATATTTTGGACATATCACCCAGCCCTATTTTAGCCTATATTCATACTGTACTGTGTGGGGCTCTATTTTCTCATAACTGGATGTGATGCCTAGCTTAGAAGGAATGCATTAATGATTAAACATAATGGGTTTGTACTGTACTGTACATACACGAACACTGCCTCTTTGTGATCTTTGAACCGTCCAAGGACGTAGGTACAAGGAGTACAGGGGAACAGTGTCTATGGGTGCTGACTCTACAAGTTGTGATGATAACAACGTATGCCTGGCAACAGTGTGCAACGGTAAAGCGCCAAGGAGCTGGGACCAGCCTGTGCGCCAACGATTGGCTGAGTAAGTCTAAACCACGCTCAGTCTCTACTCTGATTGGCCAGCAGGGAGCGGGAACTATCTCTGTCAGAGTATTTGAAGAAGAACTTAGAACAATGGATCAGTTCTCTGAGTGCCCTGCGTGGTATTTCAGTGGACCCGTATATACGAACATCATATTTACCATTGAAGTGGTTTGCATTAATTAAAATACTAGTCTATTTTAGAAGACGTGTATTGACCTCTTTTGTTCCTAATACCAGATTTGAATTGACCCAACTTAACAAATGTCTTTGGTTTTATTTTGCTATTGACTCGCGCATAGGCAACTCGAAAAGCGGTTGTGAAATATGAACATGAGACTCACATCCTTTTGAAAATATAAATTGCTATTATTTTCTGTACATATCATGAAAGATAGTCCCAATTTAACACCCCACGCATGCTCCCTACTAGGCGTAGAATCTAGGGTCAGGCATAACTCATAGAAGGGCTTACGCCCTTTACGCCCAGGTGGTGTAACAGGTATCATTTTCAGGTCTGGCGTTAAGCACATTTCACGTTGGACGTAGAGTTACGACCCACTTACAACTAACTGGTGCAACCGGCCCGATGCTAATAATAATATGTCATTTAGCAGACGCTTTTATCCAAAGCGACTTACAGTCATGCGTGCATACATTTTTGTGTATGGGTGGTCCCGGGGATCGAACCCACTACCTTGGCGTTACAAGCGCCGTGCTCTACCAGCTGAGCTACAGAAATTCAGGTCTCACCATAGGCAAACAGTCCTGGCAGCTGGTACACTTGTCTACCAAACACGTTTCTTCCAAGGGAGGGAGGGAGAGGTTCATGTCCAACCTGAAAAGGAGTAATGACATAATACATTGCAGTGAATGTCAGTATATGTGTTAGTTATAGCTAGGGCTAGCTAAATTAACAATATGCAAAATTGATTTTACTTTCTTTGCAGAAATTTGACAGTACAATTATGATAACTGCGCACATAATGCATTAATGATCCAGCGAACTACCCTGTCGTGTTATAACCTTACCTAACTCGCGTTACTCGGTGAGTGGGCCAAAGGGCGCCCATTCTGTCCTGAACGTTTTGAATGAGACTTAGCTAGCTACGTTAGCCAGTCGTTATTGTCATGGTATTGAGAATGTCGCAATCGTTACCATAATAGCTGGCTAGATAGGGTAATGTCTAGATGGGATACTGTTAGCTAACCCTAACCTTAAACCTTTTCTCAACCTTACTTTCATTCTCATAACCTGCTACTTAGTCAATTTTGACAAAAAGCTGCATCCCTTCTACACAAAACCGCTAGATATAAATCATTTTATCACAAGGTCATTATTTATCTGCGACCAAACCGTCGAAACCCACTTAGTTCGCTAGCTAGCGTAGTTTAGCTCTTTGACCTTTTCGTGACGTCAAACCCGTAGGTACTAATTCTAGCTAGTTAGCTATAGAAACACACGGATTGAAACAATAAATTAACTGCCGTTTAGGCCATATTTTTTTCATGAGATCAGCTTGAAGCGATCGGCTGTGTGGAGTATGTAAAGTTCAACACCGGAATGTAACGTTAGTTCTAGTTAGCCAGCTAGTCGTTACGGCTGTTGTTGCAGCTAGCTACAGTAGCCTGTCAGTTACAGAACCGACCTCGCCTCGACGTAAAGCTAGCTGGATCAAAACATTTTTGTCAGTTATGTTTGTTTAATCTCTATATATCTTACCTGAACTAGAACTTTGATGTACATGAGGGGATGGGAAAGGACAGTTAATCCAGACCCCAGAAGTACTTGGCCACACGTGTCCGCCATTATGGAGCAAACTGACAGGATTCTTCTCCTCCCACCAGCCGGGAAGAGAGGAAGGAAGCTTCAGTAGGTTAGCAACTCAACTCACATGACACAGAAGAGACCGCCCCGGACCTCACAGGCCGCAGACTCTTCAGATGACTTTGGCCAAGACTTCAGACTACTGTGCTGGAGTATAGACGTTTGAAGTAATTTGTTTTCATCCTCTCTGAAAGATTAGTGGCTATATGAATTTTGTGCATACACATACATTTTTAGTAGGCCTAGACCCCTGTAGGAATAGTGTTATGCTTTTAACACCTTGAGGTGAAAAGAAGACCATGAAGATCAAAGTAAGGGAACCCACTGTAAGCCCTGCAGCTCGGCAGTATCCATACTCACCTTCGATGGCCGCTGGGGAAGTGTGCTCTTCACGGATGAATCCCGGTTTCAACTGTACTGGGCAGATGGCAGACATTGTGTATGGTGTCATGTGGGCGAGCGTTTTGCTGATGGTTATGGAATGGCCAGGCATAAGCTACGGACAACAAACACAATTGCATTTTATCGATGGCAATTTGAATGCACAGCGATACCGTGACGAGATCCTGAGGCCAGTTGTCGTGACATTCATCCGCCGCCATCACCTCATGTTTCAGCATGATAATGCACAGCCCCATGTTGCAAGGATCTGTACACAATTCCTGGAAGCTGAAAATGTCCCAGTTCTTCCATTTCCTGCATACTCACCAGACATGTCACTCATTGAGCATGTTTGGGATGCTCTGGATCGACGTGTACGACAGCGTGTTCCAGTTCCTGCCAATATCGCTTTGACAACAACAACATCGAGCCGGGTGTGAGGGCCATCACAGACCCAGAGGACTGGGTGATCTTGCTCTCCGAGGCCGACGTGAGAAGGGTTTTTAATCAGGTCAACACCCTCAAGGCTGTGGGCCCCCAATTGTACTCCAGGGCACATTCTCAGAGCTGGCAGGCATATTCACAGTAATTTTCAACCTCTCCTTGTCCCACATGATTATTTGTACCCCTTTTTCTCCCCAATTTCGTGATATCCAATTGGTAGTTACAGTAGCTGCAACTCCCGTACGGACTCGGGAGAAGCAAAAGTCGAGAGCCATGCGTCCTCCGAAAAGCGACCCCACCAAGCCGCACTGCTTCTTGATACACTGCCCAGCCGGCCGCCACAAGGAGTCGCTAGAGTGCGATGGGACAAGGACATCCTAGCTGGTCAAACCCTTCTCTAACCCAGACAAAGCTGGGCCAATTGTGCGCTGCCTCATGGGTCTCCCGGTCGCGGCCGGCTGCGACACAGCCCGGGATCGAACCCGGATCTGTAGTGACGCCTCTAGCACTGCTATGCAGTGCCTTAGACTGCTGCGCCACTCGGGAGGATATCCCCACACGTTTTAAGATGACCACAATCATTCCTGTTCCTAAGAACTGTAAGTCTTCATGCCACAATGATTACCGCCCTGTAGCACTCACTTCTGTAATCATGAAGCGCTTTGAGAGGCTGGTTATGGCACACATTAACTCCACCATCCCAGCCACCTTAGACCCAATCCAATTTGCATACCACTCCAACAGATCCAGAGGCGATGCAATCTCAATTGCTATCCACCCTGCCCTCACCCACCTAGATAAGAGGAATACCTATGTGAGAATACTGTTAATTGACTACAACTCAGCGTTCGACACCATTATCCCCTCCAAGCTCGTCACCAAGCTTAGGACTCTGGGTCTGAACACCTCCCTCTGCAACTGGATCCTGGACTTCCTGACGGACCGACCCCAGGTGGTGAGGGTAGGCAACATCACGTCCTCCACGCTGACCCTTAACACAGGGGCCCCACAAGGGTGTTTGCTTATTCCCCTCCTGTACTCCCTGTTCACCCACGACTGTGTGGACACACGCGACTCCAACACCATTATCAAGTTCGCTGACGTAACGACGGTGATAGGCCTGCAACAACCTCTCCGTCAACGTCAGGAAGACCAAGGAGCTGATGGTGGACTACAGGAAATGGGGGGGCGAGCACTCTCCCATCCACATCGACGGCACGGCAGTGGAGCAGGTAGACAGCTTCAAGTTCCTCGGTGTCCAAATCACTAAAGACTTGAAATGGTCCAAACACACACAGACAGTCGTGAAGAAGGCGCGACAGTACCTCTTCCCCCTCAGGAGGTTGAAAATATTTGGCATGGGCCCTCAAATCCTGAAAGGGTTCTACAGCTGTACCATTGAGAGCATATTGACTGGCTGCATCACTGCTTGGTATGGCAATAGCACCGCCCTCGATCGCATGGCGCTACAGAGGGTGGTGTGGACAGCCCAGTACATCACTGGGGCCGAGCTCCCTGCCACCAGGACCTCTATATCAGGCAGTGTGAAAAGAAGGCCCAGAAAATTGTCAAAGACCCAGACCACCCAAGCCATAGACTATTTTCTCTGTTGCCGCACGGCAAGAGGTACCGGTCTATCAAGTCTGACACCAACAGGCTCTTAAACAGCTTCTATCCCCAAGCAATACGATTGATAAATAGCTAACAAAGCTAAAACAAAGCTACACAGACTGTTTACCTTGTATCTTTATTGACCTTTTATTTAAATATTTGCACGGTCTCTATGCACACCACAGGAGGCTTTTGAGGGGAGAACGGCTCATAAAAATGTCCGGAACGGAGCTAATGGAATGTCATGAAACACATGGAAACAATGTCTTTGATGTGTTCGATACAATTCCTCTCCAGCCATTACCACGAGCCCGTCCTCCCCAATTAAGGTGCCACCAACCTCCTGTGATGCACACTCACAGGGCCCTACACACTCACACACACTGTCACTCCAACACACACACAAACACTCACTCCAACATTTGCTCATCAGTGGAGGCTGCTGAAGGGAGGACGGCTCATAATAATGGCTGGAACGGAGCAAATGGAATGGCATCAAACACATGGAAAGAATGTGTTTGATACCATTCCATTTATTCCGCTCCATCCATTACCACAACCCAAATTAAGGTGCCACCAACCTCCTGTGATGCACATACAATTTATACTGACTCTACACACCCGCACTCCCACTCACATGCAAGCTGCTGCTACTCTGTTTATCTTATATCCTGTTGCCTAGTCCCCTTACCCTTATACATATCTACCTCCATCCCTCCAGTATCCCTGCACATGTACATTTGGTATTGGAACTTACTTTTTAAATACTTCCTGTATAGTCCTCTGTAGCTCAATTGGTAGAGCATGGCGCTTGTAATGCCAGGGTAGTGGGTTCGATCCCCAGGACCACCCATACGTAAAAATGTATGCACACATGACTGTAAGTCACTTTGGATAAAAGTGTCTGCTAAATGGCATATTATATATAGTATGCTTGCTTTTATATTTCCTATTCTTATTTCTTGTGTGTTTTTTCTAATAATACATTATTATTGATTATTGCATTGTAGGGTTTTGAGTTTGCAAGAAAGGCATTTCACTGTACTTGTGCATGTGATATTACAACTTTTCCAGCAACTTCACACAGCCATTGAAGAGGAGTGGGACCAGTGGCGGCTGGCCGATAGAGGGCGCTAGGGCGCCGCCCCCTTAAATAAAATTATTTTAAAAAATAAAATAAAAAATAAATAAAAATAATAATAATAATAATAAAAACATCAGTATGTCAATATTTGTGTGTTTGAAATATGGAATGCACACAGTAATATGTGTAAGATATGATAGAAAATCATATTCGCAACCTTTCCTCTGCCTGTCAAACGCCTCGTCAGCTCTGGGCGATACAGAAAGTGCCCCGAGGAGGCGGGTCTACGTAGCAGTTAAGCCAATTGCTAATTTAAGATATGAATGTATGACATAAAATGTAGCTAATCAGCGATTTTAATTCGAATCCAAGGAGGGCGATTATTTTATCGCCCCAAGCTCGCCCCTGATAAAATAAGGACCGGGCTCCAGTGGCGCCATTTTTACTAGACGACAATGGTGAGCGCAAACGTTACTCCTCCAAGACCCAACCCTAACTCGGTGAAATCTCTCCTCCAAGATCCGTTTGAGAGGAGAACTTTGTCAGAGAAAGTTCGGGTGAAAGAGCTGGGCCCAGATCAACCTGACCTCTCAATCAGACAGCAGGCTAGCGAGAAAGGGAAGCAGTATATGCGCGGCTTCTCCCGTAGCTGGTACACCAGGAAGGCTTGGCTAGCTGGGTGCACTGATGCTAATGCTTTATTTTGCTTTCCGTGCTTGCTTTTTAAAACGACGGGCCGGACGGGGTCAGATTCAGCATGGACAGGTACCGGAGTGAGGGATATGAAGCACCTGTCAGAGAAGGTAAAGAAACATGAGAACACCAGGGCACACATGGACAACTCTGTAAAGCTAGCTGTATTAGGAAGGGTGAACATTGCTACGCAGCTGGATGACGGCCACAGGATTGCGGTGAGGAAACACAATGAGGAGGTGGATAAAAACAGGCACATTCTATCCAAAATTATCGATTGTGTGAAGTTCTGTGGGGCTTTTGAGTTGGCCTTGCGTGGGCACGAGGAGACTGACTCCTCGGACAACCCCGGCATTTTCCGGGGCTTAGTGGATTTTTTTGCCTCCCTCGACAGTGTGCTGGAGGAGCACCTGAAGACAGCTACCGTTTTTAAGGGCACGTCAAAGACGATACAGAACGAGCTGTTGGAATGTATGCTGTCAGTGCTTAAGGATTACATCCTGGAGGAAGTAAAGAGTGCTGATTTTATCGCCATTCAAGCTGACGAGACGACTGACGTTTCCACCCACTAACGTGTTTCCAGACCATCAGAGACTCTGGGAACTTTGATGCCCCGACTGTCAGAGAGGCGGGGGGCTTTGTGAGGATGCTCGAAGATGAGGCTTTCTGTTTTTTCCTGGCACTGTTCCACAAGATCATGCCAAATGTGGACATGCTTTTCAGCCAGCTGCAGAAGAGGAACATCGACCCTGTCTTCATTAAAGCACTTGTCCAGAGGTTCACAGACAGCATGCTAACAATCAGGTAAATAACTATATTTACTATTGGCTGATAAAGATGTTGTTAGAAAGATGAATAGTTCACTTACAACAGTTTAAAAGCCTAAATGTGTCTGGTCATCAAAGTGAGTGATTATCATAGAGCCGTCACAATTATATTTGTTTTAGTATTTTAAAAGGAAAGAGAAGACACA